CTGAACAACATTCCAGATCTATCATAGTATTTTTATGTAACAGTTTCTTAAACCTGAGGCTGTTGTCCTAAAATCACCCCGTCTGTCCTCATCCGCGACTTCACACTTAAGAGACGTTTCACAATTTTTTATTTGACCGTTCACTTCCGACTGAACCCAGAGCGGACTCCCCGGGGTAAAGGCGCATTGTGCAACTTTTCTGGTGATGTTAGAAGTGTCTGGAATGTTTCACAGTATGGCATCAAACCTTTCTGTCTTCGTGGAGACCAAACCAAATCAAGTTACGGGTCAGATCTGTGGAGAGGCGACCCCGCTCACAGTCAGAATGTTGTATTTCTAGGTGTGTTTAAAAAACGCCTGCGATTGAGTAAATGTAAAGTAGAGCTGTTTATTGTCACACTAGCCACGTTTACATGATGTTTTTTAATTCCGAATTGATTGTTCTGAATGAAATAGTTTGTGATTAATTATTCTCCTTTGAGTTTCCATGGAAATAATAATCCCGAATTGAGGTTTACATGGAAAACTCGTCTAAGGAAGGGTTCTGATTGGACAGAGACACCATTGAATTTACATCGACCGGAAGAAAACTCACACTTCAGCTGCTACCGGCTTTTCTGTCATCTCGGTTTGTCATTACGCCACGGACGCAAACGCGATCCGAACTTTTCCCGCGGTGGTTCCGATGATAATCGCGCAGCAGCTGGAGAATTGTCTCATCACACTTTACGTCTGTTGGCTGAGGAGGAGAAGGGAGGAAGAAGACAAACTGAGTGTGAGGCTGCTCTACTTCAGCCCACTCCCACATCCCGCTCACAAATCCAAAGAGACGTGGATCAAAGGCTACAGTACGTTCAGACTGCAGCCTGAAGTGACCCAAATAAGATTTTTTGGCCCCTATGTTCCTGTATTTGATCTTTTAATGACAGTCTGAACGACACAGATCCGATTTTTTCAAATGTGACCCAGGACACTTGGATATGTGCTCCTAAAACTGATACATATCTGATCTTTTGACATGTGACTTCAGTCTGAACGGTCAAAGTGCATTCATCCACCTACACGTTATCAACAAGACACAAACGTCACTATTCTGCGCTGAAGTAGGAGAAAATTGTTAATGAACTCTGTGTGACTGAAGTGAAGCACATCACCACTCACCACTCTTGGCTCCGTCTCCACATCCACACGTTCCTTTCAACGGACTGAACCACAAAACACCACGACCAAAAACCTCGTCCTTCTCCTTCTCAATCTCCTCCTTAAAACAAGTAAGTTGTTCATGTTCTGGCTCCGGTACGAGAGGAACTTTAAAATCTCCAGGTGCTCGATGCTGCGTCCATGTTTGGACAACTTCTGTAAACACAGAGACGCTCGCTGCGGTTGACGTCGTCGTGTCTCCAGTGTCACATGTGGGACACTTTTGGGCCGTTTACTGTTCACACTGGAGTCACATACAAGTCACATTTAACTGGAAATGTGAACGACCTCGCAAAAACATCGGATTTCACTAAACAAATTGGAATTGAGCATTAAACCCTGCAGTCTGAACGTAGCCAGGACTGGTGGAGCCGAATCGAAGGGTGACCCAAAGAGCATGTACCGAACCACCGGAATTATTATTAAGAAGAATAAAACTTTACATGATCCAAGAATAAATTAATTTGGCTTTAAAATCGGAATAAACCATCTACTTACTTCGGACTTAAGTTTAATTCCGAATAATTTTTTCATTAGGAATTAAGTGTTTACATGGTCTTTTTTAAAGCAGAATTAATTTTTATTCAGAATTAAAGTTCTCATGTAAATGTGGAAACTGTGGAACATTCCAGGCAGAGCAGTGACATCTCCATAGACACAAACAAGCGACAGACCCCCAACCAAAAAGTTACACAGTGCAGCTTTAACTCCCTTGTTTTTGTTTACAGTTTTCAGTAAGTTTTTTAAGTTTGAAGTGTTTTGTTCTTAAAAGTGTCACTGGAATTCCTCTCACTCCCAAAGTAAACATGCCCCGTTCATTTCACTGATTTCCAAAATTGCACAAACCGAGGTCATTGTCACCGTAGCGACACAGACTGACACGGTTAAACGGGTCTGATCCGTGGGCAGGCGTCTCCTCCTCGTCCTCGTCCTCTCCCACACCACACACACTTTAGAACTTCAGGTTAAAGATGCACCATGAGACGTTTGTGGTGTCGGATCTTTCATCTGCTGGAATCTACGGAGATGTTATTGCTTTGCCTGGAACAGAGGTCGACAACCTTAAATACTCAAAGAACCATTTGGAGCGTCTCCCACAGAAAAGGGAACTCCTGAACAACTCCCGGAGCCACAAAACCCCTTTTGACTCTAAACTGAGGAGAACACTGCAGATCTTTTTTTTTTTTTTCCTGTGGCTCTGTACAAAAGACTAAAGTGTGTTGCATTTATGAAATCAATGAAACGCTACAGAAAACACAGGATTCTATTTCTGCATCTAACAATAACATTTTGAACTCCGAAAAAAAGACACTTAGTTGATGCTTACTTTCAAATGAAATACTCAGTGTCTATTTGAGTCTTCGTAGGAAATAAAAATCCAAACATAACAGCAGCGAACCAAAAATGTCGTCTGTTTCTGTGTTCCAGCCTTATTTTAATGCGTATACTGGAGCGTGTGTGAATCTATGAATCTGCCCATGTAGTATTAAATGTTCTGGTTTCTTCAGAAATTTACCTACGAGGGGTTAAAAAGCTTGTGCTGCTGGTGCAGGTGCCGGTGAGTCCGGGCTGTAGATCTGTGCCGGTGTTGCACATCGGCGGCTGTGACACTTATTTTCAGGGACAAAAATATAAAAAACTTTTATTTTTATGTTGCATGATTGCCATTATCTACAAATTTAGAATTATATTTAAAAACAAACTAAAATAAAAATACACTGGAATTAAATACTCATTATTTATTTTCCACAAGTCACAGGGAGCCACAACAGAAGGATGAAAGAGCCTCGTGTGGCTCTGAAGTTGCCGACCCCTGGCCTGGAATGACATTTATTTAACTTTTGTTTTCTTACTGTGAGCGGCGTTGACTCTCCACAGATCTGACTCATAATTATTACATCAATTTATTGTCCAGGACATTACAGATGGAACAGTAATTTTGGGGACAATGTTTTGTAATTTTTCAGTACTGCAATGACATTTGAGCTGTTGAGGATTGAATTACTCGCTTTTTTAACTCATTACAGAAGCACTAACTACTAAAGTGTTAAATTCTGCTGTTTATTTGAACCGTATTTTACATTTGGGACTAATCTTTCTTTAGGGTTATTGTGTGAGTGAAATAAAATTAGTTATTGTGATCAATGTTCCTGTAACTTGACCTCACGCCTCCACAGATTTATGACACGATAAGTATTCATTTTAAGTTTAATGCCATACTTTGGAACATTACAGGCAAAGAAATATACATTACACAGTGCAACTTTATGGTAAAAGTTTTCGTAAACATGTGATCGGAGAAATAAAAGGTCCAAATCTTATTCACAGTTACAAAAATAGTTGTACGAGAAGCTTCCGTGTGTCGTCCGTGTGTGTCCCGACCACGGCTTTACCCATGATGCTTCTCTGTGGTTTTGGTATTTGGTGGTGCTCTAAACTGTTGATACTTTGCAGTTTCATCGCGCTGGGGGTGTTCTACGTGCATCTCTAACCTGATGTGTTTGTTTAGGAGTTACCGTGGCAACGCAACGGACACATGAGCAAACACTGTCCAAAAAAAAAACATTTTAACATCGCGTGAAAACTCGAGAAGAAATACAAAATTTAAGATTTAAAGAGCACATTTTCCGTCCGAGCGTTCATGGTCCTGTTTAGGAGTTTGATTTTCAACACAGAGATGAGAGCATGGATGTATCAAAATAACTGGATAGGCCAGACGTTCCTACTTACCCAGGACAGTCCCAGCAGATTTATACAAAACTAGTGATTTGTCCCAGTTTTATACAAGAAATGTCCCAGGTGTCCCTATTTTTGACCAGTCTGATCCCTCCAACAGTAAAGAGATGCTTATATTGTCATTTGTTCAGGTAAATTACCGTATTTTCCGCACTATAGGACGCTTTTTGTGGTGATTGTTACCCATTTCTAGATCATAAACTTATTCTCAGCTCAAAATATTTCAATTGTCTTCAAAATAGCTAGTCATTTTTAGATCCCGGGGCTTGAGTGAGAGCGACTGAGGCTACGTTCAGACTGCAGGGCTTAATGCTTAATTCAGATTTATTTTTATTTTTTAAATCAGATTTTTGAGTGTGACGTCGTCGTGTCGTCCAATGCACATGTGGGACACTTTTGGGGCGTTTAAAGTTCACACCAGAGATCACAAATAAGTCGCGTTTAACTGGAAATGTGAAAAACCTCACAGAAGAATCGTATTTCACCCAAAAAAAATCCGAATTGAGCATTAAACCCTGCAGTCTGATGCTTCCTTGTAACTCTAAATTTATTTGAGAAACTTGTTTAACAGCACAAATGATCAGGTGTTGTAGTTCCAACTAAATCAACTCTTAAATTAACGTTCAAACCAATTTCGTCACAGGAAATATTGTCGACACGAGCTGCAAAGTATCAGTAAAGCTTCTCTGTGGTTTGGTTTTGGGTGTTGCTTTATTCTGTATCTGCATTTCCTCTGTATCTGTGAGGTCATCGGGCTTTTTATCATCTATATTTTCTTTCAGTTTCACTCAATTATTGCTTTTCTCATCGGTGTAATCCAGTGTTTCTTGTGTTATTATTTGTTTGTTTCTCTCAGGGCACAAAAATGCTCCATCACTCCCCCAGGCTTTAAATGCAGCTTGACGTGTTTGCACGCTAACCCTGCCTCTTTTGCAGCGTTTGACCTCCGCAGCTGTGTTTTTACGTGTCTCGTCTTCGTGTTTTTCTGTGTAAATAATCCAGAGTTTTGTCCCGTTTCTGACTCTGTGTCTGTGTGGTTTTTCCTTGTGGCTTTTTTTTTGCAGCCGGAGCCGGAGGAGAGAGAGGAGAGTTTGGTACGACTTCACTCTCAAAAAACTGAAGACACCTGCAGCTTTGCACCGCTCACACATTTTGTCACTAAATGTTTTCAAATCTGTTATTTCAATATGTGAACAATGAAACTGGACCAATCAGATCACTTTAAACGCCCAATATTACGTAAAACTGACTCTTGTGAACATTAAGTTGTGTTCTAATGTTACAAAGATGCAGAAAACCCAAGGCACTCACTGGTTAAAATAAAATGCGTTTATTAGTTTACGGCATCGATTAATCCACTAATCATCCCCATCTCTCCTGTGAATGAAACAAAACACAACTCCAGGTCTGTTTGTGGTGAGAAAACAACATTAGAACTAGGGGTGTCAAATTATCACGTTAATTGCGATTAATTAATTACAGTCATATTTAGCGCGTTATGTTTTTTAATCGCGTTAATCTAATTTTTTATCTCTAACTTTAGTGTTTCTGTATGTGAGTTTCTTTATTATAAAACCTGTTTTTATGTGTTGTTGGGACAACAACAAACACACACACACACAAAACACATTTATAAATTGTTTTATTTCGGTAATTCCACTCATTGCCGGAAACCCACACAAAACGCGCGCAGTAACAGCGTAAGTAAACGTCATGTTAACGTTGGCGGCGTCAGTCGCACAATGGACGAGGTGGAAGAGCCAGTAGAACAGAGCAGCAGTGCACAGGGAAAAACACATTCGTGTCTTGGAAATTATTCTCCCGACGTAAAATATAAAAGAAAATAACAAATATAATATCGCCTGAAAACAACCTGCATAGGCTCATGATGTCTGCACTACTGTCCTATAGTGACATGAGGGGACACGCACACAAACACACACAAACACAAACACACACACACACACACAAACACACACACAACACAAACACACACAAACAAACACACACAAACACAAACAAACACAAACACACACAAACAAACACACACAAACACAAACACAAACACAAACACACACACACAAACACACAAACACACACAACACACAAACACACACAAACACACACAAACACACACAAACACACACAAACACACACAACACACACAACACAAAACACAAACACACACAAACACACAACACACACAACACAAAACACACACACACAACACAAACACACACAAACACAAAACACACAACACACACACAACACACACAAACACACACACACACACAAACACACACACAAACACACACACACACACACAACACAAACACACACAAACACAAACACACACAAAACACACACAAACACAAACACACACAAACACACACACACACAAACACACACCTTCATCATCGTCATTAACCTGAGAAAGCGCGGACCACGTTTCCTTCCGTAGTTACTGCGTAGGACACCGACGTGTTGCCGTGAGCCGCGTGTGGATCGTGTTTTCTCGCATACGCGGCGTAAACCGCGCTTCCTCCTGTGAGCCTCTAAACCAGAACTAACACCAAGACTAAAACCAGGACTAAACCAGGACTTATCCAGTCCAGGACTAAAACCAGGACTAAACCAGGACTAAACCAGACTAAACCAGGACTTAAACCAGGACTAAACCAGAACTAAACCAGGACTAAACCAGGACTAAACCAGGACTTAACCAGGACTAAACCAGGACTAAACCAGAACTAAACCAGAACTAAAACCAGGTCTAAACCAGGTCTAAACCAGGACTAAACCAGGACTAAACCAGGACTAAACCAGAACTAAAACCAGAACTAAAATCAGGTCTAAACCAGGACTAAACCAGGTCTAAACCAGGTCTAAACCAGGTCTAAACCAGGTCTAAACCAGGACTAAACCAGGACTAAACAGAACTAACACCAGGACTAAAACCAGGATTAATCCATTCCAGGACTAAACTAGGACTAAACCAGGTCTAAACCAGGACTAAAACCAGTGATCTCATATATAAAGCATTTCTCTATCAATAATATTTTTAATATGGTGAAGGAAAGACTGGACTTTTTATTGTCTTTAAGTAGACAAAAGTTATTATGTTCAGATTTCCTAGTCTTTGCTACTTTACAGCAAACAGTTTCTTATTCATGGAGACTTGGGCTCAACAGCCAAATTGGAGAGATTTGTTAAACAATAAATGACTTTATAAAGTCACTTTTTTTTAATCTATATATCAGTCTTTTGATCTGCCACAATAATGTAATAATGAATTTAAATGAATGAAAAATACCTCAAAATGAAGGCTTTTCTCAGCAATTTTTAGGTGAGATTAAAATGAGATTAATTAGATTAATTAATTACAGATCATAATTAATTAATCTCTAAATTTTTTTTAATCGCATGACAGCACTAATTAGAACATGACTTAAAGCTCACAAGAGTCATTTTTGCATAAGAACTTTGGACAGAAAACAGAGTCATATGGGCCTTTAACAAAATTATGCTCATAATTATTTGTACAAAAGATAAGTGGAGTATGGAAAACAGTTAGAGTGTTTGGATCACATATTGAAAGCTGCTCATATCACGTTTGCTGCTAAATGTTTTGAATCTTAAGGCTACAAATTGGGATTTTTCTTGATTTTTGGGTCGAGTCGTCGCCCATAAACCAGAAGATCACCAGTTTGATCTCGTGTGTGTTTCTAATCAACGGTTAAAAAAGAGAAAAATGAACATAAACACGTGACGACTGATCATATATTTGTTATTTTTACACCAGGGACTCTAGTTAAAGACGCACTATGGGACTTTGGGTGTTAGTTTTGTCGCTGGGGGATAATCGGCTGTGCAGCTCAGAGTTTCCCACACACAGACTAAGAATGAACAGAATCAAAACCACCGAGGTCCACAAATTAATAGCCTGGTCCTCTCCCCCTCGCGATAAATGGGCCAGAATTAGGGCTGAACGATTTTAAGAAAAAAACTGAATTACTATTTTTCTGGCTGATATTGTAATTTTGATTTGACAATTCCGCTTTTAAAAAATTGTTTTTATTAAGTTTCAGTGCACATGAACGTTTACAAACATCACAGAAACTTCAGAAACATCGTACCAGAGTCTTGCACCGGGTCCGGGACCTGTGAGCGCCCGGCGTGACTCGACTGTCAAAAATACAACATCACTTCACAGGCTTATTTATTGAGCAGAAGAAATTGATCGAGATGCCGGACTTTTGGGCCGCATACGGACTAGACCAGGACTAGACCAGGATTGAAACAGGACTGAACCAGGACTAGTCCCAGGATTAAATCAGGACTAAATCAGGGCTAAATTAAGACTAGACTAGGACTAAACCAGGTCTAAACCAGGTCTAAACCAGGTCTAAACCAGGTTTAAACCAGAACTAAACCAGGTCTAAACCAGGACAAAAAAAAAGACTAAACTAGGACTGAACCAGGATTGAATCAGAACTAAACCAGGTCTAAACCAGGTCCAAACCAGGTCTAAACCAGGTCTAAACCAGGACTCAACCAGGACAAAAAAAAAGACTAAACTATTACTGAACCAGGATTGAATCAGAACTAAACCAGGTCCAAACCAGATCTAAATCAGGACCAAACCAGGACTGAACCAGGACTAAACCGGGACTGAACCAGGACTAAGACCAGGACTAAACCGGGACTGAACCAGGACTGAACTAGGACTGAACCAGGTCTAAACCAGGACTAAACCAGAACTGAACCAGGGCTGAACCAGCACTAAACCAGGACTAAACCAGGATTGAATCAGAACTAAACAAGGTCTAAATCAGAAACTCACTTATGCGACACGTTTGACATTTTCACTTTTTTGAGGATTCAAATGTTTGTTTATTTTTTATTGAATCGATTTTAAATATATCGAATTGCATCAAATCGAAAGCTCAGTGTATCGAGATATGTATCGTATCGGCGACTTCTTGACGATACTCAGCCCAAATTTTTTATATAACTGTGGGAAACACTGCAGCTGCTACAGTTTAATAAACCGCTTCCTTGAACATTTCCGGTTGATTTTTCTTCGGACATTGACGCATTTTCCAATCATCTTGTCTCCTGCAGCTCTGTTTTGGCTGTTTTTTTTGTTTTTTTTTGCTGCTCTCATTCACACCTACGTTCACTGCGATGGAAAACTCACAGCTCCTTCATTAAACTCTGCTTTTCACCGAAGGTCACGGCTCGGCTCCTGTTTCCGCCGGCGCTTTTGTTTGGCACTTTTGCGCTAAACCCCCGGCGACGCGCTCACAGATCTATTCCCCCCCCCTTCCTCCCCTCGTCGTGCGGCGTTTTCTGACGGTTTCTGTTGCGTTCTGTGCTGTCTCTGCAGAGGACCATCACGCTCGGCGCCGGGGACAGGCAGGTGATCCAGACGCCTGTCACGGACTCGCTCCCCGTCAGCGGCAGCAGCGTCGCTCAGCTCTTCAGACAACTCGGTACGGAAACACTTAACACTTCACTATGTTAAATACTAAACTGTACTTTACACTAAATAAAATAAAATAAATATTAAACTATACTCCTATATAACAAATAAAATAAATATTAAACTATAGTCTTGCATTAAATTAAATTAAAATAAATACTAAACTATACTCCTACACTAAATAAAATAAAATAAAATAAATACTAAACTATACTCCTACACTAAATAAAATAAAATAAAATAAATACTAAACTTTACTCCTTTAAATTAAATTAAATAAATACTAAACTATACTCCTACACTAAATAAAATAAAATAAATATTAAACTTTACTCCGGCATTAAATAAAATAAATATTAAACTATACTCCTATAAATTAAATAAAATAAATATTAAACTTTACTCCTACACTAAATAAAATAAAAAATAAATACTAAACTATACGCTTATAATAAATCAAATAAAATCAAATAAATACAAGATTAGTCTTCTATAAATCAAATAAAATAAATACTAAACTATACTCCTTTAAATCAAATCAAATCAAATAAATATTAAATTATACTCCTCCACTAAATAAAATAAAATAAATATTAAACTATACTCCTTTAAATCAAATAAAATAAATATTAAGCTATACTCCTGCACTAAATAAAATAAAATAAATACTAAACTTTACTCCTTTAAATCAAATAAAATAAATACTAAAATATACTCCTACACTCAATGAAAATAAATAAATATTAAGCTATACTCCTATAAATGAAATAAAATAAATACTGAACTATACTCCTGTAAATCAAATAAAATAAATATTAAACTATACTCCTATAAATGAAATAAAATAAATATTAAACTATGCTCCTACACTAAATAAAATAAAATAAATATTAAACTTTATGCTTACACTAAATCAAATAAAATCAAATAAATACAAAATTATTCTTCTATAAATCAAATAAAATAAATACTAAACTATACCCTTACACTAAATAAAATAAAATAAATATTAAACTATACTCCTATAAATTAAATAAAATAATTACTAAAATATTCTCCTGCACTAAATAAAATAAAATAAATACTAAACTATGCTCCTATAAATAAAATAAAATAAATATTAAACTATACTGAATAAAATAAAATAAATATTAAACTTGACTCCTATAAATCAAATAAAATAAATATTAAACTATACTCCTGCACTAAATAAAATAAATATTAAACTTCTCCCTCTCTCTTCTCTCTTCTCTCTCTTGTCTGTGCAGGTATCGTGAACGTGCTCTGTCTGTTCTGTGCGGCTCTGACTGAACATAAGATCCTGTTTTTGTCGAGTAGTTATCAGAGGCTGACGGACGCGTGCAGAGGGCTTCTGTCCATCATGTTCCCGCTCAAATACAGGTCTGAGTTAAATAAACTCTTCAAAAACACCTGGGATAAAAGTACTATTACTTCAATTTATCATCTAAGATTTAGTTTATTTTATGTTCTGCGTGATTCAGCATTTGGGTTTGACACTTCACCAGAAAAGTTACACAGCACATCTTGAAATAAAAAAACTTAACTTAACTTAAACTGTGTCTGATCGTACGTTTTAATTAAACATAAATGTGTCTGTCTGCAGTTTCACGTACGTCCCCATTCTTCCCGGTAAACTTCTGGAGGTCCTGAGCACGCCCACCCCCTTCATCATCGGAGTCAACTCTTTCTTCAAATCTGAGACGCAAGAACTGGTGAGTCCATTTTATTTGAGAACTATCACTCCTGATTCAAGGTCTGTTTATACACGAGAACACTTACAGGTAAAAACGACAAAATATTTTATGGGAAGTGTCTTTCGTTTGGACGGTGACGGCGTTTTTGGGGCTTAAAAACGCAAAAATCTGACACCACCCTCCAGAGTGGATAAGTTGAAAACGCTCCACTGTAGTGTTTCCGTCTACACTGCCCAAGACGCAAAACTCTGGTCAGATCTGCTCAGGTCACGTACACGTTTACGTCACATAGATGCGTCAAGAATCTCGAACTTCCAGTCATCGCACAATTCATACTGGGAAGGATTTTCAGAAAAAGTGAACATCAAACCTCCATGTTTGTTTTCTCAGTGGGATGTGTCTATTGTCAAAATCGATCTTTTCAAGTTTTTTGACGTGACTTAAACTGTGATGCACGACTGAACCAGGACTGAACCAGGACTAAAACAGGACTAAAACAGGACTAAAACAGGACTACACTAGAACTAAACCAGGTCTGAACCGAGACTGAACGGGCACTGAACCGGGACTAAACCTGGACTGAAGCAGGACAGAAGCAGGACTGAACCAGTCTCAGTCGTCGTCTCAGTCCCAGTCCCAGTTCGGTCCCGGTCTGGTCCCGGTCTCAGTCCTGGTCTCAGTCCCAGTCTGGTCTCTGTCTGGTCTCTGTCTGGTTCCGGTCTCAGTCCTGGTCTCAGTCCTGGTCTCAGTCTTGGTCTCAGTCCCAGGCTCAATCCCAGTCCGGTTCCGGTCTCAGTCCTGGTCTCAGTCCTGGTCTCAGTCCTGGTCTCAGTCGCGGTCTCAGTCCCAGGCTCAGTCCCAGTCTCAGTCCCAGGCTCAGTCCCAGTCTGGTCCCAGTCTCAGTCCTGGTCTCAGTCCCAGTCTCAGTCCCGGTCTGGTCCTGATCACCCAACAGTCTACACAGGTGCACCTCTGGGTCCGTCCCAACACTCAGTCCTGGTTCAGTCCTGGTTCAGTCCTGGTTTAGTCCTGGTTCAGTCACATTTTGTTTACATCAGTTTAAGCAACAGAGAAAAACATTTGACAGATCCTCCTCTAGAAAAGTTACACAGTGAAACTTTACGCAAAACGACAAACTGTACACGTCTCATCAAATTACATTATTACAGAAATGACCCCTGACCCTTTGTTCGGTCCGTTTTAATCTCAAAATCCAGCACATTTTTATTCTGTGCCAAGTTTAGTCTTCACCCTGAACCTGCCTTAAATTCAGCGTCAAAGAAAAAAAATCTGTTTTATTAAATGATGATGAAGTCTGCGGTGGGAGATCTGACAGCGCCATCGCGATAAAACCCTTTTACATTTTGATCTTTGTTTTATCTTACAAATATTTCTGCGATTAACAACATCTCATCACTGCTGGGGTCAGAGGTCAGAGTTTATCTCCTGGACGAGTTAAATATCTGAGGTTCTATAATGAGACACTGTTGAGAGACTCTGAACTCACACAACCACTGTCATCTTTTATGTCATATTATATCAGCGCACGAGAGTTTAAAGATGCACTATGTAAAGGCCAATTTACGGTCCAGCGTCAAATCATCTGCATCACAACGCAGAGAGTGTGTGTCAACGTGAACCCCCTACGCAAAGTGTCTGCGTCAACCGACGTGCACCCCCAAAATTTTCTAACTACGCGTCGAAGCGATGCAGACAGCAGGGGAAGCGACGCAGACGATAAGGGCTGTGATTGGTCCTCTGTACCGCCGCTCTACATACATTTCCTGTACTCAGCTTTCCTTTCTTTCAATATACATTGAGTAATAATGTGTTTAATTCAGCTTTGTGCACATGTGTTTACGTTTTACAGAAACAAAACTTAAAACCACACAGCTAATTTGCATAAACTAATCGAACTAAAAACAGCCCTTTCCTTGTGCGCTGATGCGGTTCAGCTTCTGTCGGACTAAAGGACATGACTCAGTGGAATCTGAGTGTTCTTTCTGTGACAGAGGGATGTTCTGCTGATGGTGAATCTGTTCTGTTGTCGTGTTGGAGATGGTTCATGTGAAACTTTTCTGAGATTATACGTGTGCAGGTCACACGCGTAGACCGTTTATATGAATGGACAGATATTCTAGCCTTTTAGCGTTTTGGCGGTGAATTAATTTGCGGTGCATAGACCTTGACACATATTTTCATATGTGAAAAACGACCGTGACAAGGCGACGGCGGCAGTGCGCATTGAGTCGATGCAGAACTATACTTTGCCCTTAACTTTTCTGGTGTGGCTTCTGGAAACTATTTGTCTCCAGGGAGATGTTATTGCTTTTCCTTGAATGTTCCAAGAAAAGGCATCAAACTTACATCTCCATGGAGCATCATTATCAAAAATATCGAAAATCAGATACTAATCAATGCTAAAACTGTCGTTGAAAGTAGATACTCATTGACCCTTTGAGCCCGACGGTATCGTATACGATATCTGGGAATATGTTTTATATAACCACACATAACTTTGCAACCATAAAAGACAGAAACTTACTTTTCTCCCTTTGAAAAGCTGGGACTTGCTAACCTGATTCATCAGTCGGTTTTACTTTGTGGAAACCGTCTGACTTCGCAGCATTAGGATTCGTTCGCTCGACAGTAGACGGGTACTTTTTTTATTTAACCAGTCGCTGCTGTTTGGTCGTGACGTATGTAATGCTCCAAATCCCGAAGGAAGAAGGACAATAACGTCTTTCCCCTTGATAAAATTCACCAAACATTCTCTTTGTTCCGGCTTTAAATCCTCGATCTCGAGAATCGTTGCCAACACAGAATGTCTGGCTCTTCACTGATTGGCTGGTGCCTGAACTCGAACTTCTGGGGTTCTTGCAAACCGTCTAGTGTATTCTGATAACTGATTTAGTCGCTGGAGAGAAATTAAATTGAGCACCATCAAAGCAAAATCCCAATCCCTCACTCGACCTCGGTTATGAATTTAAAAAGTCAACGCCAAAGCAAAAGGCTCCAACTGTTCACCAAGAAACACCTTCCACTGCAAAGAGACCAAGACGTGATGTTGCTGTAAAACCACAAGAACAAGAAAGTGCAGCTCAGTCTGTTTGTCTTCTGCTCCTCTACATTAACAAACGGGATTTTGTTTTGTTGTTGCTCCACATACAAAATGTTCTCTGTAAACTCAGGATGATTTCTTAGTCAGACAAATGTTTCCTTTTTGGTTCTTCCTGTGGATCAATCCTGCCCATCGCCTTCACCTTTCACTATTTTTCAAATTCGTTTATGTGACACGTTTGACATTTTCACTGTTTTGATGATTAAAATTAGCGTTTTTCATATTCACATTAACTGGTTTAACAAAGACTTTTAGTATCACAGCCATAATTTAGCCTTTATATTTTTATTTAACCATACTGAATCAATTTGATATATATTTTATTGAACCGAAAGTTCACCTGTCGACATGTATCGTATCGTGGCTTATGTATCGAGGTATGTATCGTATCGGCAACTGCTTAACGATACAGATTTTATAACAATTTTAAAAAAATAAATAAGAACAGCAAGGTGCCAAGGTGTCTCTTTTTAATTATGGAAAAATGTCAAAGAGAATTTGAGACAGTTTTAAGCAAGGATTTAAACTGCTCAAGTGACTGTGCAGTTCTAATGTTTCAGAGGCAAAATAAATTCACAACACATAAAAAAATCCCATACAGTCCCTTTAACTTCTCCGTGCCTCTTGTGTGTTTGCAGTTGGACGTGATCATCGCTGACCTGGACGGTGGAACAGTGACGATCCCCGAGTGCGTCCACATCTCTCTCCTGCCTGAACCTCTGCTGCAGCAAACACAGACTCTGCTCTCGATGGTGAGGAACAGCGTCCAACAGACTGCTCATGGTTTTAATACTCTGCTCTTTTAACATTGCACACGACTGGGCACAGATGTGAGAGTCGACCGCTGTGTTATTAGTCATAATGTGTCTTAGTTCTGTTCCCGGTCTCAGTCCCGGTCTCAATCCTGGTCTGGTCACGGTCTAAGTCCTGGTCTCAGTCCCGGTCTGGTTCTGGTCTGGTCCTGGACCTGGTTCAGTCCTGTTTCAGTTTGTACGTGGCACAAAAGTCCAGCATCACAGTTTAAGTCACGTAAACGGGACTTTTGTGCCACATACGAACTGAAACAGGACTGAACCAGGACTGAACCAGGTCCAGGACCAGACCAGAACCAGACCGGGACTGAGACCAGGACTTAGCCCGGGACCAGACCAGAACTGAGACCAGGACTTCGTATGTGGCACAAAAGTCCAGCATCACAGTTTAAGTCACACGTGAACGGGAAACGGTCGTTATGCGTTTTTTCATTTAAATACAAAATCAAAAACTGAAAAAATGAATCGTTATTTGTTTTTTCATTTTGGTTTTGGAGACAAATCATGAAGAAAATTGTTGTTTTTTTCATTTTCTTGTTTTTGGTTTTATTTTGAAAAAACAAAAGAATGACACACAGATTCAAAAGGCGACTAAAAAAACTGTTTGTGTTTGTGTGAGCGACGTGTTTAACGGCACAAATCAGTGTTGTAGTTCCAAGTAAGTTTGTTCTTTCTGGTCACACTGTGAAAAATAAAGCTCAGATTAAGTCGAACTTGAGTAACAGAGCTTCTAATGGAGCGGTGCTTCCAGTGAGCTTGAATATTGATGTCATCAGCTTCAAGTATCAACCGTCAAGTGTTTGGATCTTATTTGTATTAGTTAGACCAGGGGTAAATAGCTCCATGTTTAGGCCTTTTGCGTTTGCCTTTGGTTTCTTTTTGTTTTGTTTGGTTGCTGAGTCTCCTGCTGGAGCCGCCTCTCCTCGTGTCTCTGTGTCTCTGTTCAGTGTCAGTGCTTCATTTTCACACTGAGCTGAAGAACTCTGAGGGTGACACGGGAGAATGTGTTTGTTTAATACAGACCGGCCGCCAACAAGGACTGTGGAGTATGAAGAACACGCAGCTCTACTGTGGAAACTTACACTGACTAAATGTTTGGCAATCACAACAGCACTTTGTCTAACATTTATTCATTACGGGTGTTTCAAGTCCGTGTTCTTTTGAGTTTCAAGTACCGTATTTTTTCGGAACCAGCCAAAAAATGTGTAATGAAGAAGAAAAAAACATAAGTCGCACTTCTGGGGGGAAATTTATTTTATAAAATCAGAGACCAGGAACCAACATTTCATCTCAAAAGTTAAGTTGTAGTAAAAACAATAGAAAGAGAGAACAACAGACTGTTAACGTCACATATGAACAGTTCTTCAGATAAACTATAACATAAACAACAGAACAGAACAAGTTTAACAAACTCTCCATCTCACTCCAAATCACTAAATCCATTCAATTCTTCATCCTCGGTGTCACTTCTGAACAACTCAACCTCGACCTCCGGAGGTAAACAGAGCGTCACTTCCTCTTCTGTGTCGCTGTCGTCAGATTCAGCATCAGTTCCAGTTAGAATTATTCGGGTCTTTCTGAATCCCGACAGGATGGTTTCTGTGTCACTGAAGTCCAGGCTTTGTCCATCCATCCAGTGACTTCAGGAAAGTTTCATGGTGCATCCTCCCCGGTTCCCGTGAAGCTGTGTTCTCCATCCCTGCTTTCCTCCAGTCCCTCACAAGTTTCTCGCTCACTCCAAACTTTCTTTCTGCTGCTCGATTCTCGTTTTCGGCTGAATATTTCACGACTTGCAGCAGGACAGAGGCTCTTTCTGCAGGAGACATGTGCAGTAGAGACAGTGACAGTGGTACAGGAGGAACAGGAGCAGCAGATACTCACACACAAGACTAGAACCTCTCACCGCTTCACTCAAACATTTTAATATATAAGTCGCACCGGAGAATAAGTCACAGGAAACACCCAAACCATGAAAAAAAAGTGCCACTTATAGACCAAAAAATACGGCACTTGTGTTTTATTCAGGATCATAATGTTAGTTGGGTTTTTTTTCAGTTGTTCACTAATGCGTCGTCGTTGTTTCCTTTAAGTTTTCGTCTTTCTTCTCTTGATAGTTGTGGATAAATTCTTCATGTTAGAATGTTTATCCTTTGTGGATCTTGTTGGTTGAAGATTTGGTGATGCGGCAGATTTATGAAGCTGCTGGAAAATACGACGCACATTTACACACACATTTTGCATTAAAGTAAGTGATGTTTACCCGACATCGCAACAGGAAACATTATAATAACAGAATATATCATTTATAAGTTATAAGTCACAGGAAACACCCAAACCATGAAAAAAGTACAACTTATAGTCCAAAAAATATGGTAAGAATGAAAAACAATAAAATGTGAAAACAGTTTATTATTATTATTATTATTATTATTATTATTATTTTTTAGTGTCAAACAAAAAAACTGATTTCGACCTCTATTTCCAATATTTATTTTAAAGTTTAATTCAAATAACACCGATCCAAAAACAGTCTCGGTGCCTATATTAATTTTGATATTTTATTCTCTCTGCTTTATTTGCCCCAGAAGGACTTACCTGAAAAATCGTTGGAGTTTTGTGGACAAACATGTCGTCTTCTTTTAAAGCGACGTGTTTACTTTCACGTTTTAGAAAATAATTGTTGAACTCCATGACGAGAAACGGGAAGCAGCGATAAACTCTCCTTTTGTTCAAGCAAATAAACCAGAGTGAATAAAATATCAACATTAAAACGGGCACGATGACTTTTAAAAAAAAATTAACTTTAAATGAAATATTGGAAATAGAGGCTGAAATCTTTTTCTCCCAATTTCTCTCAATTTTTTTTTTATTTGACACTAAAGCGGAATAATTAAATAACAAACGGTTTTCCCATTTTATTGTTTTTTGTTAATTAAAATTCAAAAGTATGAAAAGTACATGGACCATTTCGGTTGCTCAAAAATACAATAATTCTTTCTGCGAATAGGGCGACACTCCACAGATCTGACCTGTAAAGTAGACTATAGTTGCCTCCTTTGAGATGGATTGGTTTAATCGCGAGACAAAGCAATAACATCTCCATGGAGACGAGCAGAAAAGTTGCACAATGCACCTTTAAATGTGCAGTAAATGTTTAAAATGTAGGATTCTGTTCAAAGTTTGCATTGTAAACAAACCAAAAAGACAACTGGGGAAAAATAATTCTACTAATATACCTCAATTATATTACAAACAGACCAGATAAATAAAGTTTATTTTTTGTTCAGGTTTTGGACCCAGAGTTGGAAGTCGCTGACCACGCCTTTCCCCCAGTCTGCAACCAGCCCTCCTCACTAAAAATACAGGTAAAGTTTGGTTTAATCTCAACATTTCTCTTTGTTTTTAGAGTGATTTTAATGTTTGTCTCTGGTGATTTCAGGACAAAGAGATCCGTGCCGTGTTCCTGTGGCTCTTCGCTCGCCTCTTTCGGGGATATCGATGGTGTTTACACATAATCCGCATCCACCCTGAGCCCGTCATCCGCTTCCACAAGGTACGAACTGAACACGACGGCTGCTGCGTTTAAGTCAAATCTGATGTCATCTCGGAGCGTTTTCACATTGCTAGTTTGATTATTTGGTCCGCTCCAGACAGTAAAATAGTTATTCTGTAGCATACCGTATTTTCTGCACTATTAGTCGCTCTGGATTGTAAGACACATGGTCTATTTTCGAACTTTTTTCACCGGACTTTAAAGGAAACCCGACAGTGTGATGGGTGAGTGGTTTTGTTTGTTTGTTCGTTCACGGTGACTCTGGGCTTTGTTCAGTTGTGGCGTTTAGGGAGGGTGTGTCTGGGACCAACGGATTGTCGGCGTGTTCGCAGTGACTCAGTTGTTCAGTCGTGTCTAGAAGCGGCACGTTGCGCTCGCTTTTTCGGTTCGTTCCTCCGTTCTGTTCCTCGTTGGCGTGGAGCGATGAGTGTGTCTGTGGGTGTTTTTCACTGTGCGGTCGCTGGATTCGTGTATAGGGCGCTCTGGATTGTGAGGCGCGGTCGTTTTTTGATGGGGTTGGAGGCTTAAGAGCGTGTCCTGTGGTTCGGAAAATACAATATAGACTCCAGTGTGGTCCGCTTTCACACCGGCAAACAAACCAAAATTGGTCCGTTTGACGTTTCATCAGAAATTGGTAGAAATAAGCTCCTATTTTGTGGTCAGTCCAACGTTCCCCAGGACCGATGTTCCCCTGGGAAACATCAGTACCTCCAGTTGTGAAAGGTACTGATGTTTCCCCATTAATTCCGCGGGTCGTCCTCATCTTAAGTTATCATCATGAACTCGTAAAACAGCAGCATGTAGAACTTTGTACAAACTCACCGCACATCAGCCTGGAGCAGAAGCTCTGAGCTCGGGTAACAGTGATAAAGACTCAGGAGCACTCATCGTAGCTCGCAGCCCATCAGGACGGACATGAGGGTCTGGTCCTTGGTCTTGTGCCGTGCTGGTCAGATAGGACTGGAGGTTCCATCCTCCATGTGCTGGTTCCAGATGGGGGCGAGTAAGACCAGTGCGCAGTGGACTGGTCAGAGCGGGTCTGTGCCGTCCTCAGCACGCTGGATGTTCTCACTTTGGTACTCACTCTGATCTTCGTATATCATATTGTCTGTATTGGCCATTGTTGGCAAAATAATTTGAAAATGAGTCACGGCTGCATCTGGACAACAATTTGTTATTGCTTTGGAGTCGGCGGAGGTGTATTGAATGTCATTTCAGGCAGAGGAGATGCATGTCTCCTCCCATGATGCATTTCGAGTAGTTCATTTAGAGCTACTGTTTCTGGTTTGCACCTGAGTTCAAGTTCACACCAGAGGAACCGCACCAGAGTTTGGCATTTGGTGTGGAATCAACTGAACCGAGAGCATCTCTTTTCTGAAGTTTCGGTCCATTTGAGTTAGTGCAGATCCGACTGCGACTGACGCTTTCACACCAACAAAACAAACTGAACTTAAGAGCTTTTGGTTCGACTGGAACATTTGGTGCGCACCAACTACTGTCGGTGTGAAAGCTGCACTATGTAACGTTTTGGTTTGGGGTCAGTCACTTGCTTGTTTCTTTGGATATGTCACACGTCTACCTGGAATATTCCACAGTGTGACATTAAACGGCTCTAACTTACTTTTATTCAATCACAGGTGATTTTATAGCTCAAAAATACCTACAAAAACAGACGTTCTGACTGTGAGCGGGGTCGCCTCTCCACAGATCTGACCTGTAACTTGGTCTGGTTTGGTCTCTATGAAGATCGAAAGGTTTAATACCATAGATAAAAGCGTTTGACAGACCCTCCACTAGAAAAGTTACACAGTGCACCTTTATGTAATAATGTGACTTACCCTGCATTTGTCTCATCCTCAGTTTATGTTCAGGTCTCATGTGAAGCTCAGAACCTCCAGAATTCCCTCTGTGAGCTGCAGAGGCCGCACTAGCACTGACTCTGATATTGTGTGTTCCTCGTGTGATAAAGTGTTCTGTCCGTGTCTGATTTTCAGGCTGCGTTCTTGGGTAAAAGAGCTCTGTCTGAGGACGACTTCCTGATGAAGGTTCTGGATGGAATGGCCTTCGCCGGGTTTGTGTCTGAGCGAGGACCTCCCTACAGAACCACGGACCTGTTCGACGATGTGAGAAGAATTAATATACATGTGTTACTGTGTAAAGGGATGCACCGATACAGCTTTTTCAGTTCAGATACTATTTTCGATACTATGGCTTTACATATCTGTCTATTATCGATATGAACCGATACCACTGCAGAGACAGAAAACAACATTTATTTCTATAAAACTACAATGAAATAAGAAAAAACTGTTGCAAATGTGTTATATATATAAGTGTCTTTTATCTTTTAAAGGAACAGTTTGGAATTTTGGACATAGGGCCTCATTTCCTAGTGAGCCTGAATAATAAGAGAATAATTTTAGAAGTAAAACCAACCTTGCATTTGAAGGATTTATGTCTGAGCAGCAGTGATTTGTACTTCCTGATAGAAAACTCAGCAGCGGCGGACTGACCTTACCTAGCACAAGGGCGTCAAACTCAAATTCACAGAGGCCAAAATTAAAAACTGGGACTAAGTCATGGGCCAAACTAAATATTTATTGAAAAACTTCAGCAACATCTGCGTGTTTTTTCTTCTTTTGAGATATGTAATGTTAAATCTTTTCTTATTAAAATAAATGTTTCATAATAGTTTTGCTTAAACATTGAATCCAGAACAAGCAGAATATAAAATAATAACAACACTGTCAATAAATAATGTCTCTAATACATATGATCTTGCGGGCCAAATACAATTGTATCACGGGCCAAATTTGGCCCCCGGGCCTGAGTTTGACATGTCTGACCGAGCACCTGTCTTACTGGCAAAGTAAAAATCTGCTGCTGCTGAGAAAATAGTCCCTCAACATGTGTCGATTCACGTGATACAAAAGTTAGTTTTATTTCAAACATTATTCTATCAACACAGACGTTCACATGGACAGTCTGGTGTAATAATAGATTTGCTTCGGGTGTTTTGTGGAGTGAGTAAGACAGTTTTTAGTGGCAGGATAAACTATGACCATTGACATGCACTAGTCTAACACCAGTGACCTCTGCAAATACAAGGACTGGACGGAATATTTAAAAAAGTGTCTCCACACGTCTCCAACACTCTGGATCACGAGGAAATGAGGTCCTGTGTACAAAATTCTGGACTGTCCCTTTAAGTAACTACAGCGTAGGGCCCAACCAATATATCGGTTGGCCAATTGTTTAAATATGACGTAAAGAGGCAAAATAACAATAAATGTCGCCTAAACAAACCCAACTTAAAATCTAATACAGACAGACCTAAGTTTTATAATCAGCTGAAGATTTACAGTGAATTTTAATGTCACTAAATATATCGGCAGCTGCAAAGCCTGTTATATCGGTGTCATATCGGCTCCAAAAAAAAAAAATCCATATGTGCAGAGCTTTGCATAAGTGAAAATTCAAACATTGTGAGACTTTCTGGGCGAATTACAACTAGTAAAAAGTCTGATTTACAAAGACTACTATCTAATTTATATGCCAAATGAAGATATGACTGAATCGATATTTGGAAGACGATATCTAGTCCAGCAAGTTTTTCAATTTTGGTGCCGACATCAGATCCCAGTATCGGATTGGTGCATCCCTTGTGTTACATCATCTCTCATGTTGTGTGTGACCTGGAGCCTGACCTGGAGAACCGAGTCGTTAGAGTGTAGTGTCGATGTACAGCAAAGGTGGGACTTGCAAGTCGTGACTTGGACTCAAGTCGTGACTTGAGTCACTATTTTTAGGACTTGAGACTTGACTTGATAAAATAGACAAAGACTTGGGAGTCGACTTGGACTTGAGGCCTGTGACTTGAGAAGAATTTATGCTTCTTCTAAAAAAATATATGTTTTTAGAAAATACTTTTCTCTTTACTTTTGATAAATGTGGTGCTTAATTTTATAGGAACATGTCCCTCCACTTCTGTTACTTTGTACTTTGTACTTTGTAACTGAAGTACTGTGATGTGGTATCCTCAAATGTACTACAGTAATATACAGTACAACACAGGAATATACAGTACAACACAGTAATATACAGTACAACACAGTACAACACAGTAATATACAGTACAACACAGTAATATACAGTACAACACAGTAATACAGAGGGAACTACATGACAAATAACTGTTATTTAGCAGTTTTAAATCTGAATTCTTTCTATTCTAACGTAATGATTCACACTAAGATCTTGTCAAGACATTTAAAAAGAAAAAAATTACATTTCTACAGCTTTTCTATAAATACTCATATATAAATGTACCATGACTTTAGTTTAAAATTCATATAAATTGCAAAAATCTAAGCTATATTTGGTACTTTTTTGGTTTAAAGACTTGAAACGACTTGAAGCTCAAAGCAGACGACTTGGACTTGACTTGGACTTGAGCTCAAAGACTTGAGACTCGCAAAACAATGACTTGGTCCTACCTCTGATGTACTGTACAAGACATGAGGCATTTTCACTCAAAATAGTATCAAGTCCCTGGTCCTTATTCAGTAAGAGGGAGTCATGAACTGTACATCAGCTAATTGCGACGCTCTTATCTTGGAGTCAGTCTGCTTTCTCTAAATCAGATTTATCGGACTTAAAGCTGCGGCGCCGCGCTCCAGTTTCACTTCACTGTCAGAAAAAAACTGCGCAAGTTCCCGAAAATGAACTCATGTGGATATTAACTCTGTAATAATGATTTTGTGAGAGCTAGAGATGAGTTACACAGTTAAATACACACTTCCTCCCTCCGCAGTGTGAGAATAAGTTGCCCTAGTTTGCATGTTCTCCCTGTGCCTGTCCTCCCCTCCTCTAAAAACACAGACAGTAGGGACACATCCAGGGCCAGGACTCGACTGAAAAACAGATTCTTAATTTCCCTGAAGAGGAGATGAAAAATAGTGGGACTGTCCTGGCTAAATAAAGATCAATAAATCGGACAAAAATAGGACTTAAAATGATTTATTTATATTTGTTTGTGCAGCTCATGGCCAATCAGGTGGAGAGGATTCGACAGGCGGAGGGCGACCCCCACAGAACCATGAACCACATCAAGGAACTGGCAGAACATCTCTTTAAAAACGTAAGTCCGGTCTCATCGTGCTCTCCTACGCACTCTGAAACTTACCTGAAGAATTATAGCGTTGTATGAGCAGTTTTATTTTATTATTTTATTTTACCTTCTGTCTTCCTTATATGGTCTTCCTCTTCTTCCTCGTCCTCTGCAGGAGAACCCGTACCCCACCGTGTCAATGCACAAACTGCAGCGTCCGTCAGAAAACGCCCAGACTCCGCACTCCCCGTTCCCGCCGCTGGACGACGTGGCCGTTCAGCTCTTCGTGGACCACGCTGCTGCTAAACTCAAGACGGCGCCCCCTGTGGTGAAGGCCGAGGTCAAGGCCATGGTGCCCTCCGGACCTCCTCTGGGTGAGACACATGAACACACGACGACAAATGAAAGGGATTTCTGGATGCAGCCTCATTCATCATTCACCAGTTTCTTTTTGTGGAAACTGTCTGACCTCGCTGCATTAGAATTCGTTCACTCAACTGGTATATATATTAAGCTTTTTTTTCCCTAAATCAGTAGGAAGAAGAAGGACAATAACGTCTTTCCCCTTGATAAAATTCACCAAACATTCTCTTTGTTCCGGCTTTAAATTCTCGAGGATCTCAGGAATCGTTGCCAACACAGAATGTCTGTCTTCGTCTATGTCCATCTCGACACTTTGTTTACTGTTTTACTGTTGTGCTGAAACACAAAAGGGACACAGACAGACGCCGACGAGTTTAACGTCATGGTTTCAAAGCTCCTCGCTGACTGGCCGGTGTGCCGTCTACAACTTTCAGGGTTCTTGCAAACCGTCTAGTGTTTTCTGATTCCTGACCTAGTCGCTGGAGAGAAATGAAATTGGGCGGAGGCACGAGGTGGCGCCAGCCTGACTACCAGTGAGTGTCTCTATGTCAACTGGAAGCAACTACAAGCAGCAACACCCTCCAGTTATTTTAATAGATCCATGGTTCGCGGTAGTAAGCCTGACATAATCTAGGAAAAATGAGAAAATGTCCCAGTTTTCTTCATCTCCATGTCATTGTAGCGTTCCGTTATGTTCAGCAAATCAACAATCACAACCGTACCTCAGTTTTTATTATTTCTCCACTGACGCACAACTCCGAGTGCACTGGGTACATGGAAATAGAAGAGACGAGGACAATCCGTGTATCATTCGTTCATTCGTTTTTCAATATAAAACCAAAAATAAGAAAACGAAAAAACAACAGTTTTCTTTGTTATTTGTCTCCAAAACCAAAATGAAAAAACGGATAACGATTCGTTTTTTTCAGTTTACGTGACTTCCGTGACTGCGATGCTGAACTTTTGCACCGCATATGGACTGAACCGGGACTGATCCAGGTCCGAGACCAGAGCGGGACTGAGACCGGGACCAGAGCGGGACTGAGACCGGTACCAGACCGAGACCAGAGCGGGACTGAGACCGGGACCAGACCGAGACCAGAGCGGGACTGAGACCGGGACCAGACCGGGACCAGGGCGGACTACGAGCTTTGACTCCGAGCCTCCACGGGGTCCGAGCCTCAGCTTCGAGCTCCGGCCCTGCCGTGGGCTCTGAGCCTCCGGTCCGGTCTGGTCCCGGTCTGGTCCTGGTCTTGTCTCGGTCTAGGGCGTGACGTGACGTAGGTTTACGTGCGCAAATCGTAGTTGCAGGTGGGATTTATAAAGCAAAGATTGCGTGGTTTGGTGCGTGCGGTGGGTTTTCTAAATATGGAGTTTGCGTGGCGCACGCCTTGTCGTAGCTACAGGCGTACGCACGAACTTACGACAACTCCTGCGCAGTTTTTATAAATGAGGCCCCTGGTCCTCCGCACTCAAGAACCGCTGCTGGTTCCGAGGTGGTGCAAAGCATCCGACTGACGCATTCACACCAATGAAAATGAATCGAACTAAGAGCTTTTGGTTCAAATGGACCAGGTCCGGGACCAAACCGGGACCACAGCGCTACTGAGACCGGGACCGGGACCAGACCGGGACCAGAGCGGGCCTGAGACTGGTCCCGGTCTCTGGTCCCGGTCTCAGTCCCGCTCTGGTCTCGGTCTCAGTCCCGCTCTGGTCTCGGACCTGGATCCGTCCTGATTCAGTCCGTATGCGGTGCAAAAGTTCGGCATCGCAGTCACGGAAGTCACGTAAACGGGAAACGGCCGTTATCCGTTTTTTCCATTCTTCATTTAAACACAAAATCGAAAACTGAAAAAACGAATCGTTATCCGTTTTTTCATTTTGGTTTTGGAGACAAATAACGAAGAAAACTGTTGTTTTTTTCGTTTTCTTATTTTTGGTTTTATATTGAAAAACGAATGAACGAATGATACACAGATTGAGGACGACAAATTCAATTCTATTCTAGTCACTGGAGAGAAATGAAATTGAGCGGAGGCACTTGGTGGCACCAGCCTGACTAACAGTGTGCAGCCTGTGCTCTAAACCTGGATAAAGACGACACCTCTGTGAAGTCGCCCCATCAAACGCAAACCTACACAAAAACTATGTCAATCGTTCGTCCTTCGTTTGTGCTGCAAAAAGTTCCATTTGTGCTGCTTTAGTTTTGAAGATATTAACAATTCTTTTATCAGTCAAATTGGGGTCAGCAGCCTCCAGGAAGATTCAAAATGCTCTAAAACGGCCCAAAATGGTGTCAATCATTTGTTCTTCGTTTCTGAGATTACTGTTCTTAAAATATTAGCAGTTTTATTTTCAGCCGTTGATGTCATCCAGTAGCCAGGCTGGCCCCACCTAGTGCCTCCAGTTTCATTTCTCTCCAGTGACTAGGTTAGGAATCAGAATACCCGGAAGTTGTAGACTGCACACCAGCCAATCATCTGTGAGCTTTGAAGTCATGACGTCAAACTCACGCGTCTGTCTGGGTCTCTTTTGTGGAACAGAACAACAGTAAACAAAGCGTCGAGATGGACGTAGACGAAGACAGACATTCTGTGTTGTCAACGATTCACAAGATCGAGGATTTAAAGCTGGAACAAAGAGAATGTTTGGTGAATTTTATTAAGGGAAAAGACGTTATTGCAGGTTTGGTGCATTACATACATCACGACCAAACAGCAGCGACTGGTTAAATAAAAAAAGTACCCTCCTACAGTCGAGCGAACGAATCCTAATGCTGCGAGGTCACACAGTTTCCAGGAAGTGAAACCGGCTGGTGAATCAGGCTAGTCATCCAGCCCCTCAAAATGTTAAATAGCCTCAAAACAGGCAGAGAATTATAGAAAATGTTTGTATTTTGTTTGTCAAGTATATTTCTAAAATTTATATTTTTGTGGAAATTATATGACATCATTTCCACTCCGCTGACGACAGCGGCTTTAGCAAAACTCTACAAAACTAGTGAAGAGAAACGATCTCAGGCTGTGGAAAAGTCTGTATGAGTCTGTAGTAATTTGCTTTTGATTCAAATATTTTATATTGTAATAGATACTTTTCCAAAGCCTAAGATTCTTTATCATTTTATCGTTGGTTATCATTTTAGCACAAACTATAGACATAGTTTTTGTGTGTGTGTGTTTGATGGGGGCCAACTTCATGGAGGTAAAAAGGATACATACGGATTTGTCTCATTCTCAGTTTATGTTCAGGCCTCATGTGAAGCTCAGAACCTCCAGAATTCCCTCGCTGAGCTGCAGAGGCTGCACTAGCACTGACTCAGGACTGGTGCAGGTGCTGGGGTTTAGGGAGAGGCCGTTCAGAGAGAGAGGCATATTTTAGGTTTAAACACAACGTTGAACCAGCAACTCAAATAAGAGAGTCACGTGAGACTCATTCTGCTTCTGATCGGAGAATCGTCTGGAACCAAAACACCAAATTCTATCAAACATCATGGCCTCTTTTCTCGATAGTTAAAGTGAAAGTGTGTTTCTGTTTACCAGGCGACACGGTGGACCGGAACAGTCACGTGATGGCGAACAGCGCCCGCAGACTGGAGGTGGTCAGAAACTGCATCACCTACATCTTCGAGAACAAGATGCTGGAGGCCAAGAAGGTAAAAGTCCCACACACACAGAATAACCAACGCGTGAAACGACTATTATTTAAGTTTTTTTAATGAGAAGTGGTTTGTTTTTTTTTGTCCCAAGTCGTCGTAGATGATCATTTGACATTCTTATTTTTACTTGTGTCTTATTTCTGTCTTTTTCCGTACTGCTTTTCTTTTTTTGCCTGCCGTGCTGAGGGCTCTGACACACAGCCCTTGTACAGTCACTGGACATTTTTTCCATATTTTAGTCTAATATTGCTGTTGGGTTGTGTCTATAGCTGATGCTGAGAGCTTTGATAGACAGACCATAGTATAATCCCAACATTTGTTCCACATATTTCTCATCTCAACTCCACTTTATTTCTAGAGGACTTTAAAAACAACACAGTCGACCAAAGTGCTGGACACAAATTAGAAAGGACACAAAACAAACAGTGACAAATAAAGACAATAAAGAGTAAAGAAAATGGTCAACCGTCAGACTCAGAGTTAAAAGCCAATTTTAACTTAGTCTAAAATGTCTAATTTTACTGTTCTTTTATCTGTATTTGATCCTGAGAGCTCTGAAATGCAGATAGAATATAATACTGGACATTAATACCTTTTACATGTAGAGTTGGGTGGTAATACTTTATTACGATATCCCGCAGTATCAGAAAGTAGCAATGGTATCAGTTTTATTACCAAGAGTGAAAAAACGCATAGTACACTCAGATGGCCGATGTACAAAAGCTTATTTATTTTCAAAATAACATTTTGGCAAAAAAAAAAGCCTTCATCAGATATTTTTCTTGCTTTGGACCACAGAACAGTGCCACACTTTCTCGCTGTGGTATAATAAATAATAAATAAGCTTTTGGACATGGGCCATCTGAGTGTGCTATGCATTTTTTCACTCTTGTCTGGCTGCTCCTTGCATTTGCACCTATACAAGAATTTTGGTGTGTGTTTTCAGTTTCTTTGGATCAGTTTCATTACCGTCATAAAAAAAATCTGCAGCACATAAAGACCTAATATAATATTATAATTTATTGATACCTAAATTTGTTTGCTTGTGTGGTTGTATTTTCAGTTTAATCCGTCACGATTTAAAACTAATAGTGTCTAAAATGTTTCTTTTCACTGTGTGGGGAGACGACGTTCGATTAGTTTCGTTCCGTTGTCACGTGACGCTCATAAGGGACAAGATGGCAAGTCAGGCCGCGAGCGAGTGGGTCCCGAAAAATCAAAAAAAATACTAGTACTTCTGCAATTTAGTAGCATTTTGGCTTCAGGCCGAATGAAAAGGGAGGCAGGGAAATAAACCAACTGATCGTACCCATTGTGACCAGTGCATTTGCTATTTATTGTTCTTTTATTGTTAGTGTTTTTATTATTACTGTATTTTTCGGATTATAAGGCGCAATATCAATAACGTTGGATTCTCTCATCTATTTTCATACTTAAGATACATTAAACAAAAAAAACGGTCAACACTTGAGACTAGGGATGGGCATTCGATGAAATTTTCTTAATCGATCGTCGGAAGAATTAACGATCGATTATCGATTAATCATTAACGTTTTTATATTAAAATGATCATCATTATTATTACTATCTGCACTAATCTGCATAAATAAATTCAACTTTACGACATATAAACCGTAACGACTCTAGAGCCACATCAGCCCGTTTGACATTATAATGTGTTTAATTCAGTTTTGTTCAAATCTCACAGAAACAAAACTTAAAACCACATCACTAATTTACATAAACTAAGTGAAGATAAAACTCCAGCTCTTGTGTCGCTGATGTGGTTCAACTTGTGTTGGATTAAAAGACATGACTCAGGTGAATACAGGTCAGTGTGACCAGATATAGCCCAAAATGTGAAAACAGGAAAATACCGCCGTGTAATCCATTTATTTCAACAAAGTAACTGTAATCCAATTACCTCTCACTGAAACAGTAACTGTAACTGAATACAGTTACTCATAATTTGTACTCTGATTACATAACTCTGGTACATGTAATCTGTTCCTCCCCAACACTGTCTGTTGTTATAATATATGATGTCATAATGAGTGGACATGTGTAGCGTGTTAGTCTGATGTCAGTGTTGTGTTGTGTGCAGCTGATGCCTGCCGTGCTGCGAGCGCTCAAAGGCCGAGCTGCTCGTGTGTGTCTCACTCAGGAGTTAAACCAACACGTCCTTCAGAACAGAGCTGTTCTAGACGACCAGCAGTTTGATTACATCGTCCGCATGATGAACTGCACTCTACAGGTGAGCGCTGGGGTCACGATACTAACATCACAAACTCCAGGAATAACTTGGTCCTTGATACTTGATACTGATTCTGATACCGATACCACAATGATAATATAAAACCACTTTCTTTAGACAATAAAAGGTGATATTCAGTATTCAGTGGTAGAACTTTCTTTTTTATTCCCATGTGTCCTTATATCTGTGTAATCCCTCAGTGGTCCAGGTCTAAACCAGGTCTAAACCAGGTCTAAACCAGGTCTAAACCAGGTCTAAACCAGGTCTAAACCAGGTCTAAACCAGGACTAAACCAGGTCTAAACCAAGACTAAACCAGGTCTAAACCAGGACTAAACCAGGTCTAAACCAGGACTAAACCAGGACTAAACCAGGACTAAACCAGATCTAAACCAGGTCTAAACCAGGTGTAAACCAGGTCTAAACCAGATCTAAACCAGGTCTAAACCAGGTCTAAACCAGGTCTAAATCAGATCTAAACCAGGTCTAAACCAGGTCTAAACCAGGTCTAAACCAGGACTAAACCAGATCTAAACCAGGACTAAACCAGATCTAAACCAGGTGTAAACCAGGTGTAAACCAGGTCTATACCAGGTCTAAACCAGGTCTAAATCAGATCTAAACCAGGACTAAACCAGGTCTAAACCAAGACTAAACCAGATCTAAACCAGGACTAAACCAGGTCTAAACCAGGACTAAACCAGATCTAAACCAGGACTAAACCAGATCTAAACCAGGTGTAAACCAGGTGTAAACCAGGTCTAAACCAAGTCTAAACCAAGTCTAAACCAGGTCTAAACCAGGTCTAAATCAGATCTAAACCAGGACTAAACCAGGTCTAAACCAGGACTAAACCAGGTCTAAACCAGGTCTAAACCAGGACTAAACCAGGTCTAAACCAGGTCTAAACCAGGTCTAAACCAGGTCTAAACCAGATCTAAATCATGTCTACACCAGGTCTAAACCAGGTCAAACAACAAATGTAGTTTTAATGTTTCCCTAAATGTTTCCCTTCTCTCCAGAAAAACTTGTAAATGAAAATCCACTGCTCCCTTTGGTGAAATTCATCCACGAAGAAGCAGCAGAGTCTTTCTAACAAGGACACATTATATTTCTGTACTTTAAGTCTGAATCTTTGTCGCACCTAACAAGAAATACAGTGTTTTACTTTAATGTGACCAAAGCAAATAATCAAATCTAACGGCGCGACATTTGTTTTATTGTTGAAATGTCTAAATGTTTCTCTCTTTCTCCAGGACTGCTCTCACATGGACGAACACGGCATCGCTGCTGCTCTGCTCCCTCTGGTCACGGCCTTCTGCAGAGTACGTTCACTTCACTGGTTTCATATCAGCCTGACTCGGTCCCATATCAATTTGACTTAGTTCCAGACTAAATATATATCTGTGTGTGTTTGTTTTTCCTTTTACAGAAGCTGGGCGCAGGGATCACACAGTTCGCCTACAGCTGCGTCCAGGAGCACACGGTCTGGACCAACATGCAGTTCTGGGAGGCCATGTTCTACAGCGACGTTCAGAACCACATCCGGGCTCTGTACCTGGAGAGCGAAGAGGAGCAGGGCAACCACGTGAGAATAAATGTGTTTACCGTAATTTCCGGACTATCGAGCGCACCTGAATATAAGCCGCAGGTGTCCACGTCTTCAAGAACGTTTTCAAGTTTGGTCCGTCTGCTTTTATCGCCTCTGAACGTTTTTGTCGTCTTTTTGCGTTGAGTCAGATCGTCGCTGCCGTCGCCAAAATCTCACTGACGTCGAGCTCACGTGCAGCAGCTCTGTTTCCTTCTTCCACAGTCAAGTCTTTTGAACCATATCGCTTTTGTTTCTGGTTCTGATATTGTCATATTTTAGTTTTTGGTTCTTCCTGTGGATCAATCCTGCCCATCGCCTTCACCTTTCACTGTTTTTCAATTCTGTTTGGAAGAAAAACAGTTTGAACGGAGGTTTGAGTCACACACATCTGATTCCCTTTTGCATTTATGGAGTTCGCAAACTTCCGAAGCCCATTTCTCGTGTCGTTTTCCGCTGTTAGGATCCAACAACCACACAATTACGAATATTGTTATATTTCCCAAAACTGAAATATAACAATATCAGAACCAGAAACAAAAGTGATATGGTTCAAAAGACTTGAAAAGATCGACTTTGACAATAGACACATCCCACTGGGAAAACAAACATGGTGGTTTGATGCTCACTTTTTCAGAGTATTCTTCCCAGTATGCACTGTGCGATGGCGAAGTCCAAAATTCGGGATGCATGTGTATTGCCTTTAACTTAAAGGTTGTATAGAGGAATTTTTTAAGGGAAGAGAAATACAGCGACAGTCCTTGTGCGCATTCAGAATTACTGTTGAAGTTTCCTGTCTAGAAGTAATTCTAGACCAGCCATCGCTGGACGAGATCTCCAAGAATCACCTCAGTTTGGCTTTGCTCCTTTTCTCCTTCTCTTCTTCTTTCAGCGACCTCAAAAACAGACTTTCTTTTGCGGCGAACCGGTCGTGGATTCTCGTCCGCCGTCACGACAAACTTTGTGCGAAATGCGAGGAAGCGACAGTTAGAAAAAGCCTCTAAGAACCGCTGCGTAAACCACGTAATCCCCGCGCTGCGACGAGTCAGTTATACTAGGGAGTTTGATTGACAACCTAACAGCCGATAGAAAATGAGGGAGCCTCGTTTTCTATTGGCTGATGTTTATCTGGCCTCACTATGTCCACAGTTGATAGATTTTCGTTCTTTTTTTTTGGTCATCATAATTACAAAGCTGCTGCGTCTCTGTAATGGTATTTTAATCTTTCACTGACAGTTTGAAACAAAAAAAAATCCTCCATACAACCTTTAAAAGCTTCATCATCTGCATTTCTTCGTGTGTTTTCCATGAGGAGGGTGTGTGTATGAAGCACAAAATAACTGGCGCGTCACCTCGTCTTTCCCCCACGCTCTCCTGCAGAAAGAGTCTCTGTTCTGTCTGTATCATGTCAGTGTCTTGGAGGATTCCAGCAGATTTCAGACTCTCAGGGGGCGGGGACAGGTGTGTGGATCAGGTGTGAGTGGATGTGCGGCTACTGAAGTTTGAGACATTTCTTCTCGTCATTTATACACTCACCTGCATTTAACACACACGGGTCATTAAGACGAATCACACTAATAGCATCAGAACTTATTTCATCACACAGCGATAAACTGTTTTAGTGCGGACGACATCGCGAGCTAACACTGCCACTTCATGCGAACCACACAGACAGCGGAGCTTTCTGCACTCAGGCTGCGCACATCCACTATTAATATGCACTAATAATCCGTCCATATATTCACCGCATCGTTTTATAAGACACAGGGTTAAAAGTGTGAGAAAAAAATAGCAGTTTATTGTCCAGAAATTACGCTAATTATCCCAAAAGTAGTAGTTTATCTGGTCATTTTGCAGCACTACAAACAAAACCTAGACTACAACCCCGTGGATCATGACCAAAAGGGTTTAGGTGAAGTCAAAAGTTCTTATAATGCCTCAGCCCATTAAACAATGACAGAATTCCAAGTTGTTTTTTGTAGTAGTGAGAATAAATCTGTTATATAGTACCTAAACATTACTCAAAGTGGTGAGGGTCTGATTTTTTTGAGCCGAAATCCATGTCTGATATTTAGTTTAATGCCTCCACTAAAGCTAAACCAAAGGTTGGAGGATCGATTCCCGCTCTGAAGAGTTCTGTCGTTCTCTAGGCAACACACTTTGACACCTCCCTCGTCTAGTGTGAAGGTGGTGCCTGAGTGTTGCTGGTGGTCAGAGGAGCCGATGGCAGCCCCTCGCTTCAGTTAGTCTGCCCCCGAATGAACGAATAATGACTATAGTGTCGCACTTTGAGCACAGACTGTATATCCACCTGTAAATAGACACAGATACACTCTCGCCGGCGTGTCCCAAACAGGAAGAGAACATGGCCGCGCTTCTGGCTCCATCGACTCACAAACACAACTTAACACATCAAAATGACAAAAAGACAATTCTCCCCAATTACTGTGTGACATTTTTGCGGTAAATCTGTGAATCCATCCAACTCACTCTGCGCCAAATCAGCCCGAGTTTGTGTTTTGGAGTCCTGATTTGATTGGAGGTTCCATTGCACTTTCTCGAGGTGGAGGTCGGTTTTCCCCGAGTCCCGAGCGCAGTAGAATGCAGCGTTAGATGCGGGTTACAAATCTGTATCCTAATAATTTCCCTTTTGGATCAATAGAGTTTGTCTGAGTCTATCCCGTGTTTCCCTCGTGTGTGTCTGCGTCAGGAGCAGGAGGGCGAGGACGGCAGGCGGGAGCTGAGCGCGCTGGAGCTGGCGTCGGAGCAGAACCGTCTGTGGCCGACTCTGAGTAAAGAGCTTCAGACTGAGCGCGTGCAGAAGGAGGAGAGCACCGTGTTCAGTCAGGCCATCCACTACGCCAACCGCATGAGCTACCTCCTCCTGCCCCTGGACACCAGCAAGAACCGACTACTGCGGAGCTCCGGCCTCGGCGACGTGGAGAGCGTCAGCAACAGCTACGTCACAAACAGGTACAGACTCATGCTGTCAGATACGTCAATAACAAACACTTTCTTCACTAAACTGATACTAGAAAACGAAATGTCTTCTCTGACGGTAAATCTGTCCTGCTCAGTATCGCGGGCAGCATGGCGGAGAGCTACGACACGGAGAGCGGCTTTGAGGACGCAGAGAGCTCAGACGTGGCCAACTCTGTGGTCAGGTTCATCAACAGATTTGTGGACAAAGTCTGCAACGAGAGCGGAGTCACCAACGAGCACCTGAAGGCCCTGCACGCCATGATCCCAGGTTCTAACGGCTAGTTTACATTATTCTGTTTATTTTAGTTTAAAATCTTAACATTTGTGTTTGTGTCTCCTCAGACATTGTTCAGATGCACATAGAGACTCTGGACGCCGTGCACAGGGAGAGCAAGCGCCTGCCCCCCATCCAAAAGGTAAACAAGTCTGTCTTCTACCTCCCCGCAGAGCCAAGACTCCTGCGTGTCGTCCAGTTTCGCCCCAGACCTGACCCCAGACCTGACCCCAGACCTGACCCCAGAGCTGGTTTTACCCCCCGTATGGCCCCGTGGCTCAGACACCTGATAGACTCTGCCAGTTCAAACCCTGCCAGCTCGGGCCCTACCAGTTCAGATCCTACCAGCTCAGATCCTGGCAGCTCAGATCCTGGCAGCTCAGACCTTGGAGGTATGTGGGGCCCGAGCTCCAGAGCACGGTCCAGTTTGAGGTGGAGCCTGTGGTGCCTTCAGGCTGAAGGGTGCAGTGAGCGCACAGGGCCCTGAGGCTCAGTCTGTATTATATAATTATATATAATTGTTCTATTTCATCCCTCCTGACCACCAGAGGCGGAGCAGAACTATTACCTTCAGACTCTCTGGTGGTCAGCCAGGATTCATAGAACTGTGGTTACACTGGTAACTTCTGATTTATATAAGTAAAAGGATTTGGGAGGTTTTGTTCTGTACTTGGTGCAGATTCCCCTTTATCTTGAGGTTATTGATTATTATTTAATTAAATTGGCTGAAAAAGGAGGAAAACGGGAGCTAGTGCTTCTGCACTGCGGAGTGAAGCAGTTTGGCCTAAAGTAAAAACCAAGAGTCACCCTGAAGACAGAGTGAGACTGGTGAAGGTGAAGAGCTTTGAAAACATGGAGGATGTGGTGTAGTGGGACAGAACACAGCCCTGGACACTCTGAGCTGAGCTGAGCTTGTTCCTCGTTCAAAACACTTCCTCTCCACTTCCTGTTAGAGTCTACTTCCTGTCGGTCTACTTCCTGTCCTGGTGTCCTGTGTGTTTGAGTGCCGTGTGCAGCTGTTTCAGTGAAGTGTGCAGCTCATTTGTGTTTGGCTGAAATGTTACGTAATATCCTGAAATAACTCACAGGTAGTCATTCATTTTGTGTCAGGTGCTTATCCTTCAGGAAGTCAAACACTTCAGGAAGTGATGTCAAAAGAGAATAAAAGAGGATAAACAGGGAAGAGTAAAGAACACACCACTTTGTCACTTGGTGCTCTGATAGAACGTGTTCATGTGACCACAGCACATTCTAGAGTTTAAACTCAGCTGGAGGATGAATAAACAGAAAGTGATGTCATTCTTCAGCCCCAAAGATGTGAGGGAGTTTTAAAGAGGACTTTAAATCTTAACAATAATATGACGAGTTTGTGGAGCTGATCCCAACAAATAACGAGAAGGAGAAACATTTGTGGATCAGAAGTTTGGAGATTTCTTTCTTTAACAGTGAATCTCCCGTGGAGTTTTAGCAGCGCCTTCCCTCATAAACCAAATTCTAGAATGTAAATGCAACTTATGAATCCAATGTTCACGTGTCGATCCCCGGTTCATCGTCGTTTGTTGCTCCCGGTCAGTGCGTCCGTGTGTCGTTAAAAAATAATAAATCTACACTGTGGTCAGGGAGGAAACGCCGCTTTGGGCTGAGTTCTGATTGGCTGTGCACCCGCTTCCCCTGCATTTACTAACGAAGAGTTTGAGAGAAAAGGAGAATTTAAAGATTTTATGTCACTCAAAACTGACTCCTGTGAGCTTTAAGTCATGTTCTAATGTTGTCCCCTCCTCAAAAACAGAACTGGACTCGTGTTTTGTTTCATTCACACACGTTTGAGTAATTCTGTATTATTAGTCAAAGCTCAGAATGCTCTGTTCCACCTTGTGATGTCATGTAGTTGTATTTTTTCAAGTGAGCAGCTCCTTTTACTTTTAGTTCAGTGGAAACTTGTAACTCCAGGGCTGAAATGATTCAAAAGATTCTACTGACGCAAACACAGTTCACACTTTCACACTTCAAGAAGTTGCCGACACGTTATACGCTGGCTTCTTCACTTTTTATTCCGCCTTTAGACGAGTGTTTTTGGGAGGAAATCTGTGTGCATGCGGTGTATGTATGTGATGTAAGCACGTACACAACCTGAGCACATGTGACCAGAGTTTTGTGTCTTGGGCAGTGTAGACTGAAACATTACAGCGGAGTGTATTCAACTTTTACACTCTGGAAGATGGTTTCAGATTTTTGTGGTTTTAATTTTAATTCCCAAAAACGCTTTCACCGTCTAAACGAAAGGCACTTCCGATAAAATATTTTGACGTTTTTATTGTAGTGTTTTGATGTGTAAACAGATCCTTTGTTAAACCACTTCTTGTGCGAAGTTAATATGAAACACCCATTTAAATCTAGTCTGATTCATCAGCCGGTTTTACTTCGTTTCACAGCATTAGGATTCGTTCACTCGACAGTAGGCAGGTACTTTTTTTATTTAACCAATCGCTGCTGTTTGGTCATGACGTATGTAATGCGTCGCTAATGGGGATAACTAGAATATTAAGCTTTTCCTAAATCCTGTAGGAAGAAGGACAATAACGTCTTTCCCCTTGATCAAATTCACCAAACATTCTCTTTGTTCCGGCTTTATATCCTCGATCTCGGGAATCGTTGTCAACACTGAATGTCTGACTCTTGGCTGATTGTCTGGTGCCTGAACTTGCACTTCCAGGGTTCTTGTGTATTCTGAATCCTGATCTAGTCGCTGGAGAGAAATTGCACCAACCTGACTAATTTAAATCATCGAAACAGTGAAAATATTAAATGTGTCGCATAAACAGGTTTCCTTTCACTAAACAAGCAACAAAACTGTAGCTGTAACAAAATAATTTAGTAAAATAAACCAAAAAAATACTCTTGACGATATATCGATATAGCAGCCCGTGATATCGATACTGTATCGTCACATTAAACGATACGATACATCGATATTTCAACACACCCCTATTGACATGACATCACAAGGTGGAACAGTGTGTTTTTGTCTGAGAGAAGGACTCAGTTTAAATCTGCAAGGTTTGTGTGTTAAACATTTGTGAATGAAACAAAACACAACTCCATTAGAACATAGATCAGAAAATAGAGCAGTGTAAGGCCTTTAAATGCCGACTCCCTCCTCACATGATCTGAAAATCCGGTGTCCCAGTGTGGCCAAGATAATAAAGTTTAAATAATTGTATTACAGATTGAGCTGATTTGATTTTGTGCTGTTAAAAAGTCTCTTACAGTCAAATCAGTCCAGTGTTAGTCAACAGTTTTTCAGTCACTCTTCACTTTTAGTTGAAAATCAAACTCCTGAACAGGACCCTGAACGCTCCGACTGATCACAGGAAAATGAAAATGTGCTCTTTAAATCCAGTTTGTATTTTGTCTTGAGTTTCAGACCGTCTAAAAACTCGGGCTGTCAGGCTGTGTTTGTTAATGTAACATACATACAGTCTCCCACTGACATCACTTGTGCTTTGCTTTTTATTTGCTGTTTTTTTAAAGATGTGCTGTGTAACTTTTTGGTCGAGGGTCCATCACCTGTTTGTTTCTGGTCCATGCACCATTGGAAAACAGTTTATTATTTCATTTTTTTCTTTTTTCTGTCAAACAAAGAAACAGATTTCGACCTCTCTTTCCAATATTTAATTTAAAGTTTATTTCAAATAACACCAATCAGAAAACAGTCTCAGTGTCTATTTCAGGGCCTGTTTACACGAGAATGTTTGCGGGTAAAAACGACAAAATATTTTATGGGGAAGTGCCGTTTGTTTAGACCAGGGGTGTCCAAACTTTTTTCATCAAGGGCCACATATCTAAACACAAATGAAGCAGAGGACTGATTGAGGGCCATAATATACAATCAGTACAGTGAATAATTGAAATATGTGCATGTTTAACACGTTAGAATGAGCTTTATTATCTTTATTCATGCTAAAATCCTTAAAACCACACACTAAATATTAAATATTGGCTTTATCAAGGTAGATATTCAAAAACTTGCAGTTAAAAGTTATTTTTTAATTGACGCAAGGTAATTTGGGCCAATTCACCTGGAAGCCTGAGGGCCAAGAAAAATTTGTCTGAGGGCCGCATTTGGCCCACGGGACATAGTTTGGACATGTCTGGTTTAGACGGTGATGGCGTTTTTGGGGCTTAAAAACAAAAAAATCTGAAACCACCTCCAGAGTGTAAAAGTTGAACACACTCCGCCGTAGTGTTTCCATCTACACTGCCCAAGACGCAAAACTCTGGTCAGATCTGCTCAGGTCACGTACGCGTTTATGTCACATGAAACCTGGCATCACACACAATCAAACTCCACACACTTTTGCGTCACCGTATTCACGCAGATTTCCTCCTGAAAACACTCGTCTAAACGCAGAATAAAAAGTGAAGACGTGAAGCCACTTTTGCGTCTTCTGTTCAGACCCTCATCAGATAAACGTCGGCTGAATTTTGATATTTTATTCTCTCTGGTTTATTTGCCCCGGAAGTTCTGCTGCTAGAAGGACTTACCTGAAAAATCGTTGCAGTTTTGTGGACAAATATGTCTTTTATAGCGATTTGTTTACTTTCGTGTCTCAGAAAGTCACTGTTGAACTCCATGACGAGAAACAGGAAGCAGCGATAAACTCTCCTTTGTTCAGTTGAGACTAAATTCACACACGACGCCGAGCAGCAGAACTTCATATAAACCAGAGAGAACAAAATATCAACACGCACCAAGACTGTTTTTTAAAATAAACTTTAAATTAAATATTGTAAATAAAGGTCGAAATCTGTTTTTTTGTTTGACGCTAAAACAGAAAAATTAAATAACAAACTGTTTTCCCATTTTATTGTTTTTCGTTTTTAATTGAAATTCAAAAAAACAAATGGCGCACGGACCGTTTCTATGGAGACGTCATCGCTCTGCCTGGAATGTTCCACAGTGTGACATTAAACAGCTCTACGTTACATTTATTCAGTTACAGGTGATTTTAAAGCTCAAAAACACCTAGAAAAACAAACGTTCTGACTGTGAGTGGGGATCGCCTCGCCACAGATCTGACCTGTAATAGAGCTCTGCAATCCCACGGGACCTGACGCAAACCAGGACTAAAACCAGGACTAAAACCAGGACTAAAACAAGGACTAAAAACAGGACTAAAACAGGACTAAAAACAGGACTAAAACTAGGACTAAAACCAGGACTAAAACAGGACTTAAACCAGGTCTAAACCAGGACTAAAACCAGGACTAAAACCAGGACTAAAACAGGACTAAAACCAGGTCTAAACCAGGACTAAAAACAGGACTAAAAACAGGACTAAAAACAGGACTAAAACAGAACTAAAACAGGACTAAACCAGGACTAAAACCATGACTAAAACAGGACTAAAATAGGACTAAAACAGGATTTAGACAAGACTAAAACCAGGACTGAAACCTCGACTAAACCAGGACTAAAACAGGACTAAAAACAGGACTAAAACAGGATTTAGACAGGACCTAACCATGCCGCCGGACCGCCCACCGCGCCTCCTCCCATACGCAGCCCAGTTCCTTTCGCGTCTCCGTGTTTGACAGAGTTTAAGAAAGCAAACGTTCCCGTCCTGCGGGCGGGAGCGGGACAAAATATCGCATATGCAGGCGACTGGAGCGGGACTGAAATTTAGAATTCTTTGCGGGAGTGGGACTGCACAGTGGAAAATTCTGCCCTGCGCAGACCTCGAACCTGTAACTTGGTCTGGTTTAGTCTCCCTGAAGATCGAAAGGTTTAATGCCACACTGTGAAACATTCCAGACAAAGCAATAACATTTCCATGGAGAAAAGCGTTTGCCGGACGATCCACCCTCCACCAGAAATGTTCCACAGTGCAGCTTTAACTCATTTATTCAACAGTCGTTTGTGATGATTTGGATGTTTCAGGTTTTTTGTTTTTCGTTTGGTGTTTTAGCCGAAGTTGCTGCGTCCGACGCTGCTGCCCGGGGAGGAGCTGGTGATGGAGGGCATGAGGGTGCATCTGGTGCCCGACGGGCGAGAGGAGGCCACGGGGACGATGGGAGGACCTCCCCTGCTGCCGGCAGAGGGCGCAATCTTCCTCACCACGTACAGGCTGATCTTCAGAGGAACACCTACTGATCCTCTGGGTACGACACACCAGAGCTGGACCAGGACTGGGCCAGGACTGGACCAGGGAGAAAACCAGTACTGGACCAGAACTGGATCAGGGCTGGACCAGGACTGAACCAGGACTGGACCAGGACGAAAACCAGGGTGAAAACAGGGCTAAAACCAGGACTGGATCAGGGCTAAAACCAGGACTAAAACCAGGACTGGACCAGGGATAAAACAATAACTGAACCAGGACTGGACCAGGGCGAAAACCAAGATTGGACCATGGATAAATCCAGGACTGGATCAGGACTGGATCAGGGATAAACCAGGACTGAACCAGGGCGAAAACCAGGACTGGACCAGGGCTGGACCAGGGATAAAACCAGGACTGAACCAGGACTGAACCAGGACTGGACCAGGGCGAAAACCAAGATTGGACCATGGATAAAACCAGGACTGGACCAGGACTGAACCAAGACTAGACTAGGGTGAAAACCAGGAATGGACCAGGGCGAAAACGAGGGCTGGACCAGGGTTAAAACCAGGACTGGACCGGGGATAAAACAGGACTGAACTTGAACTGGACCAAGACTGAACCAGGGCTAAAACTAGGGCTGGACCAGAGCGAAAACCAGGACTGGACCAGGGATAAAACCAGGACTGAATCAGAACTGGACCAGGACTTGTTTTATATCTTATTCTTTGTTCTTGTATACAGTGGGGTGGTGGTGATGTTTAGTCCTGGTTTAGTCCTGGTTTAGTCCTGGTTTAGTCCTGGTTTAATCTGACTCTGTGTGTTTGTGCAGTGGGGGAGCAGGTGGTGACTCGTTCTTTCCCCGTCGCGTCGCTCACTAAAGAGAAGAGGATCTCTGTGTCTTTGCCCATGGACCAGTTTGTGCAGGAGGGACTGCAGCTGCGCTCCTGCACGTTTCAGGTAAACAAAATGTTAGATGTTTAGATGTTTTTGAGGGGAAATTCACACCTTTTCTGAATGCAATTAGAGGAAGGATTTTTATTTTTAAGGCTTCAACAAAATCAAATTTATGTTTGGAATATTTTAAAAACATAATTCACAATCAGTTCAATCTCAGCGCAGCCGCGGGGTCTTAAAAGTCTTAAAAAGGTCTTCATTTTCATGTTCCTAAATTAAGGCCTTAAAAAGTCTTAAATTATATTGTCCAAGTCTTATACTTTTCACAAAGATCTTAAATTTCATTTGCCTATTTTTTTGTAAATTCAATCAGGCTGCAGTGTGACGTTAAACGGGGGGAGGAAAAAAAACAACATGAAATCTCATAACATGAATGAACGTTTAATTTGGAGTTTGTGCAAGCAATACTTTATTTATCCTGTTAGAATGTTATAAATGATTTTTGACCATTTTACAAGTAATGCATACGACTATAAATGAGTTCTAAATGAGATTTTAGAATAAAAGTATTTTTTATTATTTAAAGCAGTGAGTAATGGTCATTATTAGAACTGGATCTGGTGTTTTTCACCCACATCATGGGTGTGATGTTGGTCTTAATTTTCATTTAAGTGGTCTTAAAACGGTCTTAAAAATGTCCTAAATTTGGAGTAGTCAAACTTACCCTGATTCATTCACTTCGTAGAAACCATCTGACCTTGCAGGATTAGAACTCATTCACTCGACAGTAGGCGAGTACTTTTTTTTTAACTTAAGATGTCGCTGCTATTTGACGTATGTAATGCTCCGCTAACAGGTTTAACTGGTATATTAAGCTTTGCCCAAATCCTGTAGGAAGAAGGACAATAACGTCTTTCCCCTTGATAAAATTCACCAAACATTCTCTTTGTTCCGGCTTTAAATCCTCGATCTCAGGAATCGTTGACAACACAGAATGTCTGGCTCTTCGCTGATTGGTTGTTCCCGAACTCACACTTTCGGGGTTTTTGTGAACCGTCTAGTGTTTTCTGATTCCTGATCTAGTCTCTGGAGAGAAATGAAATTGAGCAGAGGCACTAGGTGGCACCAGCCTGACTAAGTTAAACCTGGGGATACCCTGAAACTAGAAAAACTAATCGCCATGGAGATTAGCAAATTATTGGAGCATAAAAAGAAATGGAATTGGCACAAGTATTAGTGATATAGTATTTGTTATTGTTTATTTCTTGTATTCTTTATTTTAATAGAGTTTGAGCCATTTGTTGAGTTGCTTATGCCTTTTTAGTTTTTAATTTGTATTTTTTTATTATATTTTTTGTTATTATTATTATCATTATTTTTACTACTACTACTAATTCTATTTTTATGTATTAAGTATGAGTGTGTTCTGATGTGATGTGTGGGTGTTTGGTTCAGTGCGAAGTCTAACCTCCTTGGGTTTGTCAATAATAAATAAATTAACGGAAAAAAAAACATTATATCTGAGTTATATCTTGATAAAAGTTACACAGTCTATCTTTAAATCTACACAATACTGGGTTATCCTATGTGACCTGAACCAGCTGGCCTTGACCTTGAACTGTTTTCGCTCACCCTCTCTTCTCCTCTTCCTCTCTTCTCTCTCTCTTCCTCTCTTCTCCTCTTCCTCTCTCCTCTCTTCTCCTCTTCCTCTCTTCTCCTCTTCCTCTCTTCTCCTCTCTCTCTCTTCTCTCTCTTCTCTCTCTCCTCTCTCTTCTCTCTTCCTCTCCTCTCTTCTCTCTTCTCCTCTTCTCTCTCTCCTCTCCTCTCTCCTCTCCTCTTCCTCTCTCTCTCCTCTTCCTCTCCTCTCCTCTTCCTCTCTTCTCCTCTTCTCTCTCCTCTTCCTCTCTTCTCCTCTTCCTCTCTTCTCCTCTTCCTCTCTTCTCCTCTTCATCTCTTGTAGCTGCTGAAGATCGCGTTCGATGAGGAGGTGGCCTCGGACTTGGCTGAAGTGTTCAGGAAGCACATGCACAAGCTGCGTTACCCTCCTCACGTCCAGGGCACCTTCGCCTTCACCGTGGGTCAGAGCGGGAAGCTGGTGGTGGAGCACAAAGCCAAGGACAAGAACCAGTCCCTCAAGTAAGACTCACAAAAACAAAAGGAAAAAAAGGAAAACAGGAACCAAAACTCATCTGTTTAGAACCACTTTTAACGTCTAACCTGCTTTTTATGACAGATTTATTATATTTAGTCTCTTTACCTTGTTGTTGTCCTCCAAAGTAATTCAAAGTGATTTACAGACAGTGTTGGGAAGTTTACTTTTAAAATGTAATCCCCTACAGATTACAGATTACATACACCAAAATGTAGTTTGTAACATAATCCATTAAATTACTTAAAGAGTAATGTAATCTGAATTTGGATTACTTGATATTGTCATGTTTTTAGAACTACAGAATTAACAAACATCCTGAAAATTCATGTTTGTTTTCTTCAAATTAGACCTGGTTTAGTCCTGGTTTAGTCCTGGTTTAGACCTGGTTTAGTCCTGGTTTACCTGGGTTTAGTCCTGGGTTTAGTCCTGGTTTAGTCCTGTTTTAGTCTTAGTCCTGGTTTAGACCTGGTTTAGTCCTGGTTTAGACCTGGTTTAGTCCTGGTTTAGTCCTGTTTAGTCCTGTTTAGTCCTGTTTAGTCCTGGTTTTAGTTCTGGTTTAGTCCTGATTTTAGTCCTGGTTTAGTCCTGGTTTAGTCCTGGTTTAGACCTGGTTTTACTCCTGGTTTAGTCCTGGTTTTAGACCTGGTTTTACTCCTGGTTTAGTACTGGTTTTAGTACTGGTTTTAGTCCTGGTTTTAGTCCTGGTTTTAGTCCTGGTTTTAGTTCTGGTTTAGACCTGGTTTAGACCTGGTTTTAGTCCTGGTTTAGTCCTGGTTTTAGTCCTGGTTTAGACCTGGTTTTAGTCCTGGTTTTAGTCCTGGTTTTAGTCCTGGTTTAGTCCTGGTTTAGTCCTGGTTTAGACCTGGTTTAGACCAGGTTTAGTCCTGGTTTTAGTCCTGGTTTAGCCCAAAATGTGAAAACAGGAAAATACTTCTGTGTAATCCATTTATTTCAACAAAGTAACTGTAATCCAATTACCACTCACTGAAACAGTAACTGTAACTGAATACAATTACTCATAATTTGTACTCTGATTACTTAACTCCGGTACATGTAATCTGTTACTCCCCAACACTGTTTACAGAATAAGAAACACATTAAAAACACAATACAATCAAATCAAAACATAAACAATTGTCATAAAATTAAAAAGAGAGAGATTAAATTAAATTAAAGGCACATTTCGGCCTCATACATGTGAAACATCTGATTCAGGTCCTTTAATAGTCTAGTTCTAGTTATATTTTGAGAGTATTTTTGTGCTCTCCCGCCCACAGACGCCCGCAGACGCTCACACTCTTTCACACTCTTTCACACTCTTTCTTCTGTTTAATGGAGGAATGTGGTTTTGCATTATTCATCAGTGGAAACAGTGAGCGGGCTTCTGTTCTGTGTTAATCTGTCGCTCGCGGCAACACAAAACATGAGTGCATTATTCACGGTCACTCAAAAAGCACCAGCCCGCGCTCTGGTCAAATGTAACGCAAAATGAGGTTAAAATGGTTCAAATGATCTATAAGTGGGTTAAAATGGGTTAAAATGAGGTTCAAATAGGTTAAAATTTGGTTAAAATTAGGTTTAAATGGGTTAAAATTAGGTTTAAAATGATGTTCAAATATGTTTAAATAAGGTTCCAGTGGGTTAAAATTGGTTAAAGTTAGGTTCAATTGAGGTTTAAACGGGTTCAAATTAGGTTAAAATTGGTTAAAATTAAGTTAAAATGGGTTAAAATGATGTTCAAATGGGTTAAAATTAGGTTCAAATGGGTTCAAATTAGGTTCAAATGGGGTTCAAATGGATTAAAATTAAGTTAAAATTGGTTAAAATTAGGTTAAAACTAGGTTAAAATTGGTTAAAATTAGATTAAAATGGGGTTCAAATGGTTTAAAATTAGATTAAAATGAGGTTCAAATGGGTTAAAATTAGGTTCAAATGATGTTCAAATTGGTTAAAATGAGGTTCAAACGGGTTCAGATTAGGTTAAAATTGATTAAAATGAGGTTCAAATGGGTTTAAATTATGTCCAAATGGGTTAAAATTAGGTTAAAATTTAGTTTAAATTGGTTCAAATTATGTTGAAATGGGTTAAAATTTGTTAAAATTAGGTTCAAATGGGTTCAAATTAGGTTAAAATTGCTCAAAATTCGGTTCAGATGGGTTAAAATGTGGTTAAAGTTAGGTTAAAACTAGGTTAAAATTGTTTAAAATTAGGTAAAAATTTGTTTAAATGAGGTACAAATTGTTTAAAATTACGTTAAAATTAGTTAAAATTAGGTTAAAATTAGTTAAAATGATGTTCAGATTCGTTAAAATTAGGTTAAAATTGGTTCAAATGAGGTCAAAATTGTTTAAACTTAGGTTACAATTGGTCAAAATTAGGCTAAAATAGTTTAAAATAAAACATTCATATTTATTTGCCACTGCTTCTTCATCGTCTTAAATCTTGTTGACGCACCAGTGCAGCTTTTTCATTTCCCGTAGCGACGTTTATACTAAAAAATCTGTTCATTCTCAGTTGGTATTTTGCAGTGACGTAACGTTGGGGGGGGTTATACATGTTTGTCTATGTAGTGGCATGTTCAGCAGTTACCATGGAGACAGAGCGCACGCATTCACCGTCACGGTCAAAAGTTTTAAGATTCTCTGACAACGCAAGAAAAAATACAAAAAGGATTCAAGCCGTTATTTTTTGTTCATGTAAAATCCGTTAAAGACATTTTCTGTAATATTTTTGACGTGTGTTTGCAGAACTTTGTCCAAAAACCTGGTGAAAAGTGCCAAGCGGACGATCGGGCGACAGTACGTGACCAGGAAGAAGTACGCCCCTCCCACCTGGGAAAACCGCGGCAGCTTCCAGTCCGAGCTCGACGAGGACGAGATCTCAGGTAACGGGGGCGGCCAGCAGGGGGCGCAGGAACACAACACCAAATCTCTGACATTGACGTTAGAAAACAGACGAGCAAGAAATGTAATAAAAGGAGAAATTTAGTGTGGGACAGTTTGGGTTTTTCTCCAAGAGTTCTGATGGACGTGATCAACGGGTGGATGAAGTCACACAGACCTGTAGTGGCAAAAACTGTTGTTGTGTCCTTAAGCAAGACACTTCACCCACATTGCCCATAGTGTGAGAGTTGTGTGTGTGTTGGTGGCAGTTTGAGGGGCAGATTGGTCTGTCACGATATGGTGGGGAGGCTCACGATTAGAGATGTAACAGAATCTAAATCTCTCGGTTCGATATTTTCACGATTTACATCTCACCGTACGATATTTATTGCGATATTTTGTGGCTAATATGTTTCTTTTTCCTCTTAAAATGCCTTGACAAGACTTAATCCGAAGAACTAAGACTAAAAAGTGTTAGAACTGTTATTTCTGCTTGTCGTCTGCACTGAAATGGAGCAAAGGATCATGGTCTATGTAGTTTCCTTTGTTTTGTTTTTTTACCTATTGCTGCATCATAACTCTTCATTTAATCATAGACTTGTAATTCGATATATTGTGTGTGAACTTTGACGATACGATATCACGATATTTCAGTTATTGTTACATCCCTAGAAACTATGAACCGAAATTTTTTGTGTTCTTAATAAAGATTGAATTGAAATTGAATTGAAATGTTCTATTTAAATCCACTGCATTATTATTATTAATGACGATATCGCAGATTTGTAAATGCTGTAGGATTAGGACAGACATGTCAAACTCAGGCCCGGGGGACAAATTTGGCCGGTGAAATAATTATATTTGACCCACAAGATAATTTCAAACATGTATTAGAGCTGCCCACCGGCTACAGATAGAGTATACAGACATGATTTATTTAAAATGTGGTTATTTTCTGTTCTGCTTGTTCTGGATTCAAAGTTTTGGCAAATTATTAAATATTTATTTTAATAAGAAAAGGTTTAACATTACATATCTCGAAAGAAGAGAAAGATGATAGATGATGTTGAAATCTTTCAAGAAATATTTAGTTTGGCCCACGACTTTGTCACAGTTTTTAAATTTTGGCCTCTGTGAATTTGAATTTGACTCTCCTGGATTAGGGTGACAAGATTTTCAAAATAAAAAATTGGGACACCCCTGGTTTGTGGTGGTCGGTAATGATAAAATAGTGAAATGAGTGCGTAATTAAGGAAAATTGTTCTGCACTCGGCACTAATGAGTCAGTACAGTCACATTTTTTTTGTGTTTTGGTCATTTTTAAGCAGCTTTTCTTTATTTTACTTTAACGAATGACAATTTTTGCCTCTCTTTACTGTTGGCAGGGATCAAATTGGTCAAAAATAGGAACATTTGGGACATTTCTTGTATAAAACTGGGACAAATCACTGGTTTTGGATAAATCTGCTGCGACAGGGGACACAGGCTCACAACTGGGACTGTCCCGGGTCAAAACAGTTGCGTTAGTGATGTTTTAATCCCTCTCTCTGTGTCTCTCTTTAGTCTCCGAGGAGGTGGAGCCGACCGCCATGACCCTCTCCTCCACCATCCGCTCCTCGGACAGACAGACCATGAGCAACGCCGTGGAGCGGGCCTGCTGCAGAGACTACCAGAGGCTCGGACTGGGCACGCTCAGCAACAGCCTCACGCGCTCCAAAAACGAACCCTTCAGGATCAGCACGGTCAACCGCATGTACACCGTCTGCAGGAGGTCAGGCTCCGCGGCTGCACACAGAACACAGACACACACACAGATAAAACTTGTGTACGACGTGATAAACGGTCACATGGTCTGCAGTGATGCGTCGCTCTGTCAGACTCTTGTGGTGACGAAGGAGCTCCAAGTCTAAAGTCCAAATGCAAAACTCTCCACCCTGGTCCTGGTTTTGATTGATTAATTTATTTCGGTCCGACATTATTCCACAGACCGTCATATTTAACACACACAGACTGAAAAGGTGTCGGCTGAATCTTGAGCTCATTCTGCCTTTACCCTTTATTCCTTTGCCATAACATCGTCTTGAAACCAGTTCATCTTCATAAATACAGCGAGAGGAAACAAACAAATCAGTAACAGAACAACAAAGAACTACAGCACAAACTAAAGCCCCGTCCACACTAGTTCGTATTCGAGTTGTTTTCGTTGTGGGTGCAGTGTTCGTTCACATTAATCTGATTGAAAAAGGCTCCAGAGACGGAACGATCTGGTGCCTCCAGCTCCCACGAATTCATCCGAGTACAGATCTGATCCGGCACCGTGTGGACGCCTGAAAACACTGATACTCTGATGTAGGTCTGTGCGCCGCCAAGTAATTCACCGACAAAACACTAAGAGGCTAGACAATATGCAGTGTTGGGAAGTTTACTTTTAAAATGTAATCCCCTACAGATTACAGATTACATACACCAAAATGTAGTTTGTAACGTAATCCATTAAATTACTTAAAGTGAGTAACGTAATCTGAATACTTTGGATTACTTGGTATTGTCATGCTTTTTAAAACTACATGAATGTAACTACCACATCCTGAAAATTCTTGTTTGTTCAGTCTTTACTTAACCATGTTATAAATATTATTGATACAGAAATGTTTTCTATATGAGATCACAATTATGTCCACCTACTGTTGGGTGTCATGTTGTATTTGTTTAGTTCTAGTTTAGTCCTGGTTTAGTCCTGGTTTTAGTCCTGGTTTTAATTCTGGTTTTAGTCCTGGTTTAGTCCTGGTTTAGTCTTGGTTTAGTCCTGGTTTAGTCCTGGTTTTAGTCCTGGTTTAGTCCTGGTTTTAGACCTGGTTTAGACCTGGTTTAGCCCAAAATGTGAAAACAGGAAAATACCGCTGTGTAATCCATTTATTTCAACAAAGTAACTGTAATCCAATTACCACTCACTGAAACAGTAACTGTAACTGAATACAGTTACTCATAATTTGTACTCTGATTATGTAACTCCGGTACATGTAATCTGTTACTCCCCAACACTGAGTATATGTCCATTCATATAAACATGTGTCTGTGCGTACGACCTGCAGAGTGGAAGTTTGCTGTGTGCAGTTTTAGTTTTCCAGCCCTTTAACAGATTTACAAAATGTCATAAAATTTGTTCTGATTTTCTTTTTGATAAACGTGGTCGTACCGCTGAGTTCATATTGGCCATTTCAGATTTTAAACATATTCTGTAATGATTTTGACAAGAGATTGTGGTTTACTTTGAACATGATTTTCAAAGTATAAAGGTCGACTAAATCGTAAAATTTTCAGAGTTTGAAGGTTTATAAACAGGGTAGCTGCGGCATCTTAAAGGTCTTAAAAAGGTCTTAAATTTCAGGTTCCTAAATTAAGGCCTTAAAAAGTCTTGAGTCTTATTTTTTTCACTAAGGTCTTCAATTTCATTAGTCTATTTTTTTGTTTACTCAGCCGGGCTGCAGTGTGATGTTAAACGGAGGAAGGAAAAACACAACGTGAATCACCTAAGACCAATGAAAAAACAGTCGGTGCCTATTTAAATTTTGATATTTTCTTCTCTTTGGCTAATTTTCTCTGGAAGTTTTGCTGTTAGAAGAACTTACCTGAAAAATCTTTGAAGTTTTGTGGACAAACATGTCCTTTTCATTTATAGCGACACATTGACTTTCACATCTTAGAAAGTCACTGTTGAACTCCATGACAAGAAATAAATAAAGCAACGAAGTGATAAACTTTGTTCAGTTGATGCTGAATTCACACACGGCTCTGAGCAGCAGAACGTCCGGAGCAAATAAACCAGAGAAAATAAAATATCAAAATTAAAACAGGCACTGAGAGTTTTTTTGATTGGTGTTATTTGAAATAAACTTTAAATTAAATATTGGAAAAAGAAGTCGAAATCTGTTTTGTTGTTTGACACTAAAACTGAAAAATTAAATAATAAACTCTTTTCCCAATTTATTGTATTTTGTTCTTAATTGGAATTCAAAAGAACAAATGCACGGACCGTAAATGAGAAAAGAAGAAGAAAGAAAGAAAGAAAAGAAGTCTATTTTGCGTAACACGTCCCTTTAACTTCATTGCATCTGTATGAACCATTACATTTGTATCGCCGCAGTTCTTTTCGTTCGTTCTCATGAGTATCTTGACCGCGTGTGTCCTCAGTTACCCCGGGCTGCTGATCGTGCCTCAGTCCATCCCGGACCAGAGCCTCCAGAGGATCTCCAGATGTTACAGACAGTCCCGTTTCCCCGTGGTCTGCTGGAGGAACACTCGCACTAAAGCCGTGTTACTGCGCTCCGCCGGGCTCCACGCCAAAGGGGTCGTGGGCTTCTTCAAGTCGCCCAACGCTCCAGCCGCAGGTAACGGCAGCTCACACTCACACACGAGGAATTCAAATGAAACCAAAATAAAGATGTACAGGAGGGACGACAATTCTATTTGGGTCAGAAGGTCTTTCCAGAGTAGAAAATATTCCAAGCTCCTGCTCAAATTAAATGAGAATTGTCAGTTATGGTCACCTCCTGTTTACGTTTTCGCTGTTTCTGTAGTAAATGTGAAAGTTCTTCTCACATGTGACGGTCTCTGTGTGTGTGTGTGTGTGTGTGTGTGTGTACAGTCCCGTCTCAGGCCGACTCCACCAGTCTGGAGCAGGAGAAGTACCTCCAGGCCATCATCAGCTCCATGCCCTCGTACAGCGAGAACAACGGGAGAAATACGCTGAGCGGGTTCACCTCTGCACAAATGAACTCCTCAGGTACAAGAAAACGTCTGAGCCTCTCCTCTTCATCCTCTGATCCTTTCTTCTGAATCCTCTGACCCTCCCTTTTGTTCCTCTGCTCCTCTGACTCTCTCCTCTGCTTCATTTGATCTTCTCCTCTGTTCCTCTGTTCCATCTGACCTTCTCCTCTTCATCTTCTGACCTTCTCCTCTTCATCCTCTGACCCTCTCCTCTGCTTCATCTGATCCTCTCCTCTGTACCTCTGCTCCATCTGACCCACTCCTCTTCATCCTCTGAGCCTCTCCTCTGCTCCTCTTCATCCTCTGACCTTCTCCTCTACATCCTTTGTTCCTCTGCTCCATCTGATCCTCTCCTTTTCATCCTCTGACTCTCTCTTCTGAATATTTTGCTCCATCTGACCCTCTCCTCGGACTCCTCTTCATCCTTTGACCCTCTCCTCTACATCCTCTGCTCCATCCGGTCTTCTCCTGTGCTCCTCTGCTCATCTGCCCCTCTCCTCTTCATCCTCTGACCCTCTCCTCTGAATCCTCTGCTCCTCTGACCATCTCTTTTGTTCCTCTGCTCCTCTGACCCGCTCCTCTTCATCCTCTGACCCTCTCCTCTGCTCAATCTGACGCTCTCGTCTTCATCCTCTGTTCCTCTGACCCTCTCCTCTGCTCCTCTCCTCAATCTGACCCTCTCCTCTGCATCACCTGATCCTCTCCTCTGTTCTTCTGTTCCATCTGGCCTTCATCCTTTGACTCTCACCTCTGCTCCTCTTCATCCTCTGTCCCTCTCCTCTTCATCCTCTGCTCCTTCTGACCCTCCTTTGACCCTTACACTCTCTGTCGCTCCTCTTCTCTGTAGATTCTCTCTCTCGTCTCTCGGCTCCAGCTCAGATCTTTGTATAAACTCGTATTCCTGTTGCAGATTTGTCGGACAGATTACGGCCGGCGAAGCTCGGAGCTTTGTTCAAACAGGTGGCGGGAGGTAAAGAGGACGCCCCCGGAACCTTCAGTCGAGGAGGTGAGGGTCCATGGTCATGTGATTGGGGTCATGTGATCGGGGTCATGTGATGCAGCATGAGTGACCAGAGCATTGTGAAGTTACAGCATTTCACCACCAGGGCTACACGAGCGCTTGGAATGATTTTTATTTTATTTTTAGTTTGTAATTGAAATATATTTATTGTGGTACGGGTGGGTGATCTGTCAATAAAACATTTGCACATTTAAAGATGCACTATGTAACTTTTCTGGTGTGGAGTCTGTGGAGCTGTCGTTGCTTTACCTGTAACATTTCACAACATTTATTCAATTTTAAACCTTTTATTGCTAAAATTCTTTAAAAGCCCGGAGTGGACTGGCCTCTCCACAGATCTGACCCGACCTGCTTGTCTCCATGTAAAAAAAAAAAAAAAGAAAGTTAAATACAACACTGTGAAACTGTGACTTATTCCTGGTAAAGCAAAATCTTCTCCTTTAAAGGGACACACTTTTCTATTTCTGGATTTATGTTCTAATGTTGTTTCTTCATCACAAACAGACCTGGAGTTGTGTTTTGATTCATTCACACATGTGAAAAGAGAAATTAAATTTGTCAACTGGACAAATGTTTTTTTTAGGTTGAAGACGTTTCTCAGCTCATCCAAGCTGCTTCTTCAGTTCTGGTCAGACGCTGGTGGACACTTCCTTATATCTGTCCAAAGGGAGGAGCTAACTACACTGAAACTACTCTGAAACTAACACACACTTGTTTACAGTTTCTGTTTGTTAGCAAGTACCGTATTTTCCGGACTATTGAGCGCACCTGAATATAAGCCGCAGGTGTCATTTATGCACTCACCTGATTTAAAGCATACGGGTCATTAAGACGTATCCCCGCCACTAATGTTCATTTAACATCAGAACTTATTTTATCACACAGAGATAAACTGTTTTAGTGCTGATAACAACACGAGCAAACGCTGCACCTTCATGTTAACTCTAGATCCATGTGTAACTGCACAGACAGCGGCGTTTTCTTCACTCAGGCTGCGTGTATCCACTGTGTTTCCAAACCATAGACCGTTTATATGAATGGACAATGTGCCAAACAAATAATCCGTCCATATATTCGCTGCATCTTTGTTTAAGCCACAGGGTTCAAAGTGTGAGAACAAAGTAGTGGCTTATAGTCTGGAAATTACAGTAGGTCTGTTAGTTTCAGGGTTGTTAAGGAAGTGTCCACCAGCGTCTGACCAGAACTGAAGAAGCAGCTTGGATGAACTGAGAAACGTTTTTGATCTAAATAAACATTTGCCCGGGGAAGTGCTCCACTGTGTTTTTAAACTCCACACACCTTCACTAGAATCACTCCACTGAACAAAAGGAGCAGTTAAAAAACTACCACCTCATGACGTCACAAGGTGGAACGGAGCATTTTGAGCTTTGGAGATGTGGACAGACCAATAATTAGAACAGGATATCAATAAGAAGTTGCTGATATGACACATACCTCAATACATACGATACGATACATATTTCGATAAAGTGCCCTTTTGTTTCAATACAATATATTTCAAATCAATTCGATATGGTTCAATAAAAAATAAAGTCTAAATCACAGCTGTGATACTAAAAGTCTTTGTTAACCCACCTCTTGTGTAAAGTTCATATGAAACGCAAACATTTTAATCATCAAAGTGAAAATGTCAAATGTGTCACATAAACGAGTTTCCTTTTTCTAAACAAACAACAAAACTGTAGCTGTAACAAAATAATTTACTAAAATATACCAAAAAATACTCTTGGTGATATATCGATACAACAGCCCACAATATCAATACTGTATCATCACCTTAAACGATACGATATATTAATATTTTGATATTTTTACACACCCATACTAATAAAAAAGTGTTACTCAAACGTGTGTGAATGAAACAAAACACAACTCCAGGTCTGTTTTTGAGGCAGTAACAACATTCTAACTCGACTTAAAGCTCACAAGAGTCCATTTTGCGCAGTATAAGATCAGGGGGCAGACCCGGCACTAGAAAAGTTACATAATGAATCTTTAAATCAATGCAAAAAAAAATGTGTTTTGGAAATCACCGGTGTGTTTGACGTTGCATAGGGCTGGGTTATTTAACAAACCGACTTTTTTAGCCTCATTTGTCGTTGGTTCTAATAATATTTTCATACTTAGTCTTAATAATAATTGTAAATGTTGTAGTTAAAAACTGTGACCCAGCCCTTTGTGTGCGTGTGTCCTGCTCCGTCTGGTGCTGTGGTTAACGGTCTCTCTGTGTGACCTCAGCTCTGGGTCAAAGGGCGAAGGTCATCTCTCTGTCTCAGCCCAAAGTGTCGACAAAAGGCAAGAGCAGTCCGCGAGGTACAGTCCGACCCGCCCTCCTCCTGTCTTTAACCAATCAGACGCCTCTCTCCACAGTCAGCCCCCCCCCATCCTCTTCCTGTCTCTAACCAATCAGACGCCTCTCTCTACAGCGGCGTGCGGACTAATGGCCTGTTCCTGCTTCCTGCATGGACTGTCCGCTCTGTTTGTGTCCGTGGTTGATTCTTGTCTGTGGTAGTTTTAGATGTTGTGATGTTAAATGTTAAAGAGGGAGTATTGTGCTAAAACAAAAAAAAAACATTCTGGAGTTTTCTACCATGTCATAACGTTGTTCTTTCACCAAAAACATGCCTGAAGACGTTATTTTAGTGTAATTTAGAGTCTCTCCTGTGTCCTATTCAAACCCTCCTTACGTTTGGCTGTAAGATTCTGTACGAGGCTCCGCCCACAAGCCGACGTCACCTAAATCTTTCATGAATAAACAGAAGCATGTTACAAAACAATACACTACAACTTCACAAACCTGACACGATGAGCAGTAGTTCAGGGTGACCAGACGTACCCGGGACAGTCCAAGTTTTGTAGCCAGGCTGGCGCCACCTAGTGCCTCCGCTTAATTTAATTTCCCTCGATTGACTAGGTCAGGAATCAAAATACACTAGACCAAACATGTCCAAGCTATGTCCCCTTTCGGCTACAGTCGGCTTTTTCTTGGTCAATTGGGTCATTCGCGTGAATCTAAATGAAAATGAAATTCTTCTCCTTCGAGTTTAAATAGAAATAATAAATCCGAATTGAGGTTTACATGGAAAACACGTTAAATCATCTTTATTTAATTCCGCTCAATGTCTGGGGGTGGGGAACGTATTTATGTCGACCGGAAGAAAACACACACTTCAACTGCTCCCGGCTTTTCTGTCATCTCGGTTTGTCGTTAAGCTTGGAGATACGTTCATACAAACTGGGGAACAGCGTCCAAACCAGAGTCCTGAACCAGCGGGAGCAGCTCCGATTCAGGTCAGGGAGCGGTGTTAGGTGCGCTTTCCCCGGGAAGAGCCAAATGTGCGAGGACGGACCGCTCAGGACGACATATAACCAACTAAACGGGTTTCGCGCTTCTGTCTGGATGTTTTGCACCAGCTCAGTACCATCCGCACAGATCCCATAGGGACCGTTGGACTGAACCAGGACTAAACCAGGACTAAAACAGAACTGAACAGGACTAAACAGACTAAACCAGGACTAAACAGAGCTGAACCAGGACTGACTACTGAACCAGGACTAAACCAGGACTAAAACAGAACTGAACCAAGACTAAACCAGGACTAAACAAGACTAAACCAGAGCTGAACCAGGACTAAACTAGACTAAACCAGAGCTGAACCAGGACTAAACTAGGACTAAACCAGATCTAAACCAGGACCAAACCAGGACAAATCTTGGACTAGAACTTGGAAGCGCCTTGCAGACAGGCTGTCTCTTTTCACAATTTTATTTATACCAACATCCCAACCCGAGTGTGTCCCAGTTTAGAATTTTGAAAATCTGGTCACCCTACAATAGTTTCATTATCGGGATACATGCCGATTTTAATGTTACAGCGCTCTGAAGGGGGGGTGATTTAGCGCAGAGAGCAAAGAGAGGGGAAAACTCAGTGTCAAAAAATGAACCAAAAACTTTTTAAACATTTTCAATGTGGTGTTTTTGGTGAATTCAGCAAAACAATAAAAGGTACAACATGGTGATCTAAATCTGTGATGTTACAGTTCAAACCCCGTCGAAGTAAAATACTCCCTCTTTATCACAGTTTTTCAGAGCCCGTGTCTAGTGCATGGCTTTAGGTTTTAAATGTCGGTGATCTTTTCCAAACGGCCGCTTCTTCTACAGTCAGTGCTTCTGCTCTGTTACAACTGGAGTTTGTAACACAACAACTCGGCTGCTGTACCGTAAACGTTCTCATCTGTGACTGGACAAGAATTAGAGCATAACTGTTTTGTAGAATTATTTTTTACCAAGGAACTAGACCAGGACTAAATCAGGACTAGGCTGTGTTAAACTCAGGGTTTCCACGGTCATGGAAATCCTGGAAAAGTCATGGAATTTTAGTATCTCTTTCACGCAACTCCAGCGTTCTGTTAAGTTCTCATTATTCTATTAGGGTTCATTTCCAATGTCTGCACCTTTTGTTTAAAAGAGACGACAATAAATGACAGGATTTTGAATGTTAAAAAACTCAAATCCCAAACCATAAGGTGAGTGGAAAGAGTTAACATTTCATATTTAGCCCTAAAAGTCTGATCAATTCTACACATGGGTCTAGTCAAGTGGTAACGGAGGGAAACAGGGTCAGATTTTTGACATTCAAATGTCTCTTATTCAGAAACTAGAGGAACTATTGAAATAAGTAAAGTATCAGAATGTAGGAAAGAGTTACACTCCAACAGGGTCAAGTTAAACCTGTGATATTCTTTCAAGTTGTTGACAAAAAATTTAAAAACTCATGTCGGTAACGGAGGGAATGAAATATGCAGCACTTTTTGGTCAATAAATCCAAACAGTGATAACTCTTGGTTCTCACTTACATATCCTTAACAAACTGGTTTGAATATTTGCTTCATATAGTTTTCTACCATATGGTACAAGATTAGGTTGAAAAACCTCTTACTTTTTGACTCATGAGATTTTTTATTAAGAAAGTTCATGGTAACGGAGGGAAAAGTAACGGAGGGAAAATTGTACAAACAAGTAGAAGGTGCAGGATTTTACATCATTTGTCACTTTTTTCCTTCTGAATACTTTAATATTACTTCAAAATGAAAGGAAACTATTTCTATAAAATATGTCAGTCCTTCCAAGCAAATTTTTATCATTTTAAATACATTTTTTTAAAAAAAAAATCCATGTACCTTCATCAACAGTTCAAAGATGGAATAACACAAGATATGATGAAATACATCCATTTATTTACATGATTTTGGGGTCTTTGAAATTTGGGAAATAATTTTTGTTCCATGTTTCATACATGGTCTGTTTAAAACATATGGAACTTTAGAACCAAAAATGGTACAGAAAAAAGGTCAACAGTTTCATAAACTAGAGTACATATGTATCTGTTCAATACATTTTTATATCAGATGAATTAACTTGAATTTTTGGCCTTGTTTGTTTACTTCTGCTTGACCGGGTTCTATGGTAAGAATCAGGACTAAATAAGGACTAGAACAGAACCAAACCAAATAACTACATTAGAACTAAACCAGGATTAAACCCAGGAAGACTGCTGAAGGTAACACCACTTACCTTAGCAACACTGTCAATCAAACCTGCCTAAGAAAGCGTTTATATCTTACTTCAGAGACAAAATAATGAAATAAAAACACCAGGATCATGTAGAGCGGGTTAATACAAACATTTTCAGACTAAAATGAGGCGTTTGACAGCAGCAGTTATAGAGAGAGGTCTTTTTTTATTAAATAAACACAAGGTTGCGCATGTTTTAGTGAACTTCAATCTGTATTTGGTGCAGTCCAGTCCAGTCTCTGTCTCTGTCTCTGTCTCTGTCTCTGTCTCTGTCTCTGTCTCTGTCTCTGTCTCTGTCTCTGTCTCTGTCTCTGTCTCTGTCTCTGTCTCTGTCTGTCTCTGTCTCTGTCTCTGTCTCTGTCTCTGTCTCTGTCTCTGTCTCTGTGTCTCTGTCTCTGTCTCTGTCTCTGTCTCTGTCTCTGTCTCTGTCTCCGTCACATCTCCGTCTCTCCGTCAGTATCTGTGGCTTTAACCCTCGTCTCTGTGTCTTCCAGGTAAATGGGGCAGTATCCGGGGCAGTGGGCGACTCAGCGCGTATAACCCGGACGTGGGCACTCGTCTGGCGGGCAAAGAGTCTCCGCAGCCCAACGGAGCTCTGACCGAAGCGCTGTTCCTCCGCCAGCAGAGGGCGTTCCTCTACATCATCGGGGACAAGGCTCAGCTCAAGGTCTGTGCACTTCAGAATAATAATAATAAAAGTAATAATAACACACCGGACTTTTCACTACACGCTAAAGGCTTTTTTTTTTTACATTCATTCACTCCACACTTGATTGGCAATTGTGTTGTATTTCAAACTTTTATCAATAGAAAGTAAAAGATTCCAGACAAAAGTAAGGTAGAAGATAAAGATTAAAAGATTTAAAACCACAATGGTGATTAAAAAAACAAAAACATTAAAGCTATAGAAAAATATAAATCATTAACCCTTCCATCCTTTATATAACTGTGCAGAACTTTCCAAAAATAAGATAGAAACTAGAAAAGCTGAGAACTGTGGCTTCCTGATCATATTTCCGGCTTTATCCTACGTCACACACATGCTGCGAGATGATGTAGGGAAAACGAGTGTCCAGTAGGTTGCTTTACACCAAACACATGCGCTCCAACCATTTTGATCAGCCCAAACTTTGCCAAAGAGTGTAGAGAGTCAAAATGAATCCATGTGTCATTCATTCATTCGTTTTTCAAAATAAAACAAAAAATAAGAAAATGAAAAAACAACTGTTTTCTTCATTATTTGGCTCCAAAACCAAAATGAAAAAACAGATAATGATTAGTTTTTTCAGTTTATGTGACTTGAAAAGTCTAACTTTTTCCCTTTCCACACAGTAGATTTTTTAAAGCATATATATATACATACATATATATACATACATATATATATATACATACATACATACATACATACATACATATACATACATACATTACATACATACATATACATACATATACATACATATATATACATACATACATACATATATATATATATATATATATATATACATACATATATATATATATATATATATATATATATATATATATATATATATATATATACATATATATATATATATATATATATATATATATATATATATATATATATATACATATACATATATGTATATATATATGGTAAATGGTAAATGGTCACATTTTTCTATAGCGCTTTTCCACCTTCAAGGCACTCAAAGCGCTTTACAACAAGGAACCACTCACCCATTCACACACACATTCACACACCAGTGTACGCAGACACTGTGGGCAAGGTGGGTTAAGTGTCTTGCCCAAGGACACAACGGCAGCATTCATCTGTGGGAGCTGGAATCACACCAGCCAACCTGTGGGTCAGTGGATCTGACCACTCACACACACACACACACACACACACACACACACACACACACACACACACACACACACACACTAAAATCATTACTTTGCTTTTGTGGTTTCAATAATTATATTTTCTCATGTTCACTTTCTATCTCCTGTGTGTGTGTGTGTGTGTGTGTGTGTGTGTGTGTGTGTGTGTGTGTGTGTGTGTGTGTGTGTGTGTGTGTGTGTGTGTGTGTGTGTGTCTGTTTGTGTGTGTGTTTGTCGTCATCAGGGGGGTAAGCAGGACTCGTTCCAGCAGTGGGAGGTGGTGCCCATCGAGGTGTGTGACGTTCGACAGGTGAAGAACAGTTTTAAGAAGCTGATGAAGGCCTGTGTGCCGAGCTCCTCCTCCACAGACCCAAACATGAGCTTCCTGCGCAGCCTGGAGGACTCCGAGTGGATGAGTCTGGTACTGCACCTTTACTCACTCTGTCATAACTAGGACTGGGCTAAAATAACAAATATTAATCACATTAATGTTGTGAGTTCATGTGATTAATCATGATTAATCACATGTTATACGCAAAAACAATTAATGAATTCAAAAGTAGCATATAGTGACTTTTACTGGAAATGTAAACAAAAGTGCCACATCTGTTGTGCAAACAAAAAATATTATTATTTAACCAGGAAAAAGTCTCATTGAAATTAAAAATCTCTTTTTCCAGAGCGTCCTGGCCAAGAGGCCACAAAACTACAGTTACAAAACATATAAAAACATACATACAAAACATTCAGTATAACAGAACAATCAACACAAATTCAAAGACTGTTAAAACAATTACACCCTGAGGAGTCCAGATCTCTGTTTTTAAAATCTGTTCGAAAGATTTTAAGGAGACCAGCTCCTTTCTTTTCTTTTCATTTCTTTCTACGGGAGCAGGACACTAGTCTGTAAAGTCCATGTTTATTCTTCTTCCTTTGGAGAATCTCACTCAAAAAAGAATCAGTTTCATTTCAGTTTGTCAATTCCTAGAGTTTGACTTAATGAACTGAACTGAAAAGTAAAGTTCATGTGATCAGCAGCAGGAAAATAAAATGTTCAGTGTAAATCTCAACTGAAAAAATCAAATACAAAACTGAAATGTAATTCCACTGCCAGAGCTTTAATGTTTCCTGTTTAATATAAAAATGAAAATCTCAGTCAAAAACAGCAAAAAACAGAAACAAAACACACAACCAGGAAACACTTTAGTGCAGTTTGTCAGTTCCTAGAAGCTCTTGGTCCCTACACGCTGTTATGTGTGTGTGAAGCGACGGCTCGGACACGTTGTGTCTCTTGTGGTCGGCCCAAGGCTTGTTCCACTTGTTTCAGTGAATAATTTGCATCATCAGAGTGTGTTGCATTTCGGTGATAGTTCAGGCTCATGAAACTCCGGTGACAGTGTTACGCTGTGTCGACTGCACCGTCTGGAAGAACTTTAAAATGAAAATAGTCATGTAAAAGTTCTTTACCCTTCTCCATGTTTGTTTATCCCACTTTATTTCTCTCTGTTTTCTGTGACGCCGCAGCAGAAACACTCTAGACTCACTCACGATGGACTTTTTCAAAATAAAACCCAGTGAGCAACAGACGTTTACAGTAAAAGAAATAATAAAAACTGCTTTAAGGGGAAAAAAATAATTGTCAGCGATAACGAATTAAATAGTTAAAGCAAAAATAACGGCTCTAATCATAACTTCTCTCATAACCGTGGTGTCTGTGTCCGTGTGCAGCTGCACAGGGTCCTGCAGGTGTCTGTGCTGGTGGTGGAGCTTTTAGACGCTGGTTCCTCTGTGATGGTGAGCCTGGAGGACGGCTGGGACGTGACCACGCAGGTACAGACACACACACACACACACACACACACACACACACACACACACTGACACTGAACGCCCTCTCCCGGCCTCCGCTGCATTACCGCGTCTCTCCTGCAGGTGGTGTCGCTGGTGCAGCTGCTCTCGGACCCGTATTACCGCACTCTGGACGGGTTCCGGCTGCTGGTGGAGAAGGACTGGCTGTCGTTCGGACATCGCTTCAGTCACAGAGGAGCTCAGACTCTGGCGTCTCAGAGCAGCGGCTTCACTCCGGTGTTTCTGCAGTTCCTCGACTGTGTGCATCAGGTCAGAGCCACGAAGTCTTCACAGGACTTTTTCCATATTTATTTTTTTTTTTTTTTTTCATTTTTTAAGTGGTATGAAAAAGACAAATACAATATAATATGTTTGATGTTTGTTTGGTGCACACACATGAATATTTATTACAACCAATTGCAAGAAAAACAAAATGAAGCATCAAACAAAAATCTGGTCTTATAGTTTTGATAAATTCAGTTCACCGTTTCTATTTGTTCTTAAATTTGTCTTGTTGCAGTTTTACACTAAGAGTAATTCTCTCCATCTTAAAAATATCATAAGCATAAGTCTCACACTATTCATCCGGTGTTGGTATTTGTGAATTAAGCCATTTTCTGGTTATAATTTTACTCCAGCTGCACTCAAAATCTGGAACAGGTATTTAACTTTATTTTCTGGCTCCACCAGTATTTAGGAAGGAGTTTTACAGACAGAGAACAGTTTCTCTGATAAACACTCAGGAGTCCTCTCACTGATTTGGGCTTTTATTGAAGAGCTGATTATAAAACTGTAACATAAAAAAATAAATGCGTATTACAATTATTTTTCACGTTTAAATGAACATAGAATAAGAAAAGCCACATAAAACAATGTAGAGCAGCTTAATATGAGAAAATGTTTTTGTTTACATCCAGCTTTTCCACGTGTGCAGTGGCTTGTCAGTAAAAGTCAGTGGATCATCTCATCTCATTTGTGTTGACAGTTGTGTTGCTTTTGTCATGAGAAAACTCGTCTTATTTTGAAGTAGGTTTTGTATTTAATAGTTTTGACATGACTTCATCATCTTACTCTAAGTCACTGAATGTTGAGGTCAAAAAACGTTACTTTGAAGAGTTAAAATTCGCCGATAACTGTTGATGTTGATGTTGACTTGTTGATACAGACGCTTTTTGCCAAAATGCCTGCCACCCCGGACGTGACATCATTGTGTTTTCTTGTATATAATTCAATATATGCATAACAAGAGCTTAACATTAGCTGGATATTAGTGGAAATTCTTGTATTTTAATGTAAATTTCAACTGTAAAACAAATTAAAGTGCCCCACATGAGTCCACAGAGTGAGTTAACATCTTAAAACATTACAATAATTACAGACAGATATTTTCATGGGCCAAATGACAGTTTACAAGGTTTAACTTTCTGACAAGTGACTGAACTGTTGCAAAGTCTGGAACAATATGGCAGCTCTGAGTGGACAAAACAGATCAACTCATAACAGAAACATTTATTTTATTTATGTATTTATTTATTTATTTAATGAGACAGGGACAGTGCACAATTTACATGAACCTGAACAGGAGAGATGTTTTGTTCCAGGTTGTAGCACCAGAGCTCATTTCCACCTGTCGTCTTTGAGCAGGTTCATTGATTAATTGTGTTTAATCGACCTTGACTATCAGCTGTTCTGGTTATCAACATGTTTCTCCGCTGGGAGCAGAACACTTTATGTTAAATAAAAAAATGTATTTCCATTTTAAAGATTTTAAACCCTGTTGCCGTCCGTCCCTCCTCAGATCCACCTGCAGTTCCCCATGGAGTTTGAGTTCAGTCAGTATTACCTCAAGTTTCTGGCCTATCACTACGTCTCCAACCGCTTCAGGACGTTTCTGCTGGACTCAGACTACGAGCTGGGCGCACCTGTACCTGACCGCACCTGGCACCTGTAACCTGCACCTGTCATACGCACCTGTCATACACACCTGTCAAAAACACCTGTCATACACACCTGCTGTCATCGCACCTGTCACCTGCACCTGTCAACACCTGCACCTGTCATACACACCTGTCAACACCTGCACCTGTCAAACACACCTGTCAACGCACCTGCACCTGTCAAACACACCTGTGTCATCACCTGTCAAACGCACCTGTCATACACACCTGTCAAACACACCTGTCAAACACACCTGTCACCTGTCAAACGCACCTGCACCTGTCATACGCACCTGTCACACCTGTCAAACACCTGTCAACACCTGTCAACGCACCTGCACCTGTCACAAAACACCTGTCAACGCACCTGTCATACACACCTGTCATACACCTGTCAAACACCTGTCAAACGCACCTGTCATACACACCTGTCATACGCACCTGTCAAACGCACCTGTCACACCTGTCATACGCACCTGTCAAACGCACCTGTCAAACACACCTGCACCTGTCAAACGCACCTGTCATACGCACCTGTCATACACCTGTCAAACGCACCTGTCATAAACACCTGTCAAATGCACCTGTCATACACACCTGTCAAACACACCTGTCACATGACACACCTGTCAACACTGTCAAAACACACCTGTCAAATGTACAACGAAACACCTACACCTGTTCATACGTCACAAACCTGTACACCTGCATACACACTGTCAAACACACCTGTCAACAAGCCACGCACCTGTCAAAACACGCTGTCAAACTGCACACTCAAACACCTGTTGCACCTGTCAACAACACCTGTCCTGAAAAACACCACACTGTCATACATGCAACACCTGTCACACCTGTCATACCCTGTCCTGTCAACCTGCACCTGACCTGTCAAAACACCTGTCCACGCACCTGTCATACACCTGTCACACCTGTCAAACGCACCTGTCAACACACCTGTCAACACCTGTCAAAACACTGTCAACTCACCTGTCAAACACACTGTCTGTCAAAACACTGTCTGTACGCACCTGTTACATGCACACTGTCAAACCACACCTGTCATCACACACCTGTCACAGTCAAAACAAAGGATTAAGCTGGAATTTTGGTCTTAAAGTTTGTTTTATTGTAAGATTTAATAAACAAATTCCACTTTTTTCCCATTTTTGGTCAAGAAATGATTATTTGACAAAGGCAAATTTAAGAAAACGCCTTTATTTTGTTTAAATAATGTTTAAAGTGTCAGAAAATGTCATTAGTATTAGTTTTAGAACACTCTGCTTTCTGTACCTTTTCAATCTATTTTTCTACTATTGGTGTAAAACTATAATTTATTTTACATCAAGTCTTATCCCAGCAAATAAAAGTCTGTCCTGGTGAACGGTCAAGTCAGATGTTTGTGTTTTGTGCTGTGTTTTTCGCAGGAGTGTTGTACGAGGAGAAGGGAGACCGGCGGCCTCCTCAGGTCTGTAAGTCGGTGTGGGATTACATCGACCGACTCAACAAGAAAACTCCAGTCTTCTACAACTACATGTTCGCACCAGAGGACGACGAGGTGAAAACTGAAATATACTGAAATATACTGAAATATACTGAAACATACTGCTGCTGCAAGTGTCGATAGAGCGGAGGAGGAGAGGAGAGAAGCAGAGGAGAAGGTCAGAAGATCAGAGGAGACAGTCAGAGAAACAGGAACAGAGGAGAGGGTCAGAGGAGCAGAGGAGAGGAGAAGTTTAGAAGCACATAGGAGAGGTTTGAAGAGCAGAGGAGAAGGTCAGAGGAGGAGAGGCCAGAAAAACAGGAGCAGAGGAGAAGGTCAGAGGAGAGGAGAGGGTCAGGTGAGCAGAAGCAGAGGAGAGGAGGAGAAGATCAGAAGATCAGAGGAGAGGTTAGAAGATCAGAGGAGAAGTTAGAAGAGCAGAGGAGAAGTTAGAAGAGCAGAGGAGAAGTTCAGAGGAGGAAAGGAGCAGAGGAGAAGGTCAGAGCGTCAGAAGAGCAGAGGAGAGGAACAGAATATCAGAGGGGAAGGTCAGAGGAACAGAGGAGAAGAGGAACAGAGGAGATCAGAGGGTCAGAGGAGGGGGTGGGGGAACAGAGGAGATGGTCAGAAGATCATAGGAACAGAAGACAGGGTTAGAGGAACAGAGGAGAGGAGAAGATCAGAAGAACAGAGGAGAAGGTCAGAAGAACAGAGGAGAAGGTCAGAAGAACAGAGTAGAGGGGCAGAGGAGCAGAGGGTCAGAGGAGAGGGTCAGAAAAGCAGAGGAGAAGGTGAGAAGAGCAGAGGAGAAGGTCAGAGGAGCAGAGGAGAAGGTCAAAGATCAGGAGAGGAAGGTAAGAGGAGAGGAGAGGAGGAGAGGAGAGGGTCAGAAGATCAAAGGAGAAGGTCAGAGGAGAGGAGCAGAGGGTCACAGGAGGAGAGGAGATTGTCAGAGGAACAGAGGAGAGGTTAGAAGAGCAGAGGGTCAGAGGAGAAGAGGAGATGTTATTTCTCACTGAAGCTTTTTGTTCACAATGGACAATAAAACCAGTTCTGATTTATTTTTATGGTGTGGAAAGACCAAGCACAGCTTCATCTCCACGGAGACCAAAAGGTGTGAGAAAGGTTCCGTAGTGCGCCTTTAACTGTTGCTCTTGTATCTGTTCCTCGGTCAGGTTCTGCGTCCGTACACGTTCATCTCTAACCTGAAGGTGTGGGACTTCTACACGGAGGAGACTCTGTCCGAGGGGCCGCCGTACGACTGGGAGCTCCGCCCGCAGAGACCAGACAAAGTCCAGGACGAGAACCCGGACAAGACCGAGTCCGGACCCAAGTCCCTGCGGCGCGTGGTCTGGCCCTGCTACGACAGTCTGAGCAAAGTCCTGCCAGACTCCATCAGCAAACTGCTCCAGGACCTGCAGAGTCTGGAGACGGAGCTCGGAGTGAACCCCGAGAAGTGGAAGGACACGTGGGACAAACTGAAGGCGGCGCAGAGACAAGACGGAAAACTGGAGAGCAAGGTGAGGAAGGAGAGGAGGAGAGAGGGAAGAGGGAAGACTGGAGAGGAAAGTGAGGAAGGACGGAGGAGAAAAGAGAAGAAAGAGAAGAGGGAAAACTGGAGAGCAAGGTGAGGAAAGAGGGAGGAGAAAAGACTGGAGAGCAAGGTGAGGAAGGACGGAGAGGGGGAAGAGAGGAGGGAAGACTGGAGAGGAAAGTGAGGAAGGAAGGAGAGAGAGAAGAGAGAGAGAAGAGACTGAGGAAAGAAAAGAGAAGAAAGGAGGGACAACTGGAGAGCAAGGTGAGGAGAGAGAGAGGGAAGAGAGGAGGGAAGACTGGAGGGCAAGGTGAGGAGAGAGGGAGGAGGAAAGAGAGGAGGGAAGAGGAAGACCTTAGAGCAAGGTGAGGAGAGAGGAGGGAAGAATGGAGAGCAAGGAGAGAGGGGGAGGAGAGTAGAGGGAAGACTGGAGAGAAAGTTGAAGAGGGAGAAAGGAAAAAGAGGAGGGAAAACTGGAGAGCAAGGTGAGGAGAGAGAGAGGAGGAAAGAAAGAGAAAACAGGAGCAAGAGGCAGGATAATATAATGGATCTGTACACTGTATTTGACCCTCGTTGTGTCTTTTGACACTTCACCCACTTTGACTTTGTATAAACATCGTTGTGAGAGATGGAATGATTGGCAACCTCACTTGTGCCAGTCTGCCCCGGGGCGGCTGTGGCTACAGTTGTATTTTACCAAGTAGAGTGAATGAATAATGTAAAAAAAAATCTAGTAAACTTTTTTCATCAAGGGCCACATTTCTAAACACAAATGAAGCAGAGGGACGATCGAGGGCCGTAGACTGGTGCTCAGTGCAGTGAATAACTGAAATATGTGCAGGTTTAACACGTTAGAATGAACCATCATCTTTATTCAGGCTAAGATCATTAAAACCAAACACTAAATATTAAATATCGGCTTTATCAAGGTAGATTTTCAAAAAACTTGAAGTAAAAAGTTCATTTTTAATTGATGCAAGGTCATTTTAGGCCAGTTCACCTGGAAGCCTGAGGGCCAAGAAAAATTTGTCTGAGGGCCGCATTTGGCCCACGGACCATAGTTTGGACATGCCTGATCTAGATACAAGAGGCTAAAACTGAGAGATAATTATAAATCGTTTTCATGTGTTTATTAAAAGCAGTATAAGAAAATAAAAAGTACATACAATACTTTTGAATGTAAAGTGTCCAAGGATAGAATGAGTGGACATTTAACTTGCCCCAGGGCAGCTACGACCACAGAAGCGCAGATATTTCCCCTGATATTTGTGTGTCACGTGTCTGTTGTGTCTCTGTCCTCAGCCGTCCTTCTCCAGCTCTCTGCTCATGTCGTCCAACCTGGGCCACCAGAGGCGCTGTCAGACGGTTTACCTGCAGGACAGCCCCTCCTCCCTCACGCTGGGCTTAGACTGCGAAGCCTCCGCCACCTCCACCCCCACCCAAGGGCGACAGAGCACCAGCGCCCTCTACAGCCAGTTCCAGAGCAGCGAGAGCGAGAACAGGTGACCAGAAAACAAACAAACAAACTCAAAATCTGTGGAGAATAAAGACGAGCTGCTCTGATGAGGCGTCTGCTCTGTCCTGTTTGCTCACATCAAAACTACAAAGGAGTTTTAATTATTTACTTATTTTTTGAACTTTTATTACCACAAATCAGTTCACATCAGCAGTGTCCTGAGACCGGCCTTCACACAATTTACACTTCACACTTTTTTCCCTCTTCCCCCTTTCAAGAAGAAGAAAAGAAAAAAAAATAGTAAAAATGTATATATATAAAAAAAAGGGATGTTAGGGCATAAGTGTCTTATTTTAAAAAGTGAATATTAGGCCCCACCTCTTTTCAAAAGTCGGCACCTCGAGCTGTAGTCGAGCCGTTAAAATCTGTGTGTCATTCGCTCATTTGTTTTTCAATATAAAAACAAAAATAAGAAAATGAAAAAACAACTAGTTTCTTCATTATTTGGCTCCAAAACCAAAAAGGAAAAAAACTGTTTCAGTTTCAGTTTTCGATTTTGTGTTTAAATGAAAAATGGAAAAAACGGATAACGGCCGTGTCACTGAAGTGAAGCACATCTCCACTCACCACTCTTGGCTCCGTCTCCACATCCACACGTTCCTTTCAACGGACTGAACCACAAAACACCACGACCAAAAACCTCGTCCTTCTCCTTCTCAATCTCCTCCTTAAAACAAGTAAGTTGTTCATGTTCTGGCTCCGGTACGAGAGGAACTTTAAAATCTCCAGGTGCTCGATGCTGCGTCCATGTTTGGACAACTTCTGTAAACACAGAGACGCTCGCTGCGGTTGACGTCGTCGTGTCTCCAGTGTCACATGTGGGACACTTTTGGACCGTTTAATGTTCACACTGGAGTCACATACAAGTCACATTTAACTGGAAATGTAAATTACCTCATAAAAACATCGGATTTCACAAACAAAATTGGAATTGAGCGTTAAGCCCTGCAGTCTGAACGTAGCCTAAGACTACATTTCGTAATAAAAGTTTTCAGCGGGGTTCTAAAGAATTTTATTTTGACCTTCAAACTCCTTCCAAATTTGACTTTCCCTCCTCTGTGACAACCAGAACAAACACTCCTCCAGGTATCATCATCCAGAGTCACATTCATTTCCATTTCCCACTGTTGTTTTATATGATTTGTGTTACCAGACGGAAAACACGGTACTTCAAATAACTGACTGACTGTGATCAAGCCTCTCTCCGCCCAGCGCTACGACTTTTAATTTTACTACAATATTTTTCTTCTCAGGAGTTTTGAAGGAATCCTGTTTAAGAAAGGAGCTCTGCTGAAGCCGTGGAGACCGCGATGGTTCGTCCTGGACAAAACAAAACACCAGGTCAGACTCTAAAACGACTTCAGAATCACGTCATTTAAACGAGTGATGTCATATAAAGTCATATAAGAGTGATGGGACAGTGTACGTGTTTACTGTAGTACTTATACTGTGTGTGTTTCAGCTGCGTTACTACGAGGCGCGTCAGGATAAGGAGTGTAAAGGCGTGATCGATCTCGCCGAGGTGGAGACGGTTGTCGTGGCGACGCCGACGATGGGAGCGCCCAAAAACGTGGAGGAGAAAGCCTTTTTCGACGTGAGTGTCTGAGGGGGTCGTGGAAAGTGTCTCACTGTGTCTTTATTCATTCACTTCAAACTCTGTGGTGGTAAAGTACGACTGAAGCCACAGCTGCCCCGGGACAGACTGATGGAGTGAGGCTGAAATAGAAATATAAGTCACACCAGCCAAAAATGTGAAATGAAGAAGAAAAACTCATATATAAGTGGCACCTGAATATAAGTCAGAGAACAACAGACGTTTATCTCAGTGTGATTAAATAAGTTCTGATGTTAAATGAACATTAGTGAGTTTGATTCGTCTTAATGACCCGTGTGTGTAAATGACGAGAACAAACGTCTCAAACTTCAGTAGCCGCACATCCGCTCAGACCTGATCCACACACCTGTCCCCGCCCCCTGAGACTCTGAAATCTGCTGAAATCCTCCAAGACACTGACTCACAGGACTAGAGCGCCCTCTTGTGGCTGTCAGTGTTTCAGGAAACACCAAACCATGAAAAAAAGTGCGACTTATTATCTGAAAAATACAGTAATACATTTTAATGTTTAACTCTCCTCAGATCTAAATTCTACAGGTTTTTAAACTTTTTAGTAAAAATTAAGCAAGACTTTTAAATTTCCAGGGCTGGAATTTCTTTTAGTTTGCTTTTCTCTTACAGAAGTTTCAGAACTGAATTTGAGCTTTACACAAAACTGTGTGTGTAGATCAGGAGTCAAACTCAAACTGACAGAGGCCAAAATTAAAAACTGGGACTAAGTCATGAGCCAAATATTTATCGATAAATTTCAACAAGATCTGCATGTTTTCTCTTCTTTTGAGATTTGTAATGTTAAATTACATATTTATTACTTATAAAAATTATTATTATAATTATAAATTAATAAAAAATTATAATAACATTTTACATAAATAATGTCTCTATAGTCGATCTGTGTGCGGCGAACAGCTCTAATACTGATTTATATGATCTCACAGCCAAATATAATTATATCGTGGGCCAAATTTGACATGTCTGATTTAAAGTAAAACCTCAAAATCTAAATTCTGCAGAAATGGTGAGTGTCTATAACAACAGGCAGGTAAGGTCCACTTTGTCTCTGTAGGTAAATTTGTCCTCTTGGTTCAGTCAAGTGGTTAACGGAGGGAAACAGGGGCAGATTTTTGACATTCAAATGTCTCTTATTCAGAAACTAGAGGAACTATTGAAATAAGTAAAGTATCAGAATGTAGGAAAGAGTTACACTCCAACAGGGTCAAGTTAAACCTGTGATATTCTTTCAAGTTGTTGACAAAAAATTTAAAAACTCATGTCGGTAACGGAGGGAATGAAATATGCAGCACTTTTTTGGCAATAAATCCAAACAGTGATAACTCTTGGTTCTCACTTACATATCCTTAACAAACTGGTTTGAATATTTGCTTCATATAGTTTTCTACCATATGGTACAAGATTAGGTTGAAAAACCTCTTACTTTTTGACTCATGAGATTTTTTTATTAAGAAAGGTCATGGTAACGGAGGGAAAAGTAACGGAGGGAAAATTGTACAAACAAGTAGAAGGTGCAGGATTTTACATCATTTGTCACTTTTTTCTTCTGAAAACTTTAATATTACTTCAAAATGAAAGGAAACTATTTCTTTAAAATATGTCAGTCTTTCCAAGCAAATTTTTATCATTTTAAATACTTTTTTTTTTTTTTAAATCCTGTCCCTTCATCAACAGTTCAAAGATGGAATAACACAAGATATGATGAAATACATCCATTTATTTACATGATTTTCAGGTCTTTGAAATTTGGGAAATAATTTTTGTTCCATGTTTCATACATGGTCTGTTTAAAACATATGGAACTTTAGAACCAAAAATGGTACAGAAAAAAGGTCAACAGTTTGATAAACTAGAGTACATATGTATCTGTTCAATACATTTTTATATCAGATGCATGAACTTGAGTTTTTGGCCTTGTTGTTTACTTCTGCTGGACCGGGCCTCTCTGCATTTGACCCGTCCTTCAGTGTCTCTGGGTTAAACCTGTCAGGAGCAGTGGGACCATCTCCAGATCTTGGTCTAGTTTGGTGTCCAGACCAAGACCAGAACCAAGATCTGGAGATGGAGGATTTGACCTTTGTACTTGTTTTTTCTCCATTGAAATCCCTTTATTTTCTTCAATCTTTGGCTCCAGTTACCCTAATTCCACAATCTAGGACACATTTTAAAGAGCCCGTGTCTCTCTCGTCTTCATCATGTTTTAAAATAATCCGTACAGTTGATCTAATGTGTTTCTGATGTTGTGTTTTCCAGTTGAAGACGACGCGGCGCGTGTATAACTTCTGTGCACAGGACTCTTTCCTGGCGTCTCAGTGGATCGAGGCCATTCAGAACTGTCTCTCTGACGCGTGAAAAACAAAAGGACTTCACCCACGAAGCCGAAATACGAGACCGACAGACTCTGAGAAGCTTCGAGCCACGAGCGACGCCGCGACTCTTCAGTGTTTCAGACAAAAGACGAGGGAAAGTCGACAAAAAGAAACGTTTAATATGGACCACGCAGGGTTTGTCCAGATCCTCCAGCTGACACCGAGAAAACGAGGGAGGAATGACGGATAGACGCCGAAACGGAGGAGGACGAGGAGGAGGACGAGGACGAGGAGGAGGAGGAGAGATGTTGATGGACCAAACACGATGCCTCTGAACTGCCTGTGTGCGTTTTTGAAATGAGGAGGTGCGAAACCAGGACCAAGATCGAGCGCTGCGATTGGTTTAGAAAAGGTGAAAGTGTTTGGTTTGGAGGAGACGGGAGCAAAGGTCAAATGTGAATCAAAACCAGGACTAAACCGGGACTAAACCAGGACTAGATTACGTTCAGTTTGTTGTAAAGAAGACCTATTCTTGGACTAAACCAGGACTAAAGCAGGAGTAAACCAGAAGTGTGTCTCAAAGAAAATATCAGGCTTAATTTCGGATTAAATTGGGTCCAAACCAGGTCTAAACCAGGTCTAAACCAGGTCTAGATTTCTTTACAGTGCAAGTGTATCTCAAAGATGATGTCAGACTTTACCTTGGACTAAACCAGGTCTAAACCGAGGACTAAACCTGGACTAAAGCAGTGGAAGTGAGTCTGAAAGAAGTTAACAGACCTAACCTCAAACTAAACCAGGACTAAACCTGGACTAAACCAGAAGTGTGTCTCAAAGAAAACCTCAGACTTAACCAGGTCCAAACTAGGTCCAAACCAGGTCTAAACCAGGTCTAAACCAGGTGTAGATTTCTTTCAGTCCAAGTTTATCTCAAAGAAGATACTGGACCTTGGCCTAAACCAGGTCTAAAGTAGGTCCAAACTAGGTCCAAACCAGGTCTAAACTCGGTCCAAAACTGGACTAAATCAGTGCAAGTGAATCTGAAATAAGATACCAGACCTAAACCTCAAACTAAACCAGGACTAAACCTGGACTAAACCAGGATCTTCTCACTGCAAGACTCTTGAATAAACCCGGACTCCATCAGGACTCGGACTCCTGCAGATCTTGAGCCTTTTCATGGACCAAAAATAACTTTGAACAGTTTAAATTTTCTGTGTATTTTCATGTTTGACGTGAGGCTCCCGTCTGCTCCTCCAAACCTGTTTCACGTGGAGCTCAACAGCGCCCCCTGTGCCCAAACCTAACACCCCCTCGCTCACTTTCCCCACAGACTTTTACAAAGATTCACATTTCTAAAGTTTAAAACACTGACAGTTTCTCAAATACTGACAATTTATAACGTTTACATTGTAGATTTTTTAAAAGTCATCACTTTTATTCTGCTCAAATTACCTCAAAGCTGAAATATTTTTTTCGATTACAAATAATGACATTCAGACATAATTTTTAATCGCAATTAATTTAAAAATTACTTAAACCTTTTTACAGGCAAGTTTTCACAACAAAATTTACCACAAAAATGCAGAAGTTTTTCACTTTTAAACCTGATTTTGAAATTAAAATTCACAGAAATTTTGTATTTTTTTGCCATTTTTAATTTAATAAAAATTGCAGTATTATATATTATCAAGACGTTTATTACATCTTAAAGCTTCACTGCGTAACTTTTCTGGTGGAGGGTCTGCCGGCCGCTCGTCTCCATGGAGATGACTCATCCAGCTTTGCCTGAAATGTTCCACAGTGTGACCCCCGAACCCGCGTGTCCCGCATGTGTTTATGATCACGAACACGCACACGGGGGTCGCCTCTCCGCAGATCTGAACCGTAACCTGCTCGCCTGCTCGTCATAGCAACAGTCCTCCGTCAGAAAAGTTCCACAGTGCAGCTTTAATATGAATCTGGTCTCTGTTCTAATGTGGTTTCCTCGTCACAAACAGAACCGGAGTTGTGTTTTTTTTGTTTCGTTCTCACACGTTTAACTCACAAACCTGCAGATTCAGACCGAGAAAACACTCTGTTCCACCTCGTGATGTCATCTGGTGATACAGGGAGTAGGGTCGGGTATTAAGAAGTTGTCGATACGATACATGAGTGAAAAATCCCCAGGAAGAATCCACGGCAAAAAGGGAAATGATACAGTATCGATATCGTGGGCTGCTGTATCGATATATCGCCAAGAGGATTTGTAGGTTTATTTTACGAAATTATTTTGTGTAAGAGCTACAAATGTGTTGACACCTTCACCGTTTTGAGTTTTTCATCTTAACTTTGCACAAACTTTAATATTTTAAAAGTTTAATAAGACTTTTAGTATCAGAGCCATGATTTAGTCTTTGTTTTTTACTGAACCGTATCGAATCGTATTGAATGGAAAGCTCAGTGTATTGAAAAGTATCGTATCGTATCGTGGTCAGAGAAGTTTCCACCAGCGTCTGACCAGAACTGAAGAAGCAGCTTGGACGACCTGAGAAACGTTTCCAACCAAATAAATTTTTGTCCAGTCGAGAAATTGAATATTCCCTTTCCCATGATCCGATACAGACGTCGATACACAGGCCACGATACGATACCTTTCAATACACTGAGCTTTCGATTCAATATGATTCGATACTGTTCAGTAAAAAACAAAGACTAAATCGTGGCTCTGATTACTAAAAGTCTTTGTTAAACTTTTAAACCAGGAGAGTCAAACTCAGAGGCCAAAATTTAAAACTGGGTCAAAGTCGTGGGTCAAACTAAATATTTATTAAAAAGTTTCAACATCATCTGCATGTTTTCTCTTCTTTCGAGATCTGTAATGTTAAACCTTTTCTTACTAAAATAAATGTTTAATAATAGTTTTGCTTAAACATTGAATCCAGAACAAACAAAATACAAAATAACAAAATTTTAAATAAATAATGTTTCTATAGTCGATCTGTAGTTGGCAGCTCTAATACATTTATTTGTTCTATATGATTTCACGGCCAAATATAATTATATCACAGGCCAAATTTTGCCCTTGGGCCTGAGTTTGACACGTCTGATTTAAAATATTAAAGTTTGTGCAAATTTAAGATGAAAAACACCAATTTTACTCAAAACTGTGAAAATGTCGACACATTTGTAGCTTTTACACAAATTAATTTAGTCAAATATATGCGATATCGATAGAGCAGCCCACGATATCGATACTGTATCATTAAATTAAACGATCTGATATTTCGATATTTCAATATTTTTGCACAGCCCTAACAGGAAGTGCTCCACTGTGTTTTTAAACTCCACACACCTTCAACTAGAATCATTTGGATCATTTTAGAGCTGGAATTGACGATCTCGACTGAACTAAATTAAGGTAAAAGGAGCACTTCATGACATCACAGAGTGGAACAGAGCGTTTTGAGCTTTGGAGATGTAGACAGACTAAAAATAAAGCAGGAATTAACTCAAACATGAATGAAACAAAACACAAGTCCAGGTCTGTTTGTGACGAGGAAACAACATTATAAAGTTCATTCTGCGTAAGGTTGGACGTTTACTGAAAAGTCTGTGGGGAAAGTGAACGTTTTTTGTTGTGCTGTTGAGCCTCACGTCGTTCACACGTCGCCGTCGTCGTTCTGAACCAGCGCGAGCGTTTGTTGAATCGTGCGGTGGGAGAGGGAGGCGTCCTGTATGAAGGATCTACACTGTGAACTGAACAAACGGGAGTTTACACAGAGGAACATTCACCACTAAAGAACTGAAGGGAAACGCAAAGGGCCCCAGCCAGACTTTTACTTTTAGAGGTTTTTTAGAAGGACATTTGTATGTGGAAGAGCTCCAGAAGTACACAGGGTTTACTGTGCAGATTCACAATTCAGAATTTTAAATCTGGAATGTTGAGGGGATTTTCTGGAACCAAGATTTGTCAAGATTTGGGAGTAAAATAAAACAAACAGGACTAAACCAGGACTAGATTTCCTTTCAGTGTCACCTGTTCTGAACCAGGACTTAAAGCCTAAGCCAATTTCAAATTCATTTTATTAAGTCACTAGCCCTTCAGCCTAAACCAGATCTAAACCAGGTCTAAACCAGGTCTAAACCAGGTCTAAACCAGGTCTAAACCAGGTAAACCAGGTCTATTTTCTTTCAGTCCAAGTATGTGTTCATAGACGGCACCAGGTACTAAACCCAAGTTAGTTTTAAACCAAGTCTCTAACCTCCTCTGATTTACCATCTTGATCCAATAGACCTAACCAGGACTAAACCAGGACTAAACCAGGACTAAACCAGGACTAAACCAGGACTAAACCAGGTCTAAACCAGGACTAAACCAGGTCTAAACCAGGACTAAACCAGGTCTAAACCAGGTCTAAACCAGGACTAAACCAGGTCTAGTGTCCTGTCGGTGCAGTTGTAAGTTTCGTAGAAGACCGTAGAGACTAAACCAGTTCTGAACCAGGACTAAAAGAGGTCTAAGTCCATTTAAGTCTAATGCTTTTATTTACTGTGCATGTTCTGAAGAAGCAAAGCCATTAATTCTGACAAAACTGACTGAACCAGGTCTAAACCAGGTCTGATCCAGGTCTTAACCAGGGCTAAACCAGGTCCAGTTTTTTTTTAGTCCAAGTATGTGTTCATCAACAACAGCAGGAACTAAACCAGGACTAAACTTGGCTCAAGGAAGTTTTAAACCAAGTCTATAAACACCCCTTAATACTGACCTGACTGGGACTGAACCAGGACTCACCCAAGACCTAAACCAGGTCTAAACCAGGTCTAAACCAGGTCTAAACCAGGTCTAAACTTCTGCTCCCACCACATACAAAAGTCCTTCTTGAACCTGAGCTGTCACTTTGAGAGAAGAGGAACGTGGACAGGTGCATTGTGGGAGAGTTTTCAGTGTTTAATGTATTTTTTGCGACTAAAAACTGGACTTGAGCTGATTTATTTTTTTGTTTTTGTTTTTTAAAGCAGGGGAAAAATGTGTTACAGAGATTTACAACAGAAACGTTTGACTCACTCCAGAGGTTTTTGAATGTGACCCAAGCCACGCCTTCTCTAAAACTTCAAAATCTCTTCGTTTTTTTATTCAACCGAACCGTTTGAATCTGTCCGGAGCCGGAATATTCACGTTTGCAGTCGGGTTTTTATCATTTTTAAAAGTTTTATACGACGCAAAACGGAAAAGTCGTGTTCTAATGTTGTTTACTCGTCACAAACAAATCTGGAGTTGTGTTTTGTTTCATTCACACGTTTGAGTAAGTCTTTATTTTTCGTCGTCTACGTCTCCGAAGCTCTAAACGCTCCACTTTGTGACGTCATGTGGTGATACAGGAAGTGCTCCACTGCGTTTTTAAGCTCCACACACCTTCACTAGAATCATCTGGAGAATTTCAGAGCTGGAATCGGCGATAGACTCCAGGAAAACGTTCGGAAACACGAGATGGCGACTTCGGGCGGGTTCTGTTCAAGACAAGGTTTTAAAAACTGTCGCTCGGGCTTAATGGCGCGTGATTCTGGATTCGCCTTCAGCCCGGCGAGGTTCTTCCAGTGGCTCTGGGATGACGGAGCATGTGATCTCTGTGACCAATCAGAGCGAGAGGAGCCAGAGCGATTATAAAGAGTTTTTTTTTTTTTAAGACAACTGAGGGATTTTGAGTTGAGGAAAAGTTTATGATGTAAAAATAGGTAAAAATCGCAACAAAATCCGACATTTTTGAAAGTTGTAGGTCCCTATCAGGCAAACACGAGCAGTTTGTGATTACTTTTCCACTCTTTTTCCACTGAAGTACTGTAAGATTAGCCTGATTCATCAGACATTTGACCTCACAGCATTAGGATTCGTTCACTCGACAGTAGGCGGGTACTTTTTTTATTTAACTAATCGCTGCTGTTTGGTCGTGACGTATGTAATGTGTCGCTAACGGGATTAACTGGTATATTAAGCTTTTCTCAAATCCTGTAGGAAGAAGGACAATAACGTCTTTCCCCTTGATAAAATTCACCAAACATTCTCTTTGTTTTGGTTTTAAATCCTCGATCTCGTGAATCGTTGTCAACACAGAATGTCTGTCTCTTCACTGATTGGCTGGTGCCTGAACTCGAACTTCTGGGGTTCTTGCAAACCGTCTAGTGTTTTCTGATTCCTGATCTAGTCGCTGGAGAGAAATGAAATTAAGCAGAGGCACTAGGTGGCGCCACTCAGACTAGTCTGAGTGTCACTGTGTCAACTGGAGACATCTACAAGCAGCAACATCTCCAGTTATTTTAATAGATCCATGGTTCGAGGTAGTCAGGCTGGCGCCACCTAGTGCCTCCGCTCAATTCATTTTTCTCCAGCGACTAGATCAGGAATCAGAAAACACTAGACGGTTTGCAAGAACCCCAGAAGTTCGAGTTCAGGCACCAGCCAATCAGTGAAGAGACAAACATTCTGTGTTGACAACAATTCCTGAGATCGAGGATTTAAAACCAGAACAAAGAGAATGTTTGGTGAATTTTATCAAGGGGAAAGACGTTATTGTCCTTCTTCCTACGGGATTTGGAGCATTACATACATCACGACCAAACAACAGTGACTGGTTAAATAATAAAATTCCCTGCCTACCGTCAAGTGAACAAACCCTTGTGCTGCGAGGTCAGACGGTTTCTACGAAGTGAAACCGGCTCATGAATCATTGTAGGTTCGCGGTAGTAAGTCTTGACAAAATGTAGGAAAAATGAGAAAACGTCGCAGTTTTCTTCATCTCCATGCTGTCGTAGCTTTCCGTTATGTTCGGCTCATCGACAATTCCAACCGTACCTCAGTTTTCTTCATTTCCACACTGACGCACGACTCCGACGCGATTAGAAAAGACGAGGACCACGAATTCCAGATGATTCCGAAAAGCACAAACGTCTGAAGTCTTCATTTACTTCGTCGGGTTCGATCGGAGTTCCAGAGTCGGGAACTACACCGGAAGTCGTCATCGCAAGTTTCCAAACGTCTGTTCACTTTAAAACTACCACTTCATGACATCACAAGTTGGACCAGATCATTTAGAGCTTTGGGGATGTAAACAGATGAAGAATAAAGAGTTACTCAAACGTGTGAATGAAACAAAACTCAACTCCAGGTCTGTTTTTTGACGAGGAAACGGCGTCAAAACCCGACTTAAACCTCTCACGAGTCAGTTCTGCGTCATATCGAACCTTTAAACAAACGGATCTCGCCCCCAAACGTCTAAACTCCAGCTCCGACACGTTTCATCTCCGACCCAAACCACTCGCTTTCACTGCTCCTGCGACAGTTGTAAAATAGTTTTACGGTTTTTCAATTTTTGTAATTTAGTTTTGTTATTAACCTTTATTGTACATACCCCACAGATTTGTATTGTAGTAGTAATTTATTTAACTGTCTCAAAAAAGTTTCCCTTAAGCACCACTTTTATTTTTTGAAAACGTAGTCATTCGATGTGCCATTTTCTGTTTTATTTTCTGTATTAATGTGACTAATAATTTTTTAAAACCTGTAAATTTTTTGTAAAAGCGCTGGTCCTTACTTATTGTAGCAAACATTTCTGAAAAGTGGGTCGGTTTTGAATTAGTTTTGATTTTTTTTTTTTTTTTTTTTCCTCTTTTGTTCGCTGCAGTCCCCAAATTTTCATTCACAATTCAAATTTTTGTTTACAATTTTTCAAAGTGTGGCTGTAGTGGTGATATTTTTAAAGATTTGAGAAAGTTTTGGTATTATTTTATTTAGTGATTCAAGAAAATGCAACAATAGATTTTTAAATGTATATATAAAAATATGAATAATTATTAAAAATTTAAATTCTGGAACATTTTAATAAATTGGTAAAATTCCCCAAATGCTGTAGAAATTCAACACTTCAGAATTTGATTTTAAACAATAAAAAATAAATAAAAATCTTGCATATTTTAATGGTTGTGAGTACAATTTTGGAAGACTTTGAAAATTTATTTTAAAATTTCCAAACTAATTACCCTATTTTTTATTAGAAAATATTAAAAAGTGCTTAATAAAATTTTATTTATTTAGTTTTTTTTCCATTTAGGTGAAAATTTTAAATCTTACCTAATTTTGTGGGGGGGAAAAAAGAGAAAATTGTTATGGGTTAATTGTTGGAACTTTTAGAAAATTTTAACAATTTTTCAAATAAATTACATTCATACAATTTTAATTCTTTGTCAATCTTGGAAGCTTTTAACTGTTTTATTGAAAAAAATATATAAAAATCATATTGCAACATTTTTCATTTACATGAAAAATATGATGGGTTCAGAAAACTTGAGAATTTTAACTACAACTTATCAGACATTAAAAATTACTAAGAGTTTTAAGAATTTTAAACCAAATTCATAATCATTTGCTAAAAAAAAAAGTACTTTAATTTTTTTTTTTTTTTTTAAGAAATAGAAACTTATATTGGATTTTTTTCCCACTGGGTGAAATTTTAAACTTCTTTCTTAAACTACTTTCAAAATTTCAACAACTGCTAAAATATTTTCTTCAAATTTAAACCAAAACCTTCTAAAGTCTTAAATTGTCGCCCCTGGAGTCGTAGCCGCCCTCCCGCCGCCTCTCGCTCTTCGGCTGCAGTTGAACCAGTTTCATGTTTTTGGTCATTTCTGTTTCTCGTCTCAGTTACATTAACCACGTCACCGTCAGTTTATTTATTGTTTTGTTTTTTTAGAAATGACTTTTTCTGAGCCGGTTTCTGTCAGTCATGTTCAGATAGTTTTTAGCCTCCAATAAAAAAAAAGGGTTAAAACATATTTTGAGTTTGGCTCTTTTTTTTTTTTTTAACTAAAACTTCTTAAAAAAAAAGTTTTGTTTATTTTTTTTAGGCTTTATTTAATTGTTGAAGAGAATCTGTTTCCAATGTGGAGATTGTTGCATAAAATTATAAGATTCAAGAGTTTTAGAGAACTTTAGACATTTTTTAAATTATAATTAAAAAATTATAAAATGAAAAAACAATTTTCTTCATTATTTGTCTCCAAAACCAAAATAAAAAACGGATGACAATTAATTTTTTCAGTTTTTGATTTAGAGTTTAAATGAAAAAGGGAAAAAAACAGATAACAGACGTTTACGGACTTAAACTGCGATGCCGGACTTTAGGGCGAGGAGGTGCGCCCACGTAGACTGATTACGACTGAGACCAGGACCAGAACTGATCCCAGAACTGATCCGAGGACTAAAACAGGACTGAACCAGATCCCGGTCACAGTCCCAATCAGGTCCTGGTCTGGTCCCAGTCCCAATCTCAATCCTGGTCTCAATCCTGATTCAGTCCTGGTTCAGTCCTGCATCGCAGTTTAAGTCATGTTAACGTTATCTGTTTTTTTCCATTTAAACACAAAATTGAAAACTGAAAAAACAAATTATGTTTTATCATTTTGGTTTTGGAGACAAATAATGAAGAAAATAGTTGTATAGTTGTCTAATTTTTAAATTTTTTTGTTTTCATCTTGGTTTTATTTTGAAAAACGAATGAAGGAATGACACACATTTATTTGCTTTGGTCACGGTCCATCTCTCTGAAATCCATGAAGTGCCAAGATCGTTTTTAAATTTAATCTGAACAAAGTTTTTATCCGTTTTTACCCAATGTTCCCTCATTTTCTGACCCCGAGCTGTAATTTGAGGCTCGAGTGCTCAGATCATTTCTATATTTTAGTTTTGAACAATTTATAAAATCAAAAAAGACTATTATTGATTATTATCATTTTCAAACCCAAAAACTCAAATGAAAATCTGTTACAAACATGTTGTCTAAGCAGCTCTTCAGTTCAAAATAAGTCTTCTGTGTACCGTGTATGAAGTGTTTTATTGTTTTATTCTTGATGATCAGGAAGTGTGTTGTTTACGGTGACGTCAAAACTCTGCTCTGGTCTGTGAAAGTTGTGAAACGTGCTTAAAGGGCCCATCTCTAACAATGATCATGCAAAATCCACTTTTCAGATCTTTCTACCCTCTCAGTGATGTGTGGGTCTTGTATTTGTCACCCAAGTGGTTTTTAGATTGATTTGTCATTTTTTTAACAAATTGCTGTGTATTTATGAACTAAAGCTGCTATGACAATGACGCGGCAGATTCATCTATGACGCACCCGCCCCCCTCCACCCACTCACACACCGTCCAGGTCTCCTGTTCTGCGTTATTTATCTTTATTTTTCGCTTCAGACACACTTTTTGTAACCATGTCCTCATGGAGAAAGTGCGTATTTGGCTGCAATGGCAAGTCCAAATTATTTGTCAGGCCGACAGAAGAAGCAAGGCGTGATAAGTGTATTTCTGGGAACACAGACAAAAAGGTCCCCAAGAATATTTTTGTTTGCGAGCAACACTTCACCGAAGACGCTTTCAGAACTACAGGTATTTTAAAACTGGATTTACAACGAAGCAGAAGCGACACTTTGGAAAAGGATGCTGTTCCCACGATACCAGGGTCCAGCGATGACGATCCTAGATCTGTAAGTTTACTGCGAGTAAACCGCTGAAGAGAAGTAAAAGCAAACTGCAGCGTTTATTTTTGAAGATCACATATGCACTTGCATGTCATATATACATGTCATGTCCCTTGTTCTACCTGTTTTAGTTTGACAAACATTAGTCCTATGATATCACACTGATACTAACAACAGACTTAGGGCTTCATTTTATTCTAGTGAGTCGTCTTCAAAGCTTCTGCACGAAAACAAAATGTCGATTACACCTCAATCATTATGACCTCTGATGTTTAGTGTCGCCTGTACAGATTCTGACCACCTCATTTGATCGAACATTATTACAGGATTCAAGTTTGCCCAATTATTTCTTCTGTCTCCCCCTCCCTCCCTGAGATGGAGGAGGAAGGGCGGCTCACTCGTCGCCTACATCACATTTGGAGGGCGGAGCCTGTGCTTTCTCAGGACGAGCGGGGGGAGGAGCGATAGTCGGACTTTCATAGTTCCTGGTCTGTGACTGACTCCGAGAAATCAGGAAGATTTCAGAACTATTGTGTCATGGATGTTCCAAAACCCAAAGAGTGATTTTGTAGAGATGGACCCTTCAGAAACTCATCGTGGTGAAGACTTAGGACACTCTGAAAGCAGAAGATCAGTTTTACACATTTTAAAACTGTAAAAATCAGGTATGTCACGTTTAAATAAAATAAATTACCCCCCAAATATTTCCAAACAAAAGACACTGAGACACCATCGTTCATTATTTGGTATTAATGTGGTCAACCAGACACTTTTTAATTTGCAATATTTTTTTTTTTTGAAACAATGATCACAACCTGATCGCTGCCGTTTTGATTCGTTAAGTACAAGAACTCCGTCGCCCAGGCAACAACCGCCGCGCTTCCTGTAAAAACCCTTCCGCTTCCTGCCTTATTTTGCGCCTGTTCAAAATAAGAGTTTTTAAAATAAAAGAGGAAAATAAAAACAAAACAAAAAAAAAAAAAAAAAAGGTCTGACTGAAAACCACTGTTGCCCTGCGCTGAGTTTTAAGTGCTTGGTGGAGAGAAGAGACAAGAGAAGACCAAAAAATAAAAAATAAAAACTGAAATTAAAAGTTGTGTAATAATGTTGTTATATAGGTAGATAAGTTTGGTTTTGATTTAAAAATAAAATTGGGAAATAGCCATAAAAGATACAATCAGGAGGTCTCAGCTCTCACTATCTCTACATCTAAACATGCACTAAACTAAAAAGTCATTTGCTTTTTTTTTTTTTTTTAAATTCTAATTTAAAGATTCACCGTGTAACTTTTCCGTCGGAGGGCACTGAACGCCTCTCGTTACTCGTCGAGCTCTGCGGAGAGGCGAGTCCGCTCACACACACAGAGAGAGAGAATGTGTGATTTATTTATTTTTAAGGCATTTTACAAAATAACAAAATAACCGAGTAAAGGCAAAAGAAACGAGTTTAACGGCGAACTCACAGACCGCGTAACGAAGCGGACGGACGGAGCGAGACGGCGACCGCGGTGGCCGGATATACAGTCAAACGAAGCTCACCCAGGGCAGAAGTTACAGGAGAATCCGTGTGTCGTTTGTTCAGTCGTTTTTCAAAATAAAAGCAAAAATAAGAAAATGAAAAAACAGATAATTATTCGTTTTTTTTCAGTTTTTGATTTTGTGTTTAAATGAAAAATGGGAAAAAAAAAAACACGGATAAAGGATGTTTCCCGTTTACGTGACTTAAACTGTGACGCCGGACTGAACCAGGACTGAACCAGGACTGAACCAGGACTGAACCAGGACTGAACCAGATCCGGGACCAGACCGGAATCAAACCAGGACTCAGACCGGAACTGAGACCGGGTCCAGACAGGGACTGAGACCGGGACCAAACCAGGACCAGACCAGGACTGAGGCCAGGAACAGGGCCAGGACTGAGACCAGGACCAGACCAGGACTGAGGCCAGGACTGAAAACAATTTAGTCCTGGTTCAGTCCTGGTTCAGTCCTGGTTCAGTCCTGGCGTCACAGTTTAAGTCACGTAAACGGGAAACTTCCTTTATCTGTTTTTTTTCCATTTTTCATTTAAACACAAAATCAAAAAACTGAAAAAAAATGAATCATTATCTGTTTTTTATTTTGGTTTTGGAGACAAATAATGAAGAAAACTGTTGCTTTTTCTTATTTTTGGTTTTATTTTGAAAAACAAATGAACGAATGACGAATGACACAGATTTAGGAACCGATTTGGAGCCGAGTTACAGATTTGAAATTCAAGTATCACAGCGACTGAAGAACCAATCAGGAGCGAGACTGTTGAAGGTAACGCCCCTTAGTTCCTTCCGCCCTCTTATTAATAGTGGTGTGCAAAAATATTAAAATACTGATATATCGTATCGTTTAATGTGATGATACAGTATCGATATATCGCCAAGAGTATTTTTAAGTATATTTGACTAAATTATTTTGTGCAAGAGCTACAGTTGTGTTGACATTTTCATCGATTTGAGCAAAATTGGTGTTTTTATCTTAACTTTGTACAAACTTAGTGGTTTAACAAAGACTTTTAGCATCAGAGCCACGATGTAGTCTTTGTTTTTCACTGAACCGCATTGAATCGAAAGCTCACTAACAAAAAACATCGTAATCGTTTCGCAGCCTGTGTATCGAGGTTTGTATCGTATCGACAACTTCTTAATGATACCAGCTCTACTTATAAACGCTGTCAATCAAATCTGCTCGACCTCGCGGAAAGAAGTCGCCTGATTGGTTTGTTATTAACGTTCAGATCTTGATTTACGGACAAAATATCGAAAAGAAAACAACCCAGGATCACGTAGAGCGGGTTAAAACGAACATTTTAATCCCAAAACGGACCGGCTACAGCGAGAGGAGCCGCGGTTTTTCAATAAAACGTGAACTGGAGCCAGAGCCGATGGAGCCGGAATCGCGCCCGGGCTCGTTTCCCGTTCGGAACTCGACGTTTACCGTGTCCGGCGCCGCGTCCGTCCGTATCAACAGTCTGCGGCCGCACCGGCAGAGCGGTATCCACGGAAACGACCCTCCATCTCCTAGAAAAGTTCCACAGCGCGTCTTTAAACCAGCCTTGATTAGTTTGAGAGAGGAAAAAAAAAAAACAAAAAAAAAAAACTAAATTTAATCTTTTAAATAAAATGGCTGATCGTCATTATTGCACATTGAGCAGTTAATACTATTTTTGTTTTTTCCTCACGATAAAAATAAAAACGCCCCCATCTTCCTCCCCAGAAAGCACTTGACGGAAATTTCAAAATAAAACAGCATGGATGAATTCATGAGGACTTTTTTTTTTTCCAAAATAAAACATGGATAATGGTATTAAAACGGTAGACAGCCCAGCAGATATGAATTGTGCTAGAAATTCAACAAGTGCATACATTATTTTAACTACAGAAGAAGTTTCTCAAATCTAACCTGTGCTCTTCCATCGATTTGTAAAACTGTTATTACATATTTTTAAATTTTTTTTCCTTGGACGATAAAAAAATAGTAAATGTTGCCACCATCTTGGATTCTGTCGCGTCGTTTTTGCTACATCGAAAAAAACGCACCAAAAGTTTTTTAAAATGTGCAACGTCTCGAGAAAAAAGAAGAAGTCTGTGGAAAAAGAGAGGTCCTCCGTTTTGTCTCGCCGGTTTGAGAAGAAGCAGGAGAAGGAGAAGAGATGTCCGCCATTTTGTGATTTTTTGTGATTTTTTTTCAGCGTAAAAGTCGCATCCCCCGTCGCTCGGAGACGCCGGGGACGGACTTCGGCAGTGCCCGGTTCCATGTGGTGGTGGTGGGGGGGGGAGGATTTGTCGAATTTTTAAGCAGAAATTTGAGGTGATTTTTTGATGATTTGTGTTTAACTTTGTGGAGGATGGATTCTGGAGGTCGAGGAGCAGCCCAAGTTTTAGTTTTTTGTTGTTTTTTTTTCTTTTTGGACGATATTTGTTTTTGGATCAAACCGGACCGTTGACGGAGACCTCCACCGGGACAGCTGCAGGCTCCTCTCTGAACAAACACACACAAAGAGGGAAATGAGATAGAAAAACTTAACTCCCTTTGCCAATTTCTTAATACATGCATCACTAATTTCGAACTTCCGATCATTGCACAATCCACACTGGGAAGGATCCTCAGAAAAAGTGAGCATCAAACCTCCATGTTTGTTTTCCCAGTGGGATGTGTCTGTTGTCAAAGTCGATCTTTTCAAGTCTTTTGAACCATATCACTTTTGTTTCTGGTTCTGATATTGTCATATTTTAGTTTTGGGATTCGGACATCGTAATTGTGTGGTTGTTGGATCCTAACAGCGGAAAACGACTCGAGGAATGGGCTTCGGAAGTTTGTAAACTCCATAAATGCAAAAGAGAATCAGATCTGTGTGACTGCAAACTAGGGATGGGCATTCGATTAAATTTTCTTAATCGATCGGCGGGAGAAATAATGATCGATTTTTATATTAAAATGATCAACATTATTATTACTATCTGCACTAATCTGCATAAATAAATTCAACTTTACGACAAATAAACCGTAACGACTCTAGAGCCACATCAGCTGTTTGACATTATAATGTGTTTAATTCAGTTTTGTTCAAATCTCACAGAAACAAAACTTAAAACCACATCACTAATTTACATAAACTAAGTGAAGATAAAACTCCAGCTCTTGTGTCGCTGATGTGGTTCAACTTGTGTTGTCAGATTAAAAAGACATGACTCAGGTGAATACAGGTCAGTGTGACCAGATTTGTGTTTGTCAAAACCAGGACAGCGTACGGGGGGAGGGGGGCGGGGCCTCGTCATCCACATTGAGCGACTCTCACCTGGAAAAACTTTTTCCCACTGGACACAGAAACATATGTGCTGCTTTATACACTGTGCACATGGACTCACACTTGTCCCGAACACAACAGAAAGTGTGGAATTTCTTGTACAAATCATCGTTAAATCCACATTTGTGCTTCGGTTCGTTACAGACTGACCCACTGTTTGTGTCTCGCTCCTTCTGATGCAGAGACACATGTACACACCTGTTTGGTCACGACACACACACAAACATACATTCGGTTTGTTGATTAAAATGAACGTAATCGATGAAATTCTTAATGATCAATTATCGATTAATCGACTAATCATGCCCATCCCTACTGCAAACCTCCGTTCAAACTGTTTCTCTTCCCAATGGAATTGAAAAATAGTGAAAGGTGAAGGTGATGGGCAGGATTGATCCACAGGAAGAACCAAAAAGGAAACATTTGTCTGACTAAGAAATCATCCTGAGTTTACAGAGAACATTTTGTATGTGGAGCGACAACAAAACAAAATCCCGTTTGTTAATGTAGAGGAGCAGAAGACAAACAGACTGAGCTGCACTTTCTTGTTCTTGTGGTTTTACAGCAACATCACGTCTTGGTCTCTTTGCAGTGGAAGGTGTTTCTTGGTGAACAGTTGGAGCCTTTCACTTTGGCGTTGACTTTTTAAATTCGTAACTGAGGTTGAGTGAGGGATCGAGATGTTGCTCCACAAAATGTTCTCTGTAAACTCGGGATGATTTCTTAGTCAGACAAATGTTTCCTTTTTGGTTCTTCCTGTGGATCAATCCTGCCCATCACCTTCACCTTTCACTATTTTTCAATTCCATTGGGAAGAGAAACAGTTTGAACAGAGGTTTGAGTCACACACATCTGATTCACTTTTGCATTTATGGAGTTCGCAAACTTCCGAAGCCCGTTTCTCGAGTCGTTTTCCGCTGTTAGGATCCAACAACCACACAATTACGATGTCTGAATCCCAAAACTAAAATATGACAATATCAGACCCAGAAACAATGCTCTTTAATGTTTTTTTTTTAATCGATTTTGGAAACCTCGGCTTTGATTTATCACCATTTATTCCTTGGTTTCAGTTTCTTGTTTATAGTTGCCATTTTGTGGACTTCTGACCAATGAAAAAATGATAAAAACAGGTTCAGAGTTTTTCAAATCGAGAGCAGTTTGAGCGCCATTGGGAAGTCATTTTCAGTCTGGAGGATGTGACCAGAGAAGCTAGAATTTTGACCAAATGAGGAAAAAAATCTGTCCCGGGCCCTCCACCTGACTCCACCTGACTCCACCTGACTCCACCTGACTCCACCTGACTCCACCTGACTCCACCTGACTCCACCTGACCCACCTGACACCACCTGACTGACACCACTGACACCACCTGACTCCCTGACTCTGACTCCACTCCCTGACATGACTCCACCTGACTCCAGACTCCACCTGACTCCACCTGACTCCACCTGACTCCACTGACCACCTGACCACCTGACCCACCTGACACCACCTGACTCCACCTGACTCCACCTGACTCACCTGACTCCACCTGACTCCACCTGACTCCACCTGACTCCACCTGACTCCACTGACTCCACCTGACTCCACCTGACCTGACCTGACTCCACCTGACTCCACTGACTCCTGACTCCACCTGACTCCACCTGACTCCACCTGACTCCACCTGACTCCACCTGACTCCACCTGACTCCACCTGACTCCACCTGACTCCACCTGACTCCACCTGACTCCACCTGACTCCACCTGACTCCACCTGACTCCACCTGACTCACCTGACTCCATTCTGACTCCATTCTGACTCCATTCTGACTCCATTCTGACTCCATTCTGACTCCAATTTTATTTTGACAGGTTTGTTACTCACTTCCTGCCGGCCTGTGCCTCTGATTTGGCGGGCGTCTCCTCAGATAAAGACAGTTTCTCCAGCGAGTCGGAGATCTCCTCACTGCAAAAACACGATTGAGTTATTGACACGTAAAGCAGATTTAATAAAACACTGTTAACACTTTATTTTAGGATACACTTAAAAACTTTCTGAGCTGCTAATTTTCATATTAAACATTTTTAATTAATGACTTCTTCTGCTGATAATTAAATTCCTATTCCTAACTCAAGAGAAAGCTGTATTTATTTATTAAGAGTTCAGTTCAGTTCAGTTTTATATTTTCTATAAAGGTCCTATATTATGCAAAATTGACTCCTGTGAGGTTTAACTCTTTCCCCCACGAAAACGACATTTGACGAGCTCCTTGTTTCCTTAATGACGTTTTTTAAAACCTCCGCTGTTTCACTAAAGACGTGATTTGACGACCATTAAATCAGGAAATGTTTTGGACGATTTTTTCCGAAGTTAATCGAAGTAGTGACGATTGTAACTTCCGGGGAAAAAAAACACAAAACAAAACACGAGCGACGGAAAGACTGCGGTGCACAGAAGGGGTGTGCAAAAATATCAGAATATCGATATATCGTATCGTTTAATGTAATGATACAGTATCGATATAGTGGGCTACTGTATCGATATTTCACCATGAGTATTTTAGAGTAAATTATTTTGTTACAGAGCTACAGTTTTGTTGCTTGTGGAGTGAAAGGAAACTCATTTATACGACACATTTGATATTTTTACTGTTTTGATGATTAAAATGTTTGTGTTTCATATGAATTTTGCACAAGAAGTGGTTTAACAAAGACTTTTAGTATCACAGCCATGATTTAGCTTTTATTTTTTATTGAACTGTATCGAATCAATTTGAAATATATCATATCGAATCGAAAGTGCACTGTATCCAGATATGTATCGTATCGTGGCCTGTGTATCGAGGTATGTATCATATCGGCAACTTCTTAATGATACCCAGTCCTAGTGCACAGTTTTAGAAATAATGAGGAGCGGACGTATTTTATGGATAAGTTTAGAGAAAGTGACTTTTATGGATTTCAAAGTGATGATGAAGGTGATTATAAAGTGGAAAACAGCGACAGCGACGGACTTACAGAGAGTGAAACTTATGAAGGTGAGAATGCGGCTGATGTGTCTGTGTGGAGTCCTGCGATGTCCCAACAAACTATCCGGGCTTTATACTTTATTATGAACCAAAACTGCCCCAAAATCTGGATGTTGCTCAGGCCAGTCCTTAAAAATATTTCAGTCTTTTTTCCCCAAGATGAGATTTATGAGAGAATCACTACAGAAACAAACGCTTATGTGGAGCTCTGCACACGAGAAAGTCGCCAAGATGACAAATACTGGACACCGACTGACGGGGAAGAGTTTTATTATTATATTATTATATTATAATAAACTAAATAAGTTGAATAAGTTAAATGGAAAAAACAAATTAGGTGCACACAGGTGAACAACAGGTAAAAACAGGTGAACACTTGGCTCTACTGTATCTGGTGATATGAAATCTGTTTAAATACTTTGACAAATATATTTTAAATTAAATATAGCACTCAGAACATGCAGATATCAGATGCTAAATGTAGTTTTTCAATTTTGCACCTGACCAGGTAAACTCTCATTTTCAGTGAGCTGTTATAAACCTGTAAATGAGTCGAATCACATTTAAACATCCAGAAATGAAGAGTTCAGAGTCTAAAGTTTCCAGAGATACAAATATGTCTGTGTTTCAATTAAGTTGATGAGTGTGAAAATCATTTATAATCACTCGTGGAAGTCTGTTTATTTTATGCAGTTATGTTAGCCCTAGTAACATATGTGTGGGTTGTTCCTAGTCGGCGTCCAAGGGGGAAAGAGTTAAGACATGTTATAATGTTGTTACCTCCTCAAAAACAAACCTGGATGTGCAGAAATTATTTATTTTAATAGGAAAGTGTAAAAGTCTATTTAAAAGCGTGATAAACACAAACCTCACGCGTCCTTAAGCGCAGCGGCTTGTCCCTCTCACCTGCTCTGTGTTGTGCCGTCCTGTGGGCTGGTCTGGGCGTTGCTTTGGACAGGGGGGTTCTCCTGTGACTTTGACCCGGCGGGGGAGCTCTGTTCTGGGGCAGAGGCGGGCGCCGGGGTCCCCTGTTCCTCCGGAGCTCCAGAGGAAGGCTGCTCTGGTTTGGCTTCAGTCTGAGCGCCGACCGGAGAGCTGCACCGCGGCTCCCTGTCGACACTGGAGAGAAGAGAGGACAGAGGAGAGAACACAGGGTTTATTTACACACTGTGGCGTCAGTGATCTCTGTACATTTAATTATACCGTATTTTCCGGGTTATTAGATGCGCTCTTAAGCCTCTAAACGCATCAAAAAAGGACCGCGCGAGCCACAATCCAGAGCGCCCCATACATGAATCCACTCAGGTGTTTCCCAGCACGACTTCAGTAAACTACAAAGCTGCACGCAAACACACGGAGCAGACAGCGACCGCACAGCGAAACACACCCACAGACACACTCATCACTCCACGCCGACGAGGAACGGAACGGAGGAACGAAACGAAAAAGCGAGTGCAATGTGCCGCTTCTAGACACGACTGAACAACTGAGTCACTGCGAACACGCCGACAATCCGTTGGTCTCAGACAGCACCTCCCTACACGCCACAACTGAACAAAGCCCAGAGTCACCGTGAACACCACAAACAAACAAAACCACTCACCCATCACACTGTTGTGTTTACTTTAAAGTCCCACGTGGTTTATTTGTGAAAAAAAGTTCGAAAATAGACCATTTAATGACAGTGCGCCTTATAATCCAGAGCGTCTAATAGTGTGGAAAATATGGTACTTTAATTAAATACAGTAAACCAGTGAACATTCAAACAAACAGTGGGCTTTCCGAGTACCATCAGGCCTAAACTGGTGCCTAATTAGGTGGAAATTGGACAACGTCATTCCTGCAGCACCAACAAGAAACTACTCAAAAAAGGAACCTAAAACTGGGAAAAAAAAAAAAATAAATTCTGAATCAAATACCAACAAAAAGACTTCATGTACCACAGTTTAAGAAACACTGATTTCATTTCAAAAGGTCAGCTAATCGGTTTGGGTTTTAACGGTTTTAATGGAGAAGCCTACAGCCAATCCTCTGTCAGTAAAAACATCGAGACTGTCTTAGTAAAATAAAAATACACGCACAAAATATGAAGCATCACTGTTTTTATAAATCTACAGTACAGGTCAAAAGTTTTAGAACACCCTCATTTTTCCGGTTATTTATTGCAAGTTCAAGTCGTGCAAGTCCAATGAAGAGTTAGAAATGGTACAAAGGTAAAAACTGAACAGACAGAGGTTAAAAAAAAAAAAGATAAAAGACACAAAACACAAGTCCAAGCTCTGACAAAACGACCTCAGGAAAAAAGAACAAGTTGGTAAAACTTGAAAACCTGGAGTGTCCAGCAGCAGCAGCAGCGTCCAGACTTAAACCCCTTAAATCGAGCTGCTTTGGGACGAACTGGACAGAAGAGTGAAGCGACCGACAAGTGCCACACGTTTATGGAAACTTCTGCAACAGCCTTGGGAAGAACTTTCTGAACAATATTTGATTTCTGATTACTCTGACGAATCGAAACTTTAGAATACATTTGGGTCGACAGTAAACGGTAAAAATCTGGAAAAAGTGCGGTGTTCTAAAACGTTTGACCGGTAGTTTACCTCTGTTCCATCTGATTAAAGCAAATTTAGGTTTAAGCCAAATTGAAACACTCTGGCCTTTATGGACCCTCGGCCACAGTTTGAGGGACGAGGACACAGACGTTGGGGGCTGCACTGAAAAACCCCGTGAGGTCCCAGTGCAGCTTTATTACCGAAAGCGGCGACTGAACTGAAAAGTAACTAGACTCGAATCCAAGACCGAGTATAACGGCACTAGTTGTGTTTGTAGTATTTTTTTGGTAACACTTTATAATAACTACAGCTTATTTAGCCTTAATAAAGCATGAACAAAGACTTAATTAATAATGATTCACTCTTAGTAACTACTTAATTACTACCTGAATTAGCACTTAACTTGTACTTAATTCGGCTGTGCTATAAAAAGTTACTCATAAGTATTTCTTACTTAATTACTCATGAACTAACCATTTGTGTGTGCATTTGTAAACGTATATTTAAGTACAAATTTGAGCGTTTGATTATTAATGATTAGTAAGTCATGAGAGAATGATTTACTAGTAATGCATTATTGTTTCTCTGGAATTTGACCAACCTTAACAAATGTTTAATAAAACATAATTCGTCTTCACTTTAGAAAAGCTCTCAGAAAGACTTAACTAACAGATAACAGCTGCCTGAATGATCATTGTATTATTAGTAAATCATTCTCTCATGGCTTACTAATGATTAATAAATGCTCATATGTGTCACTTAAATATGCATTTGTAAACATGCAAATGGTTAGTTCATGAGTAATTAAGAAGTATTGAGTAACTATTTACAGCACAGGTGAATTAAGTGCAAGTTAAGTGCTAATTCAGGTAGTAATTAAGTAGTTACTGAAGGGGCGTTCACACCAAAGCGTCAAAAAACGTCTTGACGCCTCTATTTGGACGCGTTTGCATTTGAGTTTAGACGCCCCCGATGCACGTCTTTGACGCCGTGGACAAACGGGACAAAAATACTTGACGCGCGTCCGTTGCCCTGGAAACAAGAGCCCGGTCCTGGTCTTTTCCCGAAACAATATCAGACCAGACTGAGAGAGTGTTTTTATGACATAAAACATCAGCGGAGGAGATCGGGTCGACGACTGGGGCGTGTTTATATTTATACTCCACTAATGACACTGGATCAGTCCCGGTCTAGTCCAGGTCTTGTCCTGGTCTAATACTGGTCTAGTCCTGGTCTAATCACGGTCTAGCCCCGGTCTAGTCTCAGTCTACTCCCGGTCTAGTCCTTGTTTAGTCCCGGTCTAGTCCTTGTTTAGTCCCGGTCCGGTCCTGGTCTAGTCCTCGCGATCGCTCGGTGATTGTGGTGTATATATTTACTCTCCGCTCATGTTTGTGGTTCTCGTTCTGGTTCTCGGGTTTTTCTTCCTGATAATAACGTCGCTGCGTCACTGGATACTCGTCCCTGATTGGTTGACGCGGCGCGTCTGACGCGAAAAGTTCAGCATTTTCAACTTCTTGACGCTGACGCTTTGGACGCGCGTCTTGGCCGCTGACACCAAAACGCTCAAGACGCGCCGCGTCGACGCCAGATTCGCGCCGCGCTGACGCCGAAAATGCGCCGCAAAAACGCAGGACGCTCTAGTCACACGTCCACATCGACTTTACATTGAAAGTGGACGCTCTGACGCCTTGGTGTGAACGGCCCTTAAGAGTGAATCATTATTAATTAAGTCTTTGTTCGTGCTTTATTAAGGCTAAATAAGGTGTAGTTATTATAAAGTGTTACCATTTTTTTTTTACCAGTACGTAGGGTAGGCTTCCTTTAAAATTGAAAGAGCTGTTTATTTTTTTCATAATAAGAAAAAAAATAAATAATCTAATACATTGAATGAAGTGTAGGTTTGTTAAGTGTCAGTACCCAGAAAAAGGCTGGAACTCTGTGAAGTTGGCCCAGCCCGAGTCCTGGCTCTTGTCCCCAGGAGAGTCCCACTGCACTGGGCTCTGCGCCGCCGCCGGACCCCCAGAGTCTCCGAACGTGGCCGTCCAACCGGGACCTGAGCCGAGAGAGAGAAGAAAGAAGGAAGGAAGGAACGGGGTTAAAGAGAAGGGGGTGGGGGTTGAGAGTGAGAAGGGAAAGAGGGGGAGGGAATGAATGAATGAAAGAAAGACAGAGAGAAAAAAAAGAGAGAAAGTTGTGGGTTACACTCCTGACCTAGTGGAGTGTGGACGCCCCCTAGTGTTGACACGATACTACAATTTTAAACTATCTTGATACTAAGGAACAAACTCGATACTCGATACTGATTCTGATCCCACGATGAGAATAAAAACACTTTCTTTAGACAACAGAAAGTGATTTTCCACATTAAAGGGTAGAACTTTTTTTTCTGTTCCTATGTGGTTTTATATCTGTGTGACCCCTCAAACCAGGTCTAAACCAGGTCTAAACCAGGACTAAACCAGGACTAAACCAGGACTAAACCAGGTCTAAACCAGGTCTAAACCAGGACTAAACTACGTCTAAACCAGGACTAAACCAGGACTAAACCAAACCAGGTCTAAACCAGGTAAACCAGGTCCAAACAGGTCTAAACCAGGTCTAAACCAGGTCTAAACCAGGTCTAAACCAGGTCCAAACCAGGTAAACCAGGTCTAAACCAGGACTAAACTACGTCTAAACCAGGACTAAACCAGGACTAAACCAGGTCTAAACCAGGACTAAAACCAGGACTAAACCAGGACTAAACACGTCTAAACCAGGTCTAAACCAGGTCCAAACAGGAAATCCAGGACTAAACTAGGTCCAAACCAGGACTAAATTAGGTCTAAATCAGGACTAAATTAGGTCTAATCAGGACTAAACCAGGACTAATCCAGGACTAAACTAGGTCCAAACCAGGACTAAATTAGGTCTAAATCAGGACTAATCCAGGACTAAACTAGGTCTAAATCAGGACTAAATCAGGTCTAAACCAGGACTAAACCAGGTCCAAACCAGGACTAAATTAGGTCTAAATCAGGACTAAACCAGGACTAATCCAGGACTAAACTAGGTCTAAACCAGGACTAAATCAGGTCTAAACCAGGACTAAACCAGGACTAAACTAGGTCTAAATCAGGACTAATCCAGGACTAAACTAGGTCTAAATCAGGACTAAATCAGGTCTAAACCAGGACTAAACCAGGTCCAAACCAGGACTAAACCAGGACTAAACCAGGTCTAAACCAGGTCTAAACTAGGTCTAAATCAGGACTAAACCAGGACTAAACCAGGTCCAAACCAGGTAAACCAGGTAACTAGGTCTAAACCAGGACTAAACCAGGTCTAAACCAGGTCTAAACCAGGACTAAACCAGGACTAATCCAGGACTAAACCAGGACTAAACCAGGACTAAACTAGGTCTAAATCAGGACTAAACCAGGACTAATCCAGGACTAAACTAGGTCTAAATCAGGACTAAATCAGGTCTAAACCAGGACTAACCAGGTCCAAAACAGGTCCAAACCAGGTCCAAACTAGGTCTAAAACCAGGACTAACCAGGTCTAAACCAGGTCTAAACCAGGACTAAACCAGGACTAATCCAGGACTAAACCAGGTCTAAACTAGGTCTAAATCAGGACTAAACCAGGACTAATCCAGGACTAAACTAGGTCTAAATCAGGACTAAATCAGGTCTAAACCAGGACTAAACCAGGTCCAAACCAGGACTAAACCAGGACTAAACCAGGACTAAACCAGGTCTAAACCAGGTCTAAATCAGGTCTAAACCAGGTCTAAACCAGGTCCAAACCAGGTCCAAACCAGGTCCAAACCAGGTCCAAACCAGGTCTAAACCAGGTCCATGGGCGTATATTATCCAGATGGTTCTAAACACATTCAGGAAAGGTTCTGCTCCGTCCTGTCACTGGGACTCTGCGAAAAATGAGGATCTAGTTTCGATACTAGTTTTGGCTTTAAGTATCGATTAATATCAGATGTTCAATACTTTCTCAAAGCCTGATGCCCTCCCGTTGTTACTGAGAGTTTTTTATCCCGTCTCCTCGTGAAAAGGCGACTGAATGAAGAGACCTCGTCCTCTGTAATCTTGTTGTTTGTTTTGTTTCTATGGCAGGCTGCTGTTGTGAGAGATGACGTGAGCCGAGGTCTGGGTCGGGACATGTTTTCAGAGCAGAATAATCCGCGCACGGACCAGACAAAAGAACCAGAGGCGTTACAGGAAGGTGGAGCTCGTCTTTTTCCACGCCACATTCAACCATTTACATCTCTCCTTCCCTGGGCCATGTATTTATAAATTCAGGTTAGATAAAATTAAGATAGAAATTTACGTCAGTGAGTTCATTTCCAAAATTAGCTGAAAATAAACCTAAAATAGTGCTCTTTATGCCCCAACTTGTGACTTTATAACCAAAAAAATAAACTACATAATCTTGGATGTGTTCATTGCCCCGAGAAAATGTAGAAATCAGAATTGCACCTCCACAAACCTAACGTCCCTCTGCTCGTTCCCAAGGAAATCCAGGGAAATGTTGATTCTTTGGTTCTAATCTTCCAGAATATGTCATAAAAAAAAATTAAAATCAGTGCCTCATTCGTTCATTCGTTTTTCAAAATAAAAACAAAAATAAGAAAATGAAAAAATGACTTTTCTTTATTATTTGTCTTCAAAACCAAAATGAAAAAACAGATAATGATTCGTTTTTTCATTTTTTTATTTTGTGTTTAAATGAAAAATGGAAAAAAACAGATAACGACCGTTTTCCATTTACGTGACTTAAACTGCGATGCCGGACTGAACCAGGACTAAAACAGGTCCAGGACTGAGACCAGGACTGAGACCAGGACTGAGACCAGGACTGAGACCAGGACTCCAGGACTCAGACCAGGACTCAGACCAGGACTCAGACCAGGACTCAGACCAGACCAGGACTCAGACCAGGACTCAGACCAGGACTGAGTCTGGGACCAGACCGGGATCAGGACCAGGACCAGGACCAGGACTGAGACCGGGACCAGACCAGAACTGAAACCAGGACTGAGACCGGGATTGAGACCAGAACTGAGACCGGAAACAGGACCAGGACTGAGACGGGGACCAAACCAGGACTGAAAATGGTTTAGTTCCTGTTTTAGTCCTGATTCGGTTCTGGTTCAGTCCAGGTCCAGTCCAGGTCCAGGTCCAGTCCTGTTTTTCATTACAGTCCGGCATTACAGTTTAAGTCACAGAAACGGGAAATGGCTGTTATCTGTTTTTTTCATTTTGGTTTTTGGAGACAAATAATGAAGAAAATAGTAGTTTTTTTCGTTTTCTTATTTTTGGTTTTATTTTGAAAAAACAAATGAACCAATGAGGTACTGATTATAAAATTATCTCCATGAGTTTGGTTTCACTTCCCATTTCCACAGAATCCTGTGTTTTGGAGGCTTTTTTGCTTCTTCCTGCACCTACGTTTTTATCTCGTGTGCCCTTTTTACTGTCATACACTGTACAAATGCAAAATAAATGAATAAATACAATTTAAAAAGTTGTGTCTTTGTGAGTTTTGTGTTTCTCGGTGGTGTTTCAGACCTGTCTCTGTGGACTCGTTTTCTTCGTCCGACTCGGATCCTTCGGCGTCTCGACCGTTTTCCAAGCTGCTCCTGGATCCTCCCTCGGACGACTGAGACACGCCGAACCTGAACCAGGAGCAAAACCAGGGACAAAAAATGAAATGACAGACTTCACACTATTTATTTTAACACAATTTGAACAGAAACAACTGATTCACGCTCACACAGAGGCCGTACTGTCCCAAATCCCACCCATATCTGATAAAACTCTCTGTCATTGTGACCAAAAACCCACGTGTCTGTATCGATCATCTATTGGTGTTTTTCAGATTGTAAAACGTGATGAAGACCAACTCCCAGATGGGGGCATGAGACAGTTTTTCCTACTGGTTACTGTATTTTCTGCATTACAGGGCACTTAAAAGCCTTTAATTTCATCAAAAAATGAGTGTGCGCCTTATAATCTAGAGCACTTTATATATGAATTTATTGGGGCATCTTAGTACGACTTTAGTAAACTACAAAGCCGCTCCACTTGCAGCGTTATGGCTCCCGTAGTCAGGAGCATCAGGAGTAAAACAGACTGTGATTCCTTTAAATATCAAAATGCACCTGTCAAGAGACACGCTCACAATGCCCACTTTAAACTCAAGACTGTTATAAAGTGAAAGTGTGAGCTGCATGGGAGCAGTGGATGAGAGAAGGAGAACACACATTCACCAAGACAGAGAGACAGCGCCGAGCGACTTACGCCACGATCTGCCGACGGATCGTGGACGCCCGGGCTCAGGATCAGGATCAACTGTGGTCCGAGCTTTCACCAAGACCAGAATCATCACTGAACTGAACTCCAGGGAACAGTAACCACACTGACTCGGATCATGACGAGAGGGATGTGGACGTGTGGACACAGGAATCACCCAACTGCTTGAACCATTATGAATTATTGTGAATACGACAACAATTTAGCATCTCAAACTGAATTTTTTTTCCACGTTACAATTGAACAAAGTTGAGAGTTATTGTGAACGCTTTAAATAAAGTTTGACTGAATTATCTAACTGTTGTGTTTTGTTTAATGCTCCTTATAGTCCGGTGCGGTTTATATGTGAAAAAAGTTCAAAAATAAACCATTCAATGACAGTGCGACTTATAATCCAGAGCCCCTATAGTGCAGAAAATATGGTAGATTGAACTTTCCTATGAAAAATCAAATAAGAAAATTCACAAATGTTGAACCTGATCATTTCTGTTGGTGACTAGACCCTAGAACTCCATATACCGCAACAGAAATCTGCATTTTAATCTATTTTAACTGCCCCCCCCCATCTGTATTAAATATTATTGGCCTGTAGAATGTTGTGATGTCGTCTGAATCCAGCAAGAGTAAGGCCTTCAAACACAAAACTCATTTTATTCCACAGACACAACTTTAAGACTTTAATCTGAGCTTTGTTTACCACAATCTGACCATAAAGAACCGATTTAGCTGGAACTACAACATGTGAGCTGTGAACATTCAAGCCAAACCCCCAGAATGATATTTAAAAGTCTAAAGTGTCTCTGTGACACTGCACCTTGTCCTGGATTTCGCTTGAGTTGCATAGTTGATCTCCTTCTCCTCCCAGATGTCCTCGTCTTCGTCCGCGTCGTCGAACTGTCTGATCCGCTCTTTACAGGCGGCTTCGAAAGCAGCTGCGTTGGCCTACGGCGAGCAGGGGTCAAAGGTCAGTCACGATACTACAGCCAGCGGGGGTCAAAGGTCAGTCACGATACTACAGCCAGCGGGGGTCAAAGGTCAGTCACGATACTACAGCCAGCAGGGGTCAAAGGTCAGTCACGATACTACAGCCAGCAGGGGTCAAAGGTCAGTCACGATACTACAGCCAGCAGGGGTCAAAGGTCAGTCACGATACTACAGTCAGCAGGGGTCAAAGGTCAGTCATGACACTACAGCGAGCAGGGGTCAAAGGTCAGTCATGACACTACAGCGAGCAGGGGTCAAAGGTCAGTCACGATACTACAGCCAGCAGGGGTCAAAGGTCAGTCATGACACTACAGCGAGCAGGGGTCAAAGGTCAGTCACGATACTACAGCCAGCAGGGGTCAGGGGTCAAAGTCGGGGTGGGCGATATCTCAGTATTTAAAATATATCGATATTTTTTTTAACCACGAAATGGATTCTGACATATGTTTATATTTGATTCTGATTTCGCTGTAATCTGCTGCAGTGTAGAACTTGTACAATAGTGTTTGGAAACATTGGTTTGATCTGCAGTGGATTGTGGGAAACCTCACAGCTCCTTTATGCTGGTGAGGAACATGGATCCATTAAAATAAGGAACCTCCAGATCTTCCTCTGCTAAAGGAGCTCAAGATGAGCTTGAGTTGAGTTGTTTTATTTTTGAATGAAAAGAAAGCAATATGTATTACCAGATTTTTCAGACTATAAGTCGCACTTTTTTTTCATGGTTTGGGTGTTTCCTGCGACTTATATATTCAAATTTTCAGACTTACAGCCGCGAGAGCCTCTAGACTTGTGTATCAGTTTTCTGCGCATGTCTCCGGCAGAACAAGCCTCTGTGCTGCTGCAGGTAGTGAAATATGCAGCAGAAAACGGTAATCGAGCAGCAGAAAGAAAGTTTAGACTGAGCGAGAAACTTGTGAGGGACTGGAGGAAAGCGAGGATGGAGAACACAACTTCACGGTAACCGGGCAAGTGCACCGTGCAACTTTCCTGAAGTCACTGGATGACAAAGCATAGACTCCCGTGACAACCGAAGTTGCGCGGAGTTGTTCAGAAGTGACACCGAAAATAAAGAATTGAATGGATTTATTGATTTGGAGTGAGATGGAGAGTTTGTTAAACTTGTTCTGTTCTGTTGTTTATGTTATAGTTTATCTGAAGAACTGTTCATATGTGACGTTAACAGTCTGTTGTTCTCTCTTCTATTGTTTTTACTACAACTTGACTTTACACAGGAAATGTTGGTTCCTGGTCTCTGATTTTATAAAATAAATTTCCCCCAAAAAGTGCAACTTATATGTTTTTTTCTTGTTCATTATGCATTTTTTGGCTGGTGCGACTTATACATTGTATTTTTCACGACTTATAGTCCGAAAAATACGTTTTTTTTTTCCTTTATTTTACAGTTAAATTCTTATTTTTGTATACAGGGATTTTTTTTTTTTTTTTTATGTCGCAAGAGCTGTTTGTTCCTACATAAACTGCCTCTTTGCACTTATAAAAAAAGTAAAAAAAAGTAAGACCTTGTGGAATTCGTCAGATTTGTTTTTGCAGGAGTTTTGGAGGGTTATTTTTTCAGAGATATATATCATCTATCGAGATACAGCAAATCATATCGAGATATATTTTTCGCTCCATATCGCCCAGCCCTAGGTCAAAGGTCAAAGGTCAGTCTGGACACTCGGGTCACGTTCACACGGATCTGTCCAGTTTAACTCACACTGTTGTCGTCCGCATCGAGGTTAAAGTTGATTTCGGCGATTCGGTCAAAAGTGGCACTGGGAAAAAAAAAAAAAGCATTACGGGCATTACGTCACGCGGAGATACAAGCTGGATAAAGAGATGTTCCGCAGTGGGGCATTCGTGTAAATAAAAGTGAATTTACTTGATGTTTTCGTCGTGCTCGCTGAACTCCTCGTCGTTGAACCCAAACTGATCGACGAAGTTGGCCGTCATCTGTTGGATCTGATAATCTGAGAAGGCCTGGAATAAAAACAAAAACAAACACATGCACACATTTGAAGAAAAACCAAAAACCAAAACCTTGTGTTTACTTTAGTTGAATCGATATTTACATAAATCAGACACGTGCTTTTTAACCACAAACTGTATAAAGTCAAATGAAGCTCACTGACGCCGGCGGTTACAGGGCGAATTTGGAGACAGGTTGTTTTTTTTTTTAATAACGGACAAAACAGTTCTATGACTTGCTCGACTTGTACACGGCTAAGTTCACGTACAAAAGTCAAACATCATGAAATTCCTCTTTGTTTGCAGGCAATGTTCACTCAGAGAGAAAGTAAATATAATCTACAGGCCACATGCAAGAACAGAGGGACACCGTTTATCAAACAAACCATTCAAATTACGAAACGGCGGCTGCAACGAGCTAAAACAAACCACTTCTCTTTTTTCAATTCATAATAACTTCACAGAACAGTAATGTCAATTAACGTGCTGGAGTTGGAGATAAAGGGAAGAACAATAAACTTCAGCTTCTGCCTAAACCTGCTCAGTGACCGACACTGTTCTGCAAGTCACTTTAAAACTGTAATGTGTTATTTATTTATGACTTGTTACAGTGTCGTTTCAAAGTAATTTGTTAAATTATAATATTACTGTGTTTAAAATGTAAAATATTACACGACTATTGCAGAACTTTAAGTTACTCTCAACAACATAACTGAAGATGCTGAACTTTTGTGCCGTATATGGACTGAACCAGGACTGAACCAGGACTAAACCAGGACTAAAGCAAAACTGAACCAGGACTAAACTAGGACTAAACCAGAACTGAACCAGGACTAAACTAGGACTAAATCAGAACTGAACCAGAACTGAACCAGAACTAAATCAACTGAACCAGGACTAAACCAGGACTAAACCAGGTCTAAACCAGGACTACAGCAGAACTGAGCCAGGTCTAAACCAGGACAAGTCTTGGACTAGGACTTGGACTCTAGTTCTGCCCCTGAGAGAACCCTGAGCCCGTGGAGCAGTGGGTCCAAAAAGCATGATCAGGCATCTGCTGCTCTTCGCCCCGTGGAGCGTGGAGTTCTGCGACTGTTCTTTCGCCCGCGGTCACCCGACGGTCTACACAGGTGCACGTCTAGGCCCGTCTCAACATTCGGAAACGTAACGATGCCGTTTCACTGCTGCTGATATTGATATGATTTTAGCGAATTAGTTTGAAGAAAAACAAAAAACCCACCACTTCAATCCAGGTTAAAAATGCATTGTGACGCGCGATACTCACATTTGTACCGAGTAAAATATTACAGTTTTTTTTCCCTGTAACGCCACATTACTGCGTTACAGCAAAAAGCAACACATGACAGTAATTCATTACTTTTATAACGTGTTACTCCCAACACTGGTGACTTAGTGTTTGATTTATCTGCTCTACAGACTGAATGTGAAGAAAATATCAGAGCTTAAATTGTCACGAGTGCAAAGAACTTGTTTATTTCCTCGTTAGATTAGAGCTGAGCCACTGCACTGATACGTTATCGTCTCTGCTTTATCAGGCTCAAGAGAAACTGCGTCTCATTTGCCCCGTGTGTGGTTAAAGAGGCTATGACAGGTGAGACAGGTGAGACAGGTGAAACTCATTTGACTAAAACACAGTTAAGATTATTAAATTTAAGCCTTTATTAAACATTTTAACTCACAGTTGAGCCATTTTTATTTATTTTGTTGAAATAATAATAAAAAAAAGTTTGTGTACATTGTGCCAAACTTTAGGACAGAATTGATGCCATCTGAAACACAGGGTAAACACTGTTTTTTTTCACTGACAAAATTTTAAAAGTTTTCTATGACTTTTTCATGACCTAAAGTGAGTTTTCCATGACTTTACAGCACCTACATGTGTGGAATTGACTAGAATAGACTTTTAGGGCTAAATATGAAATGTAAACTCTTTCCACTCTCCTTATGGTTTGGGATTATAGTTTTTTAACATTCAAAATCCTGTCAGTGCATTTATTGTTGTTTCTTTTAAACAGAAGATGCAGACGTTCGAAAGTAATCAGTCTAATGAGAACTGAACAGAACGCTGTAGTTGTGTGAAAGAGATATTAAAATTTCATGACTTTTCCAGGATTTCCATGACAGTGGAAACTCTTGATGTAATTTTAAATATATTTTTCAGCTTTTCTTCACAAATTGCTCTTTCATTAGCATAAAACTATAAATTTATACTTATAATAGTTATTATCCAACCAAATTAAGTAGAAATTAGAGAATCATCAAAACCTCTGAACTTTAAAAATGCACTGTGTAACTGTTTGGTTGGGGGCCCTTCAGCTGTTTGTTTCCATGGATACATCATTGCTCTGCCTGGAATGTTCCACAATGTGACATTAAACAGCTCTTCCTTACATTTATTCAATTACAGGTGATTTTTATAACTCAAAAAAAACTAGAAAAACAGGCGTTCTGACTGTGAGCAGGCTCGCCTCTCCACAGATCTGACCTGTAACTTGGTCTCTATGAAGACAAAAAGGTTTAATGCCATATTGTGAAACATTACAGAATGCAGCTTTAAGTGTATTTAAAGTGTGTGTGTTTTGTACCTGCTGCAGTGAGAGGTCGTTGGGGAAGGGGCTCTCGATGTCGTCATCCTCACTGGACGAGTGCATGTTGTGAGTGCTCACCTGGAAAAACACATTTCACTCGATTATTTCACAAGTTTAAACTTAAGTAGCGGCTGCTGGGACACAACAAGAATGTACATTTAATATATTTCATATATTTAATACGACACTGTCTCCTAATCTGTTATAATGTCGTTTAATCATCACTAACAGAAATGGAGTTGTGTTTTGTTTAACACAGAAACCTGCATATTCAGGCCGAGTTCTTCTTTCAAACAGAAAACACTCTGTTCCACCTTGTGATGTCATGCATTGATACAGGAAGTGCTCAAATAATAATAATAAAGCATCATATTGTTTGTATAGTGCTTTTTGAACACTCAAAGACGCTTTACAGAGCATTATTCATTCTCTCCCACATCCGGCGGTGGTAAACTACTATTGTAGCCACAGCTGCCCTGGAGCCGACTGACAGAAGCACGGCTGCCAATCTGCGCCATTGGCTCCTCCGACCACCACCAACACTCACACACACACCACTTTCATACTGGGCAATGTGGGTGAAGTGTCTTGCCTAAAGACACAACAACAGGTTTTATGACTGGCACCTCCAGCGTCTCCATCCAAGTCCTGACCAGATCCAGCCTCTGAGCTTCTGAGATCTGACAGGATCAGACTTTGACAAACTGATGTGGCCACAAGGCCTTCACCAGAATCATCTGATAACTGCAGACTGGAGATCTGGAATTGCGATTCTCTACTGGACTAAAGGTAAAAGGAGATGTAAAACTTGAAAACTACCACTTCATAACATCACAAGGTGGAACAGAACATTTGAAGCTTTGGAGATGTAGACAGACTCAAAATAAAGGGTTATTCAAACATGTGTGAAAGAAACAAAACCCAACTCCAGGTCTGTTTTTGATTAGGTAAAAACATGGTAACATATTTAAAGCTCACAACAGTCACTTTTGTGTAACATTGGACCTTTAAAGTTTCAAAATATTATTAACTCGGATTGTAACGGCCCCTGAGAGTGAAGTATTCACCCCACAGTGTGATCTGAAGGTAAGGAGGCTGTTAGAGATGCAGTGGTGATGATAAATTAAAAAGTTTGTACAAAGTCTGTGTTATCTATTTCCATAGTTTAAACTGTCTGGGCGACTGGGACGACTCTCACTGAACACACTCATAATCCATGATCGAGGTGTTCTAACAAATCTGACTAGTTGAAGTGTCACAACAGAGGAACATGATGAAAACTCAAACTTAAGTTAAACTGAGGTGAGAGAAAAGCACAGACGTCTTACCTGACCACAAACGCACAAAGCACTTCCTTCTGCATTATGTTCACAAATCGTTTGTAAAAACTGTTTGTATTTCTGATAAAATAAACTGAATCATTTAGATGATATCAGCCCTGGAATTTCCATTCTTTCCTGAACTAAAGATAAAAGATGGTTACAACGACAAAAGTTTTTTGGACAAAAGTTTTTGAAGAACTCCAGAACTGGAGAAGCAGCCTGGATGAGCTGCAAAACATCTTCAATCAAAAACTTTTGTCCAGTGACAGAATTAAATTTCTCCTTTTCTTTGGATCCTACCTGGACGACTGAGGGATCACAAAGATGTAAAAAGTAGATGTTGACCTGAAAATAACCACTACGTGACATCACAAGGTCTAAAAGAGCATTTTGAGCTTTGGAGATGTAGACAGACTAATAACAATTTAAAAAAAAAAAAAAGGTTACTGTATTTTCCGGGCTATTAGTCGCTCTGGATTATAAGTCGCACTGTCATTAAATGGTCTATTTTCGAACTTTTTTCACAAATAAACCGCGTGGGACTTTAAAGGAAACACAACAGTTGGATGGGTGAGTGGTTTTGTTTGTTTGTGGCGTTCACAGTGACTCTGGGCTTTGTTCAGTTGTGGCGTGTAGGGAGGTGCTGTCTGGGACCAACGGATCGGTCGCGATGACTCAATTGTTCAGTTGTGGCTCAGATTGCCACATTGCGCTCACTTTTTCGCTTCGTTCGTCCGTTCCGTTCCTCGTCGGCGTGGAGTGATGAGTGTGTCTGTGGGTGTTTTTCGCTGTGCGGTCGCTGTCTGCTCCGTGTGTGTTTGTGTGTTCTGTGGGTGGTGCGGCTTTGTAGTTTACTAAAGTCGTACTGGGACACCTGAGTGCATTTGTGTATGAGGCGCTCTGGATTGTGGGGCGCGCGGTCGTTTTTTTAATGCGGTTAGAGGCTTAAGAGCGCGGTTAATGACCCGGAAAATACGGTACTAAAACATGAGTGAATGAAACAAAATAACTCCAAGTGTGTTTTTGACCTTTTGACCTTTGTGTGAATAATCGACACACAGGAGTTTTGCTTTTGTTTTTATTCAACTGTCTGTAACTCAGCTAACTCTGAATCTAGTTGCGGCGAGTGAGGCGCCTGGCTTCTCGTACGCGGACTGCAGACTCTGAGAGGAGCAAACACAAAACTACGCTTAAACACAAAGCTTCACGTAAAAACTAAACTTAAACTTGAACTTTAAAATCTGAGTCAGACTCTCACCAGCTCCACCGTGTTTCTTCTGTTTGTTTCTCTGAGCGTCTCGTCCACAAAACTCTCCCAGCGCCCCCTGCAGTCCTCGGGCAGCTCTGCAACACAAGTTTGAAATATTATTAAAAGCCACATGCAGCTCTCAGTCCCGCCCGCTCCAAACTCAATCAACATTGCACAAGTGAAAATGTTTTTCTCTAGTTTAAAAGCACGAGCGACGCTAACTTACGATGTTGTAACTAATATCCATAACATGATTGTTTAAAGTAAAAAAACAACCTTTAAAACACACTGAAACACTTAAATCAGGCGTCTCCAACCAGTAGCTCTCCACAACCTTTGCTCGCCAAGGGATTTCTGAATTACACGTATTGCCCTGAATAACTCAAATTTGACTTAAAATTAAATTCCTATTATTATTGTGAAGCTCTCATTTTGATGCCTGACTTTGTGCACTCATGAATAAATAAAGGATCATGTTTTATGTTTTATGTAACTGTATCCCATCTAACTCTTGAAATTGCTCTTTCCCGAGACCGTTAAAATGAGTTGCTCTCTGGAATTTTCATTTTGTAAAAGTAGCTCACCCGGGGAAAAAGTTTGGAGACCTCTGACTTAAATTCTGTAAAATGTTTCAATAACTCAGATTAAAAACAGATTAAAAAATGTCTGGTGGTCATTAGTTTCCATGTAGCTGATTAACCCAGTAAAAGCTTTTAAACTTTGACTTTTAAAAGATAAAATAAATGGAATGTTTACTTCTGGAACCAAATGGAAGGTGGTCACTAGTAATGGGCATTCGATGAAATTTTATGAATCGATCGTCGGGAGAATTAACGATCGATTTTCGATTAATCATCAACGTTTTTATATAAGAAGTATCATCATTATTATTATTATTACTAATCTGCATAAATAAACTCGACTTTACAACATATAAACATAACCACTCTAGAGCCACATCAGCCCGTTTGACATTATAATGTGTTTAATGCAGCTTCTCGCAAGTCTCACAGAAACTAAACTTAAAACCACATGACTAAGCAGAGGAAAAAAGAAAACACGCTCTTGTGCGCTGATGTGGTTCAGCTTCTGTCAGACTAAAGGACATGACTCAGTTGAATATGAGTGTTCTTTCTGTGACAGAGGGGTGTTGATGATGATGATGGTGAATCTGTTCTGTGTGTGTCACGTTGGAGATGGTTCATATTTTCAAAGCTCGTACATGTGCAGGTTTAGTGCAGCTCTTTATGTTGCAGTAACCGGGACACTGCATAAACATGCACCACGACGAAACCGGGACACAGATGTGCTGTAAACACACTCACTGAGTGCTGTAGTGATCTCCAAGGAGGTGCCAGAGCCCAAACGTGGGAATGAGGCTGCAACTCCAGTGTTTGTGCTGTCAGCCGCAGCTTTGCATCTTCGGTTTGTCGATTAGAAATGAACGTAATCAACAAAATTCTTAATGATGAATTATCGATTAGGATCATACCCATCCCTAGTGGTCACTGTTGAGCTTCATTATTTTGCAATGTTCAGGTCCATATAAACTTCTTGGACAATTCGACTTCACAATTTTATGTTACATAGTTTTATACAAAACACCAGCAGAAACTTCACCAGAAGCAAGACATTTATTTTTGCACCTAGAGCTGACGGCACTCCCTTACTTGCACCAAAAATACACCAATATCACCCATACCGATATTGGATACCGGTATTTGCACAAACCACAGAGTCGTCCTCTCTCCCCTCACAGCCGTTACCTTTGATCAGGTCTGAGATCTGGGCCTGGACTGGTCCCCTCTCCACGTTTTGGACCACCATGTTGGCGATTCTGGTCAGGTGGCCCATGTTCCCTCTGCGCGTGCCGCCTTCGCTCCTGAAACACACACCGTCCGGTCAGAGTTCTGCACGGGTCCGTTTTGGGAGACCTGCAGCCGCCCGCACTCGCGCAGCTCAGCACCGCACCTGCCAGTAAACCTGTGATTTTATCAAAGTTAAACCCACATCCACCCGGACCCGTTAACATTCCACCTGTTACCCGCCCGTGCCCGTGATAAATCACAGACAAATTAAAAGCATTCTAACTGAAATATGAATTGAAAAGTTACGACTTCAAGAATTACAATCACGAAATTAAATTAAACGGTTTCACTTTCTTCAGTACGAACACGAATTCACAGACGCGACTCGACTGTCAAAACTTCACAGGCTTTATTTACTGAGCAGAAGAAACACTGATCGAGATGCCGGACTGAACCAGGACTAAACCAGGACTGATTCCAGGACAGAACCAGGAGGACTTAGTTGGGGAACCAAAGTCTCAAAAATGGGTTGAACCTGACATCGTCTGCCATACTTTTCATTTGTTTTTTTTTTGTTAACTGTGACCCTGAGGACCAATAATTGGAGGGTCTGCTCTTCCGGAAATATCGCAAAAAAAAAAAATTGTGGCCATTTTACTGTATGTAACCTTCATTTTTTGACAAAAAAATTTGAAAAATGAAAAATTTCCTGAAATCCTCAGTGGGTTGTTTAAGCTGTCAATGAATACATTCCAGATGCAAAGAACACATGTGGTGACAACATTCAGTGAAAAAATAATTCTTAAAACACATTTCTACATGATTTTGGCTCAAATTTAATGCAAAAAAATAAGGCGTTTTTTCACTTTTTTCCAATATTTTCATCTTTCATCTTCAGCTTACCAACCCACTGAGGATTTCAGGAAATTTTTCATTTTTCAAATTTTTTTATAAAAAATAAAGGTTACATACACTAAAATGGCCACCAATTTTTTTTCGCGATATTTCCAGAAGAGCAGACCCTCCAATTATTGGTCCTTAGGGTCACAATTAACAAAAAAAACACAAATGAAAAGTATGTCAGACGATGTCAGGTTCAACCCATTTGATTGAGCTTTTGAGACTTTGGCTCCCTGACTAACTAAACCAGGACTGAACTAGGACTGAACTAGGACTAAAACAGGACTAAACCAGGACTAAACCAGAACTGAACCAGGACTCACTGCAGGGACTGGCTCGGTGGTGCGCCCACGTAGACTGTCGGGTGACCGCGGGTGAAAGGACCGGAGCAGATCTGAGCGCGCACGGAGGCAAGTGCTGCCTACACCCGATCGTGCGTTCTCCCTCGCTCTGGGTTCTCTCTCTCGCCGAAGTCCAAGATTAGTCCTGGTTTAGTCCTGATTTAGTCCTGACCCACCTGTGTGTAATCACTACCTGCCCGCAGAGCCGCCCGTAAAATTCCAGAACGTTAAAACTCGCCCGTTTCAGCAACCGTTCGCCCGTACCCGTCGAGACTCTGTGTCCGGTACGGGTCATCCTTATGTCACGGGACTGGAGCTAGCATAGAGCATAATTGCTAAAAGAAAACGACTTCCACTACACAATTGTAACACAGACATATTTGGTATCTCTGGAAACCTGACTCTGAACTATTCATTTATGGATGTTTAAATGTGATTCAACTCCATTTATAGATTTATAACAGCTCACTGAAAATGAGAGTTTACCTGGTCAGGTGCAAACTCGAAAACAAAAAACTACATTCAGCATTTGATATCGCATGTTCTGAGTACTATATTCATAAAAAAATAAAAAATATATTTATTTAAACAGATTTCATATCACCAGATCAGTAAAGCCAAGTGTGCACCTGTTTTTACCTGTTGTACACCTGTGTGCACCCCAATTAATTTTTTTCCATTTAACTTATTCAACTCATTTAGCTTATTTCAACTAATTTAGCTTATTATAATATGATAATATAATAATAAAACTCTTCCCCGTCAGTGTGTGTCCAGTATTTGTCATCTTGTCTATTTTTCTCGTGTGCAGAGCTCCACATAAGCGTTTTTTCTGTAGCGATTCTGTTACATCACATCTTGGAAAAAAAGACTGAAATATTTTAAAGGACTGGCCTGGGCAACATCCAGATTTCAGGGTAATTTTGGTTCATAATCGAGTATAAAGCTCGATAGTTTGTTTGGACATCGCAGGACTCCACACAGACGCATCAGCGCATTCTCATCTTCTCCCCGAATGTCCGTCGCTATCGCGTTTTCCACTTTATAATCAACTTCAACATCATCACTTTGAAATCTATAAAAGTCACTTTCTCTAAACTTATCCATAAAATACGTCCGCTCCTTATTATTTTCTAAAACTGTGCGCCGCTGCGCCGCGATCTTTCCATTGCACGTGTTTCGTGTTGTGTTTTTTCCGGAAGCTACCATCGTCACTATTTCGATTAACTTCGGAAAAAATCGGCGAAAACATATCCTTGAATCCTATTGGTCAGTCTACTGTCGGTTGTAGTGGCCCCCACCGATCACAGTCTCTGTTTAAATGTGAAAAACCAAGCCGTTTCTAAAGGTCGTCATCTCGTCTTTAGTGAAACAGCGGAGGAGTCAAAAGTCGTCATTAAGGTTCAGGGGGGTCGTCAAATGTCGTCTTCATGGGGGAAAGAGTTAAAGGGATTTTAATCTTACATTCATTCAATTACAGTTGGTTTTATTTCTTTTCTGTCACACTAACAGCATGCCAAGAGCGCACCAGCAACATTTTATAATTAGAAGCAGACAAAACACGGAGGTCTCATTTTGACTCCAAGACCTGCTTTTACAAAATATCTGTACTGTATTTGCACTTTGTTTATTTCTTTCACTTTTACTTTTCCTCTTTCACGGAGAAACGGTCGTGTGATCCCGGTTTAAACGCGTCCACATTAAAGGGGCTCTTACTGTATTCTGTCGTTCTCCTCCCACGCGTCCAGGATCCTCTGAACCAGCCGACAATTCTGGAACAACTGCAACAGAAAACACAGAAAACACATCGGTAAACGTTTCATTACAACTGAACGGGACTGACCGAGGTCTAAAGGAGCAGGACTAAACCGGTCCCAAACCAGGTCTGGACTAGAGCTAAACCAAGACTAAACTGCAGACTCAAGAAGGAATGAAACAGTGCTCCAGGACTAAACAAACCCAGACAAAAAACAGGACTAAACCAGGACTGAACCAGGACTAAACCGGGTCTAAGAAGTCATGAATAAACCAGGACTAAACCAGGACTAAATCACAATTAAACCAGGACTAAATCACAATTAAACCAGGACTAAACTGGGTCTAAACCAGGTCTAAACCAGGTCTAAACCAGGACTAAACCAGGACTAAGAAGGCAGGACTAAACCCAGGACTAAACCCAGGACTGAACCGGGTCTAAGAAGTCATGACTAAAACAGGACTACACCAGGACTGAACCAGGACTGAACCAGGACTAAACCAGGACTCGAACTAGGACTCGAACTAGGACTCGAACTAGGACTCGAACCAGGACTAAACCCAGGACTAAACTGGATCTAAGAAGTCATGACTAAAGCAAGACTAAAGCAGGACTAAACCAAAACTGAACCAGGACTAAACCGAGACTAAACCGGGTTTAAGAAGTCATGACTAAACCAGGACTAAACCCAGAACTAAGCCCAGGAGTGAGCCCAGGAGTGAGCCCAGGAGTGAGTCCAGGAGTGAGTCCAGGAGTGAGCCCAGGACTGAGCCGGGTCTAAGAAGTCAAGAATGAACCCAGGAGTGAACCCAGGACTAAACCGGGTGTAAGAAGTCATGACTCACCCCGGACTCACTCCCGGACTCACTCCCGGACTCACTCCCGGACTCACTCCCGGACTCACTCCCGGACTCACTCCCGGACTCACTCCCGGACTCACTCCCGGACTCACTCGAGGACTTTTACTCACATGGGCTACCAGAGAGTTGTGATCCGAGGCTGGGGTTTCTCTGGCGGGCTCCTCCTGCGCTGGGGCCTCGATGGGCTCGGGACTCGGCACTGCCCCCTGGTGGTTGGGCTGGAGGTTCGATCGCTCCTCGGGGGAAGAGGGCTGGTTCAAGATGGCCGCCACGCACAGCTCCACTTGGAAGTGCAAAAAGTTATTCCAGGTGAAAGTGAAGAACAGATCCTGAAAACACAAACAAAGGCCAAGTTTTAACGCTGGAGAACGAGCGATTTTAACACTAACAGACACGAGGGCGGTTTAATTAACACACAAACTCTGCATTATCTACACCGAGGTCTTCTCTCTAACAGAAAACACACTGTTACACCTTGTGACGTCATCTGGTAATACAGAAACTGCTTCACACACGAATCATTTTGATAATTTCAGCCCTGGAATTTCCAGTTTCTACTGAACTTAAGGTAAAAGGAGCTGTTCACTTGAAAACTACCACTTCATGACATCATTTTGAGCTTTTGAGACGTACACAGATTAATAATAAAAGGATTACTCCGAGGTAACAGCGTTAAAACATGACTTAAAACTCAAAACTCTGTGTGACTCTGTGTGATATGACAGATTGTCTTTCAGTGAATATTTTATTTCTGTCCTTTGTGTAAAAGTTAAAGTGTCAGAGAGTTTAAAGCTGACGTGTTTCTGAACTTTGATCGACGACTCTTAAAACCAAACATTACATCAGCCTCACCCAGCTCGAGTTTAGAAACGGACCGGGCAAAAACCAGGGCTGATGACAGTTATATTTAATCTGTCACTCGGCTTAAGCACATGTGATGAAAGGATCAGTAAATCTGTTTATTTTTGTTAAATAAATAGTGATAAAGCCGAACATTACACAGGTATGAAAACAGGTGATGAGTGAAAAAGGTGAGAAGGGCGCGAGAGGCGACGTGACCTCACGAGTGTGCTGGGGGGAGGGGAGATCCTGAAACCGAGACAAGACCAAGAACTCTGAGGGTCCAGACTGAGACCAAGACCAAATTGAGACTATCTTTGTCATTTTCTACATGTATTTGTATTTTTTTTAGTTATTTTGCCACATATGTATATCAAGGTTTTTATAAATCTATCACTATTTGATCTGATTAATGTTCATTTAGGTATAAAATAAGTCAAGCAAACTGTTCTGAAACACTCTGTGCCCACTTTTCGGACCCTCACCCACACTTTGAGAACCTCTTCTTTAATCCCACTTCCATTTTTTTCTGGTTTTGTTTTGTTTTGTTTATTCCCAATTGGAGTTACTTTCTCTTAATGGCCTCTGCACATTTACCAAACCAAATGCACATCATGGCTAACAGATTTATTTGGCATTTTATTAGGCAAACTTCGGCTCACATTAGGGATAGGCATTCGATGACATTTTCTTAATCGATCGTCGGAAGAATTAACGATCGATTATCGATTAATCATTAAAGTTTTTATATTAAAATGATCATCATTATTATTACTATCTGCACTACTAATCTGCATAAATAAATTCAACTTTACGACATATAAACGGTAACAAATCTAGAGCCACATCAGCCCGTTTGACATTATAATGTGTTTAATTCAGTTTTGTTCAACTCTCACAGAAACGAAACTTAAAACCACATCGCTAATTTGCATAAACCAAGCGAAGATAAAACTCCAGCTCTTGTGTCGCTGATGTGGTTAAATTTCTGTTGGATTAAAAGACATGACTCAGGTGAATACAGGTTAGTGTGACCAGATTTGAGTTTGTCAAAACCAGGACAGCGTACGGGGGGAGGGGGGTGGGGACTCGTCATCCACATTGAGCGACTCTCACCTGGAAAAACTTTTTCCCACTGGACACAGAAACATATGTGCTGCTTTATACACTGTGCACATGGACTCACACTTGTCCCGACCGCAACAGAAAGTGTGGAATTTCTTGTACAAATCATCATTAAATACACATTTGTGCTTCGGTACGTTACAGACTGACCCACTGTTTGTGTCTCGCTCCTTCTGATGCAGAGACACATGTACACACCTGTTTGGTCACGACACACAAACATACATTCGGTTTGTCGATTAAAATTAACGTAATCGATGAAATTCTTAATGATCAATTATCGATTAATCGACTAATCATGCCCATCCCTAGGTCACATATCACAGAACGCCTGCTGTGCCGACACTGCAGCATATATATCAGTTTTTACTTTGCATTTCGTCTTGAATCAGCGCGACCTGTGTACATTTTAGGCAGGGAGAAGAGAGCGTGAAAAGATGAAGAGCGGCGCGCTGACGTGAGGCAGATGGACAGGGAGGATGTTTTAAAAAGTTTAACCTGCCCTGTGGTACACAGTGGTACACGAGTGGACATGATGTTGCGGACAAGACTGCAGAGACACGCCCCGCGCTCCCGCACACTGGTACAAGTTTATTGTCGACAACAGCGGCTGTAATGAAATATCACACATGACGAGCGTCAGACCTCAATTCTGAGACAAGACCGAGTCCAAATGTGCTCGAGCCTAAGTCCCCCCCCCCCACCCCAAAACTTTTCTCATCGAATCTACACGACTCACGAAGGTCACCTGTTCTGGCTTCAAAATGGTGAATTTCGTTGAAAGGTGAGGGATTTTTATGCCTGACTACAGTTTGGTTTTGGAAAAATTTTAAAGGTCCTATATTAGACTACACAAAAATGTACTTTTGTGAGATTTATGTCATGTTATAATGCTGTTTCTTCCTCAAAAAACAGACCTGGAGATGTGTTTTGCTTCATTCACACATGTTTGATTAACACTTTTGTCTACACCTCCGAAGCTCAAAACACACTGTTCCACCTTGTGATGTCACGTGGGGGTAATTTTGAAGTTAACGTCAACCCTTTACCTTTAGTTCTGTAGAGATTGACAATTCGAGGGCTGAAATTCTCTGTTATAGGAAAGAACTCAGCCTAAATACGCAGGATCTGTGTGTTAAACATGTGCGAATGAAACAAAACAACACCGATTCAAAAGTGTCATTATTTAGTTGAAATTTGTTAATCACTATGGCAACAGTCCCGATGTTTTCCCATCTAAACCCAGTGTGTGTGTGTGTGTGTGTGTGTGTGTGTGTGTGTGTGTGTGTGTGTGTGTGTGTGTGTGTGTGTGTGTGTGTGTGTGTGTGTGTGTGTGTGTGTGTGTGTGTACCAGTAGTAGGTCGATGGTGTTGAGGCGGCACAGCTCTTTACACACAGACGGGCTGTTGGTCTGGAGCAGAGACGCCACGAGTCGCGCCACGTGGAGCCGGGCGTTCCCCAGGGGGCGCTCTAGGACCCCCACCGTCGTCAATATTGCACTTTTCTGCGGGAGAAGAAGAAGAAGAGGAACGGCGTGAAATACGGAAAACACAGAAATACATGGGTAAACTTTTCAGTATAGACTCCAGCTGAACAGGACTCACCAAGGTCTAAAAAAAAAATGGGACTAAAGCAGCCCAAACCCAGGTCTTAACTAGAACTAAACTGAGACTAAACTGCAGACTCAATAAGGAATGTAACAGTGCCCCCAATTTCAAATAACCTTCACATCCAGGACTAAACAAACCCAGGCAAAAACCCAGGACCTATCCCAAGACCTATTCCAGGACTAATCCCAAGACCTATCCCAAGACCTATTCCAGGACTAATCCCAAGACCTATCCCAAGACCTATTCCAGGACTAATCCCAAAACCTATCCCAAGACCTATTCCAGGACTAATCCCAAGACCTATCCAAAGACCTATTCCAGGACTAATCCGAAAACCTATCCAAAGACCTATCCAAAGACCTATCCCAGGACCCAAAACGAATCCCAAAACTAATCCCAGGACTAATTTGGGACTAAACAGAGTTGAAGAAGTCATGACTAAACCAGGGCTAAACCTGGATTCAAACCAGGACTTTTATGGGCTTGTTAAAGTGACAATAAACCAGAGACTGTATAAAGAAGTGGACTAAGAGAGTGTTACGTCAGCAATAGCGTTAGACTCCAGTCAAATGAAGCTCAGCGAGGCCGGTAGCTGTAGAGCAAATTTCTAGCCCAAATTCCATATTTGAAATCCTGACCACAAGAATCAAGAGCCAATCAGGAGCAACACTGTCAATAAAATCTTTTGTGAATGACAGCGGGAACAAAACAGTTGAATAAAAAAACATTTAATTAAATTTAAAAATCAGGTAAAGCAGGTAATACGAACATTTTAAGAGCAAAATGAAAAGTGTGACAGCAGCAGTTACAGAGAGAAGGGCCAACAACCAAATTTCAAATAGAGCTTTATCATTTTGTATTTAGAATTAAACTATAAACATAATTAGATCACCGTTTTACATTTAGTTCTTTGTAAACCGCCATGTTGGTCTAAAATAATTGTAAGTGGTCTATTGTCTTCCTGTTCAAGACTGCAGAACCCCACCTCTTCATACTTGAAACTCATCTCAGCAAACAGCGGATCTATGTGTTTTTACTGCTGAAAATGGCTTTAAAAAACTAAAAGATTAAAAAAAAAAAAATTATGTGAATCCCTCGGAGTGTGTTTTTTTTTAAAGGGCCCATCTCATGCAAAATCAACTTTTCAGTTTTCTACCTTCTAAGAGTGATGTGTGGGCCTTGTATTTGTCGCCCAAGTGGTTTTTAGATTGATTTGACATTTTTTTAACAAATTGCAGCGTATTTCTGCCACCCTCCCATGTGACAACGAACTAAAGCTGCTACAACGATGACCCGGCAGATACACCTATGACGAGTTTGACGTAGCAGAAAGCGCTCCACTGCCTTTAAGTTTATCTCCTAGTGTTTATTAAAACTTTACCAATCAGTAATGTTCAGTTGATGTGGACGTGGTGCTTGAGCTTCGTGCTCCTCAAAGTCCTCGTCTGATTCTGGGTCCAACACATGCGGCTGAACGCGCTGTATCTCCATGATGAATAAAAGTTTATTCCTGCCACTATCAGGGTCACGTCTGTCTCCCCCTCCCTCCCTGAGATGGCGGAGGAAGGGCGGCTCACTCAGAGCCTACGTCACGTTTGGAGGGCGGAGCCTGTGCTTTCTCAGGACGGGCGGGGGGAGGAGCATTAATCGGACTTTCATAGTTCCTGGTCTGTGACGCCTCCAAGAAATCGGTAAGATTTCAGAACTATTGTGTAATGGATGTTCCAAAACCCAAATTGTGCTCGTTTATGTGCAGAAGATACAAAGTGAAAAATTTCGCATGAGATGGGCCCTTTAAAACAAAGCTCAGATTAAAGTCTTGAGTAACAGAGCTTCAGACAGAGCAGAGCATACAGTTAGCTCTAAGTGTCACAGTGTGGCATTTTTAGCAATGTTTATTTACGTAGCACGTTTAAAAACAGACAGTACCGACCCAAAGTGCTTAACAATACAGATGAAAACTAAATATGAGAAAACAAAAGTAAAAAGGCGAGTAAAACACACAAGTAAACGAGGAGATGCGGCCGGCGAGTACCTGAGGGGGCTCGAGGAGGATCTGCTGGAAGTCTTTTAAATGGGGCTCGATGGCGTTTAAAATACTGGAGCTGACAGTGTAAGACCGTTCATAACCCTGAGAATAAAGATCCATCAGCCCGTCCAACCTACAAACAAACACACACACACGAAACGAGACGAGAGACAGAGGTTAGACAGACCACAGGCACAACAGGAAAGCTGCACTATGGCACTTTTCTGGAGACGGAGATTGTCTTGGAGATGAGGGCCAAAGTCGACTACGTAAATTCTCGTTGGACTAAAAACATGTCCTGCTGAGAACTAAAAAGGGGGTGAGGTAAAAGTTCTAAAAAGTACTATGTGTCTCTGTTTATTTTCCACTAACTCACTCACTTCTTTTTGCCGTTTTCCCATAAAAATCCTTATAACTTAAATAAAATAATTTGCTGACTAATGCAAGACTCCATTGTTTTAATAGTATTTTAGAGCAATAAAAAAAACCTGCAATTGAATAAATGCAGAAGAGTCATACTGTGTCATACTGTGCAACATTCCACACAAAGTGATAATAACATCACCACAGAGACACCAGAAAAGTGACATAGTGCGTCTTTAAATGTAAAATAAGTCGATGTCTTTGGTGACTCACCCTGACCTCCTGGTCTCCAGTAGAGTAAGTAGCACTTGAGTTCCATTCACGATGGAGGCCTCGCTCCTCTCTCCCTCGAACATGTTTTTGAGCAGCTCAGAGACACTCTCCTGCCTGAAACACACAGCAGAACATCACATCACAGTCGACACGCTTACATGATGTTTTTCAATTCCGAATGAACTGTTCTGAATAAAATAGTTCAGAATTAAAGTATTCTCCTTCGAGTTTACATGGAAATAATAATTCTGAATTTAAGTTTACGTGGAAAACACCTTAAATTATCTTTATTTAATTCTGCTTCAGCTGCTACTGACTTTTCTGTCATCATGGTTTGTTGTTACATCAAGGACACAAACACAATCCAAACTTTAATTAAGCAGCTTTACATCTGTCGGCTGAGGAAAAGGAAGGAAGAAGACAAACTGAGTCAACAGCTGCTCTACCTCAGCCCACTCCCACATCCCGCTCGCAAATCCAAAGAGACGTGGATGAAAGCCCGAAGTCAGGACTGGTGGAGCCAAATCGTCCGGATCGTGTCAGAAGGGGGACACAACGAGCATGCACTGAACGACCGGGATTATTTTTAAGAAGAATAAACGTTTACATGATCAAGGAAGAAATGAATTCTGTTTTGAAATTAGAATAAACCACCCACTTACTTCGGAATTTAGTCCAAATAATCATTTTCATTAGGAATTAAGTGTTTACATGGTCTTTTTAAAGTGGAATTATTTTGCATAATATTTTTTTATTCAGAATTATATTATTTATATTCAGAATTGAAGCTCTCATGCAAACGTGACAACTGAGATATTTCAGTTGAATTAAAGTTAAACATTACAAACACGGCTGGGTTTCTGTATCGGTTTACATAAAACCATCATCATAAAATTATAAAACCCTAAACAATATGCATAAAAGGTGGTGTAAGTCTCGTATCTGAGTCCATCAGAGCAGAGCCGTGTTCTGCTGCTGAGTGGCTCTGTTTATGTTTTGAAAATAACTCATCTGAGAATTGCTGACAACAGAGTGGAGAGGACACGGAGGTCACAATGACAGAAATGTCTCGTGTCGACAAGTGGTGAAGCGTCTAAAATCAAGATTCTGTCAGAGCATTAACATCTGACTAGGGTTAAACTCCAGGGTTAGTAGGATTTAATACATGAGGCAGGGACATTCAGATCTCACATTACCCAAACAACTGTACAATTTAAATAAATAAAAATGTGATTCAGGCATAATTGTGTTTGATCTTGCTGTCCAGCTCTGGAGCACGTTTACGTTTACTGAGTAAATCCTGTAAATCAGTGTTGTACTCACGACTCCAGCACTGCCAATAGTGGGTCCTCTGAGTTCTCCTGCATCTGATTGGCCTGGTCTCGACTAAGGCGGATTATGTCACACAGAGTTTGGGATGCGTTTGATTGTCTCTGGAAAACAGAAATACAAAGTCAAAACTGCACAAAAGAGTGGTTATTCTTTATTTGCATTCTTCATCCTCTGCTACTCTGACCCTCTGCTCCTTTAACCCTCTCCTCTGAATCCTCTGCTCCATCTCCCTGCTCTCATTGAACTGTGCACCTTCTCCATTCATATGCATATGTCATATGTTATATCATCATTAACAGTGTAAACCTCTCACCTCCTCATCGTTCCCAGTGTGGATCAGCTCCGTGAGTCTTTGCACCAACTTCTCCTCATTCAACCACTGAAAACACAAAAGCATCATTTATTAGCACTTACCGTGTTATATTAAAGATGGACTGTGTAACTTTGCTGGTGGAGGGCCTGCCGCTCGCTCGCCTCCATAGAATGTCGTTTGCTTTGGAATGTTACAGTCTGCATTAAACTTATCTATCTCCATGGAGACAAAAATGCAGTGCCAGCAAGTTACAGGTCCAATCTAAAGGGCTGTTCAGAAACCAGCGTCAAAAACGTACTAGACACCTCTATTCGGACGCCTTTGAATTTGAGTTTAGACGCACCCAGCGTGCGTCTTGGACGCTGTGGACAAATGGGAGAAAAATACTTAATGCGCGTCCACGGGATCTGTTGCCAAGTGCCATTTCCTGGTCTTTTCCCGAAATGATGACAGAGAGAGAGACTTTAGTGTATTTATTACATAAAACCATCAGTGGAGGTGATCAGCTCAACGGCTGCGGCGTGAATATATTTATACTCTGCTAATGACACGCTGACGACACTCGTAGTCTGGGTTCAGTCCTGGTTCAGTCCTGGCAATCAGCGCATATATATTTACAATCCGCTTATGACACGGAGTAGATTTCTTGCTCTGGTGTTTGTGGCTCTTGGGTCTTTCTCTTTCTTCTCCTTCTTCCAGGTAATGATGCTGCTATGTCACTGGATAGTCGTCCCTGATTGGTCAACACTAAAAGTTCAGTATTTTCAACTTCTGATGCTGACGCCCTGGACGTGCGTCCAGAGCATTAATGCCTGAACGCTCAAGATGGGCCTTGTCAACACTAGATTCGCACCGCGCTGACGCAGAAGACGCGTTGTAAAAACACAGGACGCCTTAGACGCGCGTCCCCATAGACTTTGCATGAAAACTGAACGCCCTGACACTTTGGAAAAATTTAAAATAACTCCTAACTCTGTCCAGACCAAAGTATTTTTTTGAGAAATAATATCACCTGTAATTGAATAAATGCAAAAAGGATAAGTTTAATGCCATATTGTGGGACAAAACAAAACTATGCAATTTCTATGAAGGTGAGCAGAAAGATCAGAGGTCAGAGGTCACTCACATGCAGGACGTCGTGCCTCAGCGCCGCCGGCTCCACGCAGCTGATGAGACGCAGCAGCAGGTCCATCATGGCCGACGCATCGATGTGTTTGAGCACCAGACCGATGAAGCTCTCCTTCTTCTTCAGGAACGTGATCACCTGAGACAGACATGGCAAAACGTAAGACAAAGCGCGAAACAAAACGTGAGACAAAACGTGAGACAAAACGTGAGACAAAACGTGAGACAAAACGTGAGACAAAACGCGAGACAAAACGTGAGGCAAAACGTGAGGCAAAACGTGAGGCAAACAACAGAACATCGGTCATAACGTTAGAAACCCACCCCTGTTTATCACCGAGCTGGAGTTATTTTATCGTGGAGTTTGTCTTTAAAAGTGTGTGGTGTAACTTTTCTGGTTGAGTGTCCGTCAAAAGCTTCTTATTGCAGATGTTACTGTTTTGTCTGGAATGTTTCACGGTAGGGCATTAAAACTTCCTATCAAAGTCCAGATTCCGGCCAAAGGGTGAGCCTTTTCAGTCCGAGCGCCTCGGCTTTGAAACAACCTGCCTGAGGAGATGAGGCTCACACCAGTATCATCTTTTAAATCACTTTTTAAGATAAAACCAGTTAAAGGAAGGCCAACTGATTAAAAAAATTACTCTTGATTTTATTCCTTATTTATTTTTAGTGTATTTATTTTTATTTATTATAATCAGTGTTGAGAAGGTTACTTTTAAAATGTATTCCCCTACAGATTACAGATTACATACCCAAAATGATGTTTCTAGCATAATCCATTAAATTACTTAAAGTGAGTAACATAATCTGAATACTTTGGATTACTTGATATTGTCGTGCTTTTTAAAACTGCATGACTGTAGCAACCACATCCTGAAAATTTTTAAGTTCTCTTCAAATTCTCTGTTGAGCCCAAGTCTCCATGAACAGACTTTTGTTTGCTGTAGAGAAACAAAGACCAGGATCTTAACATAAGTCAGATGTTTTGTCTGCTTAAAGACAATAAAAAGTCCAGTCTTTCCTTAACCAGATTAAAAATATTATTGATAGAGAAATTATTTTTATATGAGATCACTGCTGCCTGAAATTATTTAGTCTTGGTGGTTTTAGTCCCAGTTTTAATCCCGGTTTTAGTCCCGGTTTAGACCCAGCTTTAAGTCCAGGCTTTAAGTCCTGGTTTTAGTCCAAACTGAGAAAACAGGAACATACCGCCATGTAATGCATTTATTTCAACAAAGTAACTGTAATCCAATTACCACTCATGGAAAAAGTAACTGTAACTGTACTCTGATTACGTAACTCTGGTACGTGTAATCTGTTACTCCCCAACACTGTTTATAATTACTTGAATTGTTTGCATCATTGTCCGTTTGCCTTCTGTTTGCTATTTTTTATGCTTTTTGTATTTTTTTTCTTTGCTATTTGCACAGCACTTTGTAAACCTTATTATAAAAGTGCTTTATAAAAGAAAAAAATATCATTATCGTTATATCTTCATGGAGACCAAACCAGACCAGACCAAGTTACAGGTCAGATCTGTGGAGAGGAGACCCTCTCACAGTCAGAATATTTGTTTTTCTAGGTATTCATGTAAAGTAGAGCTGTTTAATGTCACACTGTGGAACATTGTCATATCCGTAGAAACAAGCAGGTGACTCATAATCAAAAAAGTTCCGCAGTGCACCTTTAAGAGTGGGTTGACACAAGCGCGGAGATCCCCTGAGGTGTGAGTCATTCAATTACACAAACGCTTTGATCATTATTTTATTGCCTCGGTGATGCGTTTAAATTATTTAAATCAATTAAAACGGAGTGAAACTGAAGCGAGCGGAGCCATCGCTGCGCGTGTTCCCACGGAGCTGTGAAGACGTGTGAACCAAAACACACCAGAGAGAGAGAGTCTGGTGTGTGTTTTCGGTTCACACCTGCTCGGTCTGGTGTGTGTTTTCGGTTCACACCTGCTCGGTTTAGTGTTTTTCGGTTCACACCTGCTCGGTCTGGTGTGTGTTTTTAGTTCGTACCTGCTCGGTCTGGTGTGTGTTTTTAGTTTGTACCTCCTCGGTCTGGTGTGTGTTTTTTAGTTCGTACCTGCTCGGTCTGGTGTGTGTTTTTTAGTTCGTACCTCGGTCTCGGTCTGGTGTGTGTTTTTTAGTTCGTACCTGCTCGGTCTGGTCTGTGTGTGTTTTTAGTTCGTACCTCCTCGGTCTGGTGTGTGTGTTTTTTTAGTTCGTACCTGCTCGGTCTTGCGGGCGATGAGGTTCCCGATGGTTTTGCTGAAGAAGCTGGCGAGGAGCGGGTTCAGGGGTGGCTCTTGCTCCAGGAAGCGGTAGAGCATCTCCAGGAGCGACTCGTCTCCGCCCAGTTTGTCGTTCAGGATGGACACGTCTGAAGTCAGCAGCTCACACGCGATGTTCGGAAACCTGAGAGAAAACACAAAAACACATTTAAACGGTTCACTGTGTACAGTATTTTCCGTATGGATTGTGGGTGTGCGTGGTTGTTTTTTTTGGATGGGGTTGGAGGCTTAAGAGCGCGTCTAATAGCCCGAAAAATACGTAAATTTTTTGGTTGGGGGTCTGTCACCCGCTTGTTTCTATGGAGATGTCATTTCTCTGCCTGGAATGTTCCGCAGTGTGACATAAAACAGCTCTAGCTTACATTTATTCAATTACAGGTGGTTTTATAGCTCAAAAATACCTAGAAAAACAGACACTTTAAATTTAGATTTGATTTTTCTCTTTGTTATTATATTTTATTGTGATGTGTGAGCTACTGTGTCCAAATTATTTCCCTTATGGATGAATAAAGTTTGTCTAAGTCTCCAAGTCTAATTCTGGTTGTGAGCGGGGTCGCCTCTGCACAGATCTGACCTGTAACTTGCTCTGGTTGAAAATATAAAGGTTTAATGCCACACTGTGAAACATTCCAGCCAAAGCAATGACATGTCCATGGAGAAAAGCGTTTGAGGAGCCTCCAGCACCTTTAAAATACAATTAAATATTAATTTATGAAATTAACTGAATTATAGAACGAAGCTTTGGCCCTTTCACACAAACAGGTTGTGGCTAGTTTTGTTTCTCTCTTAAAAACGACACACAAGATTATTTCCAGTTTATTGACCGTGTGAAATGTGTCTGAAATCCACCAGACGGGACAGGTGGGTGTTTTACTTTAATTGGAAATTAAACGATTTAATGCGGCAGAAACACTGGTATTTTTATTCTATCAGCCTGTATATTGCCCCGTGTCGTTCTATGTGAATTCATTTGTATAATTGTATGTTCTGCTCTTTTATTAGACTTTAATCTGTGCTTTATTTGAACACAATCTGACCAGGTGAAATTATTTAAGATGTTAAACAAATACTTCACACATAACCTTACAGTCACAAACTAGACAGCATTAGCCGACAGTTTTTCAGTTCGTCGTTCTCACCTCTTTTTCTTTCTTTCTTTCTAAACGGGACCATGAATGCTCTTATTGATCACTCCTCCTAAAAATGTGCTGCTTAAATACATTTTGTGTTTCTAAACCTGCTCCTCTCCTCCAGCTCTGTGCATGGTTAGATCAATAGTTGTGGTTCTATAGATTAGGGCTGTGCAAAAATATCAAAATATCAATATATCGTATTGTTTAATTTGATGATACAGTATCGATATCGCAGATTGATGTATCGATATATCACGTATATATAACGCATATAAATATGGAGTATTTTTTGGTATATTTTACTTTACAAATAATTGAGTAATATTAAAAGTCAAAGTTTTGTTGTTTGTTTAGAGGAGTGTCAAACTCATTTTGGTCCGGGGGTCGTATCCAACCGACTTTGATCCCAAAGGAGCCGGATCAGAAAACTCATGTCATATAAACCCCAAAAATAACAATAAGTTTAAATACTTGTGCAGAGAAACACAAATCTATTACAGAAATCTTTTTTTATTGATGAATTCTGTCTTTTACAAAATATTATAATATTATGAACAACCTGAAACTTGAAGAAAAATACAATTTCAACACAGTGTTTTAACATTAACTTGTAGGTAAATAGGAATAAGTACATTTTTGTTGTAAAATCCTGCTCTTGGCTCCACTTTTCTCATGTTGGACATTTTTCTGATGAGGGTGTCACGGTCAACAGTCAAAACGATCGTCCTTTAAGAGCGTTTGGAAAGAGACAAGTCTTCATTTGTGCTGCTCTGGTGGGAGGGGCCACGTACAGAGACGCTGGAGACGCTGCTGTGATAAACACCACAGAAAATTAACAAGATTTTAATCGAAAATAGAATTAATATATTTCAGTAGAAAATCAACAGAGGGCCAGATTAAAGGTCTTGAAGGGCCGAATCTGGCCCCTGGGCCGTATGTTTGACACTGATGGTTTAGAGCAACAGGTGTCAAACATAAGGCCCGGGGGCCGGATGCGGCCCTCCAAGACCTTTAATCTGGCCCTCTGCTGATTTTCTACTAAAATATTTTAATTATAGTTTCTATTAAAATATTGGTAATTTTCTGCGGTGCTTAGCATAGTGGCTCCTCCCACCAGAGCAGCACAAATGAAGACTTGCCTTTTTCCAAACGCTCTTAAAGGACGATTGTTTTTACCTCATCAGCAAAATGTCAAAAATGAGAAAAGTGGAGCCAAGTGCAGGATTTTCCAAGAAAAACTGACTTATTCCTATTTGCATACAAGTTAATGTTTAAACATTGTGTTGAAATTGCATTTTTCCTAAAGTTTCAGGTTGTTCATAATATTATAATGTTTTGTAAAAGAAAGAGTTCATCAATTAAAAAAGATTTCTGTAATAGATTTGTGTTTCTCTGCACAAATATTTGAATTTATTGTTATTTTTGGGGTATATATGACATGAGTTTTCTGATCCGGCCCCTTTGGGATCAAAGTAGGTTGGATACGGCCCCCGAACCAAAATGAGTTTGACACCCCTGGTTTAGAGAAAGGAAACTTATTTATGCGACACATTTGACATTTTTACAGTTTTGATGATTAAAATGTTTGTGTTTCATATGAACTTTGCCAAGTGGTTTAACAAACACTTTTAATATCACAGCCATGATTTAGCCATTATTTTTTATTAAACTGTACTGAATCAATTTGAAATATATTGTATTGAATCGAAAATGCACTGTATCGAGGTCTGTATCCTATCGGCAACTTCTTAATGATCCCCAGCCCTACTATAGATAGTTGTACATTAGAGAGCATCATTTGCCCGACTTTTTGAAAATTTTTTGGAAATCAATCTGTACCTAGTATCAAATTTTTACACCTGCCAAAATAAACTTCCCTGAGAAATTTCATTAAATTCTCTTGATGTTTACTGGGTCCACCAAGCCTCTGAGGTTTTGTACCTTAAATCTGAGCTGAAAAAATTGTTTTTCTTTAATAACATTCTTATCCTTTCTGGAAACTTACAAAACCCTGAGCCGCACCTGTCATTGTGACGCTCTGGTGACGTCACACTCACTCACTCAGTTTATGATTACTACAGAAAGAACAAACTTTATGTCTCTCATTTCTTCTTTGGCCTTTGTGGATTTTGGATAATTTTGAAAAAACACTCAAAATCTTGACAAAATTGACATCTCTTAGAAAATTATGAAGATAGAGATTATAAAACTGGTACCAAAAGATGCGGAACAGCAACATTTATATTCAACTTTCACTGACACCATGGCCCTAAATGGATTATTTTTAAAGTTATTTGAGAAAAACTGATTTTTCTGCCGGAGCTTTATGGACACCGTTAGGATGGAACTTAAGAGTCTTGGTGGACCCAGTAGATTTTATTCAACTGATCTAATATTCCACAGATTTTCTTTTAATTGATATTGTCACATTTTAAAATTGGGTACAAGTTGAATTTTTGACATTGGGGCAAATGACTGAAGGCTGTATCAGGTGGTGGTTTGAATATTGTTTAATGAAGTTATACATTGAGTTGAACATTGTGTTTAATGTTTAAAGGTAATACTCTGAGTGTCCTAAATAATGGGAAACAGATGTATGCTTTTAGGGACATTCCTTTGCAGATAACCCAGGCTGGCGTTACCTAAACAGACTTGGTGGTGATTTACAATGGTTTGGTAGGGATTGTCACTTCCTCCAAAGAAGAAAGAAAGAACGATGCTTCAAGGACGATTCAAGGCGTGAACCTGCTCAACATATTATTCTGCATATTCATACTGTTGTTTTATATCTCTGGGTTGAGGGAAACGTTCAGATCGCCTGATGTAAGTCCTGTGTAGCTGTAGGCCGTCAGGGACAACGATCTGACCCAGAGCTCTGTATCAGAATTGTATTGGACAGGGAATACATTTTTGTGATTTTAATTGATTGAGTCTAGTCATTTTTGATAGAACACGCTTAACATGATGCACCCCACTGCACATGTATATTGTTCTTCTGCATAGACTCACTTCAACCTGCTCCTCTCCTCCAGCTCTGTGTATGTTTGTATAGATCACAGGTGTCAAACATACGGCCCAGGAGCCAGATCCGGCCCTCCAAGACCTTTAATCTGGCCCTCAGCTGATTTTCTACTAAAATATTTTAATTATATTTTCTATTAAAATATTGGTAATTTTCTGTGGTGTTTATCACAGCAGCGTCTCTGCACGTGGCCCCTCCCACCAGAGCAGCACAAATGAAGACTTGTCTCTTTCCAAACGCTCTTAAAGGACGATCGTTTTGACTGTTGACCGTGACACCCTCATCAGAAAAATGTCAAAAATGAGAAAAGTGGAGCAGAGTGCAGGATTTTACAAGAAAAATTTACTTATTCCTATTTACATGCAAGTTATTTTTAAAACATTGTGTTGAAATTGCATTTTTCTTCAAGTTTCAGGTTGTTCATAATATTATAATATTTTGTAAAAGACAGAGTTCATCAATTAAAAAATATTTCTGTAATAGATTTGTGTTTCTCTGCACAAATATTTGAACTTATTGTTATTTTTGGGGTTTATATGACATAAGTTTTCTGATCCGGCCCCTTTGGGATAAAAGTAGGTTGGATACGACCCCCGGACCAAAATGAGTTTGACACCCCTGGTATAGATACTTGTGGTTGTATAGACAGTTGTACATGTATATTGCTCTTCTGTATCAACTCACTTGAACCTGCTCCTCTCCTCCAGCTCTGTGTATGTTTGTATAGACAGTTGTACATGTACACTCTTCTTCTGTATCGACTCACTTGAACCTGCTCCTCTCCTCCAGCTCCTCTGAGGGCTCCGTGGTGATCAGCTCCACCAGCTCCTTCATGCACTGGTCCTGGGACAGAAACAGCAGCAGGTGTCTGTTCTGGGCCTTACACTCCTGCAGGATGTCGTCCTCCTCCATCAGCTCCCTCAGGGTCACGTCCTCTCGCTTCAGGAGCTGCTCGATGTGGGACGTGGTGTGGAGGTCGAACTTCCAAAACATGGCTGCCACTGGGAGGGGGGGCACGGCCCTGGGGAGCAGCACGACAGACTAAGTTCATAAACGTTTAATTTGCTTTCTCTGATTTGTTCACATGGCACTTTTACTAGACATAACATAATAATAATAATAATATGACAATATAGAATTTGAATGTAAGCATTATCATACACCCAATACAATTAAGAATAACATCACAACAATTCACACAATAAAATTTATGACACTTATGTTCTATACTAATGTTATAGAAATATACATTAAAGGGACAGTTCGGAATTTTGGACATAGTACGTCATTTCCTCATGATCCAGAGTGTTGGAGACGTGTGGAGACACTTTTTTTTAAATATTCCATCCAGTCCTTGTGAATGTCTGTGTCGACAGAATAATTTTAGAAGTAAAACTAACCTTGTATCGCCTGAATCGTTACGTGTTGAGGGACTATTTTCTCATATATCAGTCCGCCGAAGTACAACTCACTGCGGTTTCTCACACATAAATCCTTCAAATGGTTTAACTTCTAAAATTATTCTATGGACACAGACATTCACATGGACAGTCTGGTGTAATAATAGATGTTCTTCAGGTGTTTTGTGGAGTGGATAAAACTGTTTTTAGTGGCAGGAGAACTATGACCATTGACATGCACTAGTCTAACACCAGTGACCTCTGCAACATACAAGGACTGGATGGAATATTTAAAAAAGTGTCTCCACACGTCTCCAACACTCTGGATCACGAGGAAATGAGGTCCAATGTCCAAAATTTGCAAACTGTCGCTTTAAGGTACAGTATATAAGTTTCTGGAGGTGGTACGTCATCCGCATGATTCCATGAAAATATGAAGTTTAAAACACAGGATTTTGCCAGACTGCGCAAAAGTGACAGCATTTCACTGGAGACAAACAGGACGAGGCCGAGTAAGAGTCAGGTTTGTGGAGATGCGAGCCCAGATGCATTTTTTATGTTTTGTGTGTTACATTTTTCCACATTTTTCAGATCACAAAATGTAGAAAAGGCATTAAAACATTTCTATAATAAAACAGCTCCTGGTTTTTGACAGAAACAATGAATGAGCTGCACAATATATCACAATGGGATGGAAATCAAGTTTTTTTTATTTTTTTAATAGAAAATCTAGTAGTTTATACCTCTACAAAGACTCATGGGATCAGTTTATCGGCCGTCCTGTTGTTCACGTGAAACCTGAACAGAATTCTGCTTATTTATTTTTATTAATTCGTGTAGCCTTAAGGCCTTGTCAAACTTCCAAAACAGAATACAAAAATACAAGCCGCTCTATTTACTCGCTGTATCTTGTATCTTGAATCTTTTCTTCATGGAGATGTTATTGCTTCGTCTGGAATGTTCCACAGTATGGCATTAAACCTTCCTATCTTCATGGAGACCAAACTGGACCAAGTTACAGGTCAGATCTGTGGAGAGGCGACGCTGCTCACAGTCAGAATGTCTGTTTTTCTAGGTGTTTTTGAGCTCTAAAACCACCTGTAATTGAATAAATGTAAAGTAGACCTATTTAATGTCACACTGTGGAACATTCCAGGCAGAGCGGTGACATCTCCATAGAAACAAGCAGATGATGGACCACCAACCAAAAAGCTCCGTAGTGCACCTTTAAACTCGTGGCCGTACCAGTGTAAGAAGAGTGGCTCTCGTTACTCAGACGGCCCGTGCGGGCGGCTGGGCATCTGTGGTAGAGACGTGTGCAGAGGGCGGCGCGGGCTGGCATTTATCAGCATGAGTCTGCTCTGAGCTGGGCCTCTTCAGGAGACGAGCCTCTGCAGCGCCAACATAACCTGGGGCACACAGAGGGCACACAGAGGTCACGCAGGGGTCAAACAACTGGAAATAGAAACAGATCAGGGAGAAGTGAATAGACATGGGACAATATTGAAATGCGGTGTCCTGATTATCATGAACAAAATAACTGCAATAACAATTATATCACGATTAGGCTTGTGCAAAAATACTGAAATATCAAAATATCGTATAGTTTAATGTGATGATACAGTATCCATATCGTGGGCTGCTGTATCGATATATCACTAAGAGTGTTTGGTATATTTTACTCAATTATTTTGTTACAGCTACAGGTTTTTTTTTTGCTTGTTCAGAGGAAGGAAACTCGTTTATGCGACACATTTGACATTTTCACTGTGATGAGGATTAAAATGTTTGTGTTTCATATTAACGTTGCACAAGAAGTGGTTTAACAAACACTTTCACACTACGTTTACCCTGAAACGAATCACCATATCGGAAACTATTTGCATCCAGACACGTCGTTTCTGTGTCTGCAATTCTTCCCTGTCCACACAGCTTTGAGTATATTTGTTTACGTTTTACAGAAACAAAACTTGAAACCACATGACTCAATTGCATAAACTGAGCGCTCAAAAAACAGCCCTTTCCTTGTGCTCTGATGTGGTTCATCTTCTGTCGGACTAAAGGAAAAGACTCAGTTGAATATGAGTGTTCTCTCTGTGACAGAGGGGTGTTCTGCTGATGGTGAGTCTGTTCTATATTTGTCGCGTTGGAGATGGTTCATGTGAAACTTTTCAGAGATTATACGTCGCCTATACGCATAGATCGTACAGCGTGTGGCTTCTTAGCTTACCTAACAAAGTCATACTAATACATTTTGGTAAAACAGTAATACCATATACCCCGGTAAAATCCTGAGAAGGTTTAACAGTATCAGAATTTGGATACCGTTAAACCCTATTTGACATTTTCACTGTTTTGATGATGTAAATGTTTCATATTAACGTAAGTGGTTTTAACTGTTAGTATCACAGCCATTTAGCTTTTATTTTTTATTGAACCATATCAAATCAATTTGAAATATAATGTACTGAATCGTATGCTCAGTGTATCGAGGTATGTATCGTATCGAGAACTTCTTAATGATACCCAGTCCTAATCACAAAGTGGAACAATGTTTTTTGTGTTTGAGAGAAGAACTCAGGCTAAATGTGCAGGGTTTATGAGTTAAACACGTGTGAATGAAACAAAACACAACTCGGCTCTTTTAAATGACATTTTGGTTTGGATGGTGAATCTCGGAGTTCTGCGATGGATCAATGTAAAAGACGGAGCTCTGTCCGTGTCCCACAACAATACGAGCGGGGTGGAGGGTGCGAGGCGGGGGGGGTTAGAGGGGGAGGTGAGAGGGAGAAATGCGATCGTCTGTAACCTTGGCATGAAACGCACATCAACTGACTGCAGCTCAGATTTCTGTTTACTCCAACTGTGCCACAGCACCCAAAGGAGCGGAGAACTACGGCACGTGAGCACCCAGAGGAGACAGTCCAGCTACTGCAGACAACAAACTACAGCACCCAACAGCACCCAGAGGAGAGCCTTCAAACTACAGCACCCAGAGGAGACCGTCCAGCTACTGCAGACAACAAACTACAGCACCCAACAGCACCCAGAGGAGAGCCTTCAAACTACAGCACCCAGAGGAGACCGTCCAGCTACTGCAGACAACAAACTACAGCACCCAACAGCACCCAGAGGAGACGGCTCAAACTACAGCACCCAGAGGAGACGGCTCAAACTACAGTACCCAGAGGAGAGCGCTCAAACTACAGCACCCAGAGGAGACGGCTCAAACTACAGCACCCAGAGGAGACGGCTCAAACTACAGCACCCAGAGGAGACGGCTCAAACTACAGCACCCAGAGGAGACGGCTCAAACTACAGCACCCAGAGGAGACGGCTCAAACTACAGCACCCAGAGGAGAGCGCTCAAACTACAGCACCCAGAGGAGAGCGCTCAAACTACAGCACCCAGAGGAGAGCGCTCAAACTACAGCACCCACAGGAGACTGGTCAAACTACAGCATCCAACAGCACCCAGATTAGAACGCTCAAACTACAGCATCCAACAGCACCCAGAGGAGAACGTTAAAACTACAGCACCCAGAGGAGAACGTTAAAACTACAGCACCCAGAGGAGAACGCTCAAACTACACAAACCCAAACAAGCCTTCCACAACCACAGCACACATAAGACACCACCCAAACTACAGCAAACTACAGCACCCAAAGGAGACCAGCCTGACTACATCACCCAAACGAGCAGAGGAGAACTAAAACATGTGAGCACCCAAAGGAGACTCCCTGAACTACACCAACCCAAAACAAGCCAACTACAACCACAACCACAACACCTAAGACAACTACACAAACTACAGCACCCAAAGGAGACTACACAAACTACAGCACCCAAAGGAGACTACACAAACTACAGCACCCAGTCAGCCCAAACAAGCGTATAAAAACTACAGCACCCCCCTGAACATGACCCTTTGACCTGAAGAGTTGGACTAGTGGTCTTTCCGTGGTACTGCAGCTCGTTTTAGCGCAGACACAGACCCACATCTTTTTCTAATCTTTAAAGCGGCTGTAAAATCCCTCAGAGTCGTCCGGGTAGAATCCGTAGAATACGACTCGAGCTACGATCCTATTTCAAATCGATTCGATACGGTTCGGTGAAAAACACAGACCAGTATCATGGCTCTGAGACTGAGTCCACCAAGACCGTGCAAAGTTAAAATGAAAACTGTACTGAACTGAAAACAAATAAACAACAGTGAAAATGTCAACACAACTGTAGCTCTTACACAAAATAATTAAATAAAACAGATCTAAATATACTCTTGACGATATATCGATAAAGCAACCCACGATACTGATGCTGTATCACAAGGGTGGGCAAACTTTCTGAAATTTGATGGCAAGAGCAGATGGATGAAGTTTTTTGGTAATCCACCTCATTAGAGAAAAAAAATTACAAAGCATCACAACAAAATATCTGTCTTCAAGTCCCACGGTATTTACTATTTACTGAAATGACTGTTAAAATTATTATTATAATAATTATTATTCAAGTTCAGCGGGCCAGATTAAAAAGCATAAAGGGCCGCGTATGGTCCTTGGGCCATAGTTTGCTCACCCCTGCTGTGTCATCAAATTAAACGAGAGGATGTAATCGATATTTCAATATTTTTGCACAGCCCTAGTCAGAATTGATCATGAGTTTTTAGTGTTTCCTTTAGATTTCATTCAGACGGTGGTGGCAAAAATACTTTTTTTTTTTTTTAAATACATACCATTATAAAAAAAAAAAAATTCCTACATAGTGCACCTTTAAACTCTTTTTTTTGTTGGGAGTCCGTCACCTGTTTGTTTCTTTGGATTTGTCACTGTTCTGCTTCGAATGGCAAAAATATTTAACTTTTTTTTTCATGCATATTATTAATAATATATATATATTTTTCATACATAATATTAATAATTAATAATAATTAATAATAATTAATTTTCATACACAGTGCACCTTTAAACAAAATTTTCTTTGGATTTGTCACTGTTCTGCTTCAAATGTTCCACAGTATGATATTAAACAAATCTACTTTACATTTATTCTATTTCAGCTCAAAAATACTTAAAAAACCAGACATTCTAACTGAGCGGGGGTTGCCTCAGAAAAGTTTCCACAGAAACATTCCAGACAAACAAGTTACACAGTGCACCTTTAAAATGTCACTTATTTTCTGTATTTCATATTTAAGCATTCGTCTTTTTCAACAGTTTGTTTTCATGTTATGTTTAGCTCAAAGTCAGATTTCGTCATGTCACTGTTTAGATGTTTAGTCCGTTTTCTTTTTTTTAGGCTCTTCTATTAATGGAAAACTCCTCGACTGATCACGTTTCTGCCGTCGCACGGTCGCTGTCACTGGGCGAGTACTGAGGAAGTACCGCGCGAGAAAAGTACTTTTTTTTTTGGCACCGTGCGCCAGTGAAAACAATGCAACGCCACCTTTGGATGCGGTACTTCCTTCTGGGCTTGTCACAATAATTACTACATCAACTCGTCGTTCAATAAACAGCTGCAACAATAGACGCTGCGGCTCGGTATTTATCGGGCGATTTTTGTTATTTTTGTTGCAACACGACGAGATCTGAGCCGCGGAGGGTTGAATCAGTAACTTTTATGACTTGTTACTTGTTCATTCTGCTTTTTATTTGTTGCAGCGTGTGTTTTTTTACTGTATACTTAGATAACAATACCGTATATTTAAAGATTTTACTGTGATTATCCGGCTTTGTCATCGTATCATAAGGTGTAGAGGAGTTTCGGAATTAATTATCATGATTTTTCTCTGTAGCATTAAATGTTGTTTTCGTGACTGGCCCGCTTTCATTGACGAGAAATTCCGCTGGAGATAGGACGCTGCTTTTCTGGACGTACAAGAAATAAATAAAAAAAATACTGAAATAAGGGAGGTGTATGTACTTAGGAAATCTACCACAAAATTAAAACAAAGTCACAGTTTAATTTGCCCTGCGCAGTCCTGTAATACTGGTGATTTTGTCGCACCTTCGTTGTTGAAATCCGTTGAAATTCAGGCTGTGTATCATTAAAAAGTTGCCAATACGACACATAGCTCGATACACAGGCCGCGATACGATATGTTTTTCGATACAGCGCACTTTTGATTCAATATAAACAGTAATAGAGGGAAGTAAACAAATGGAATAGTAGAACAAAACACCATTTGAACAAAACCTCGATACGATTAGGGCTGGGCAAAAATAAAAAATATTAATCACTTTAATCGCATGAGTTCGAGTGCGATTAATCGGACTAATCGCACGTTATACGCAAAACCAATTAATGAATTAAAAAGTAGTGTATAGCTGCACTTTTATTGGAAATGTAAATGAAAGAGCCATACATTTGTTGTGCAAACAGCATTTCTTTCACAGGGGATTCTGAAGGCTCAAGACAAAAATACTGAATGAATTTTTGTACTACTAGGATATATATTTTTTTCAATATTTTTTATTCAGGGAGTAATAAACACGACACTAGTAATAATTTCTAGATCACTGTTATAAACTTGGACTGATATTTATTGGGAAACAAAGGGTTAATATAATGAAATGGAAATGGACCAATCACAGTTTTTCTTCCAGTGGTATCTGGGTAAATCAGTGACTCCCCCTGCAGCGCTGAACTAAAACACCTGCAGAGACTTCGGTGGCTTAAACGAATTTTGAGATTGACAGTTGTCTGAGCCAATCATATTTCATTGAGTTATGGGCGGGATCATATCACAAAATCTTCCGGGCCTTCGCGAATACCCTGTAATAGCGTAATGTAAGCGAGACCGCAGCGACGAAAACCGCACTGGACGCCTCGATTTGGACGGAGAAGAATGAGAAAGACCCTCACTCATCTCTGTAAAGAAAAGACGTCAAACTTAAAGAAACGCTCGCTTTGAACTTTTTCAAAATAAAAGCCAGTGAGCAACAGATGTTTACAATAAAAATAATAATAATAATAAATACTGCGTTAACAGCGTTAAAATAATTGTCGGCAATAATGAATTAATTAGTTAACTCAAAATAAACATGTTAACGTGCCCGGCCTTAGATACGATATATTTTAAAATCAATTTGATACGGTTCAGTGAATCGAAAAACATAACAATTTAGCACAACACATCTAAAAATGCTCTTGGAGACATATCGATACAGCAGCCCACGATATCGATACCGTATCATCAAATTAATCAACACAATATATCCATATTTCAATATTTATGCACAGCCCAAGTTGAAATCAGGATAATCAACATGCATGATGCCGTCAACATATTACAACATTAACAAAATATTGTGACTCAAACTATTGTGATATTCAGATTAATAATTAGGGGTGTAACGATATCCAAGTCTCACGATACGATATCGTCACCGTATGAATCTCACGGTACGATATTTATTGTGATATCATGGGAAAGCTCACGATCTGGTGGGGAGGCTCAAAATTAGGAATATAACAAAATCCAAATCTCTCGGTATGATATTTTCACGACATAAATCGCACGGTACGACAGTTATTGGCAATATTTTGTGGAGGCAAACAAAACGGTTAATATGCTTCTTTTTGCTCTTAAAATGTCTTGACAAGACTTAATCCAAAGAACTAAGACTTAAAAGTGTTAGAACTGTTATTTCTTCTTGTCGTCTGCACTGAAATGGAGCAAAGGATCATGGTCTATGTAGTTCTCTGTCTTTTTTTAAACTGTTGTTGCATCATAACTCTTCATTTAAGCAAAGAGACTTGTAATTCGATATATTGTGATGCTCCATGATATTGTTGTGAGAACAAGATTAACAAAATATTCCAACTCAAACTACTGTGATATTTAGATTAATAAAGCAACACCGTGTAACTTTCTGGAGGTGACACATCTCCTGCATAATTCAAAGGAAAGTTAAAACCACACTCTGGGACATTCTAGAGAACTTTCACGCAGGTTTGTGGAGACGCGAGTCCTCTCACGGTAACGACGCGTGTTTTTTTTCTGTGTCTATCAGTGCAATAAACACATCCAGGATTTTCTTGGCTGAAAAGTTACACAGTGGAGCTTTAGCCTTTGCCCATAAAACCTAATAATAGTACAAAGAAAGCCCTGGATACACATCAATAGTGTGAACTTGGACAGTGAAGTGTAGAGAGGAGAGAGATTTCTGGCCATAACTCGTCACGTGGATTATATTTTAGGGTTTTTAACTTCTTTGTACTGTTGGTAATTTAAATTTTTATATTTTCCTCCAATTACACAGGCCTATTTAAGACAACTTTTACAATTTAATCTCTTGTAGCCAGCCTGAACTTTTTATTTGAAGTTTATTTTTGATTCCATGTGTGACCAGAATTTCAAAATAAATAAAAAAAACTTGGGACATCCCAGTTTTTTTGGTGGTTGGTAATAATAAAACTGTGAAACAAGTGCGTAATTAAGGAATATTGTTACGCTGAGACCATTCATAAGTCAGTATAGTCACATTTTCTTTGCATTTTGGTCATTTTTAAGCAGCTTTTCTGTATTTTATTGAAACAACCGATAGTTTGTGTCTCTCTTTACTGTTCGCAGGTATGAAATTGGTCAAAAATAGCGACACCTGGGACATTTCTTGTATAAATCTGGTGGGACAGGAGACACAGGGCTCAAAACTGTGACTGTCCCGGCGAAAATATGGACGTCTGGTCACCATAAGTGTAAAGCAGAGAGAGATTCCTGGCCATAACTCTTCAAATTAATTACACTTTAAGGTCTTTAACTTGTTTGTGCTGTTGGTAGTTTTCAAATTTTATATTTTCCTCCTCCAAATACACAGGCCTATTTGAGACAACTTTTACATTCTAATCTCTTGTAGCCAGCCTGAACTTTTTATTCCAAGTTTATTTCTGATTTATTCTATGCTGGGGTGACTAGAATTTCAAAATAAAAAATATAAAAAAACTAGAGACCATTCATAAGTCAGTATAGTCACATTTTCTTTGCGTTTTGGTCATTTTTAAGCAGCTTTTCTGCATTTTATTGAAACAAACTACAGTTTATGTCTCTCTTTAGTGTTCGCAGGTATGAAATTGGTCAAAAATAGTAACACCTGCAACATTTCTTTAATAAATCTGGGACAAATCAGTGGTTTTGTGTAAATCTGGTGGGACAGGGGACACAGGACTCAAAACTGGGACTGTCCCGGCGAAGATATGGACGTCTGGTCACCATAAGTGTAAAGCAGAGAGATTCGATTTCTGGCCATAACTCGTCACATTAATTATACTTTATGGTCTTTAACTTGTTTATACTGTTGATAATTTACAGTTTTAAATTTCCCTCAGATTACACAGGCCTATTTGAGACAACTTTTACAATTTAATCTCTTGTAGCCAGCCTCATCTTTTTATTCCAAGTTTATTTCTGATTCCGTGTATGCTGGGGTGACCAGAATTTCAAAATAAAATTAAATTTAAAAAACTTGAGACCATTCATAAGTCAGTATAGTCACATTTTCTTTGCGTTTTGGTCATTTTTAAGCAGCTTTTCTGCATTTTATTGAAACAAACGATAGTTTATGTCTCTCTTTAGTGTTCACAGGTATGAAATTGGTCAAAAATGGTGACACCTGCGACATTTCCTGTATAAATCTGGGACAAATCAGTGGTTTTGTATAAATCTGGTGGGACAGGAGACACAGGGCTCAAAACTGTGACTGTCCTGGCGAAAATATGGACGTCTGGTGACCATAAGTGTAAAGCAGAGAGAGATTTCTACTCATAACTCGTCACATGAATTATACTTTAGGGTCTTTAACTTGTTTATACTGTTGATAGTTTCCAGTTTTAAATTTCCCTCGAATTACACAGGCCTATTTGAGACAACTTTTACAATTTAATCTCTTATAGCTGGTCTAATCTTTTTATTCCAAGTTTATTTTTGATTCCATGTATGCCAGGGCAACCAGAATTTCAAAATAAAATAAAATAAAACAACTAGAGACCATTCATAAGTCAGTATACTCACATTTTCTTTGCGTTTTGGTCATTTTTAAGCAGCTTTTCTGCATTTTATTGAAACAAACGATAGTTTATGTCTCTCTTTAGTGTTTACAGGTATGAAATTGGTCAAAAATAGAAACACCTGGTACATTTCCTGTATAAATCTGGGACAAATCAGTGGTTTTGTATAAATCTGCTGGGACAGGGGACACAGGGCTCAAAACTGGGACTGTCCCGGCGTAAATATGGACGTCTGGTCACCATAAGTGTAGAATAGATTAGATTTCTGGCCATAACTCATCACATTAATTACACTTTAGGGTCTTTAACTTGTTTATACTGTTGATAGTTTCCAGTTTTATATTTCCCTCGAATTACACAGGCCTATTTGAACAACCTTTACCATCTAATCTCTTGCAGACAGCCTGATCTTTAAGTCCATGTTTATTTTTTTCACTCCATGTATGCAGTTGTTGATGGTAATTGCATGGATTCGCGGGGCTTTAGCAGTGGCACGGGTTTATCCACCGCACGAGCGATCGAGTTATGCCCCAATTGCACACTTTAAACTCTTTAATTGGTGCGAGGAGAGCTTAAGTTTGCACAGTTCCCCTTTCCTCCAGATTAGCTCGATGCTAATATCCCAGCAGTTTTAACGAGCAGCGACGTGGTTTAGCGAACTTGCCCAGCTCTCCCAACTTGTGTGCAACTTTGCCGAGGTCTTTTCGCACTTTAATTCACTCGAACACGTGTTAAAACTCGCCAAGACGCACGGGCGCTGGACTCACCTTTGTGTCGGAGCCCTCTCGTCGTCCCTTCGGTCGTTTTCGTGAGTTTTCCGCAGAGTTTTTCCGTCCGGCAGCGAGCTAATAAGTCACTAGCTCTGGTGCTAACTGCTAACGTGCTAAGTGTTTTGTTTTGAATGTCTGCGGCTCCACAAAAACAACCAAATCACCGGGTCCGGACGCGCGCGGGAGGCCGACGGGGGAGGCCGGGACGAGGGCTTCGGACCGTCCGGGGAGGGGGGATTCGTGGTCACGCGTAAACTCGGTGCGGCGCAGGGGGGCTACGTTAGCATCAGCATGCGAAGAGGCAGCGAAACTCAGTCATATTTTTCAGATCAAAATGGCGACATGGTTGGAGCATATCTGTGCGGCCGGGAGCGCGCACTGCACAGTCCTGCGGGGGCGCGCGCGGACTTCAGGTGTACTTCGAGAGTTCACGGGAAAGTACTTCAGAGTTCAGAGAAAAGTATTATGTAAAACTCGTTGGTGTTGTCCTTCGTAACCTGCTGATTTATACAAAACTAGTGATTTTTATAGTGTTTTATACAAGAAATGCCCCAAATTTGATCTAAACTAAGACTAGACTAGGACTAAATCAGGACTAAAACATCAAGAGGAGCATAAATTGCCAAAACAGTGTTTGCGAATGACCATGAAGCAAAAAAACAGAAGTCACTGATTATGATTGACACAGGAATGCACAATTTTACACGCTCTTTTCACAACTTTATTTATACCAAACATCCAAACCCAGGTGTATCCCACTTTTGAATTTAGAAAATCAGATTACTCTAACTTCAGAGTTCAGAGAAAAGTATTATGTAAACTCGTTGGTATTGTCCTTCATAACCTGCTGATTTATACAAAACTAGTGATTTGTCCCAGTTTTATACAAGAAATGTCCCTATTTTTGGTCAATTTGATCTAAACTAAGACTAAACTAGGACTACATCAGCACTAAAACATCTCCGCCAACAGTACAGAGGAGCATAAATTATCAAAACAGAGTTTGCAAAAGACCATAAAGCAAAAAAAAAAAAATATATATATATATATAATATATATATATATATAATATATATATATATATATATATAATATATATATATATATACCAAACATCCAAACCAGGTGTATCCCAGTTTTGACTTTAGAAAATCTGGTCACTCTAATTTCAGAGTTCAGAGTAAAGTATTATATAAAACTCATTATTGTCCTTCATAACCTGCTGATTTATACAAAACTAATGATTTTTATAGAGTTTTATACAAGAAATTCCTCAAATTTGATCTAAACTAAGACTACATCAGGTCTAAACCAGGACTAAATCACAATTCTTGACTAAACTGATCCCCGCCAACAGTAAAGAGGAGCATAAATTGTCAAAACGGTGCTTACAAAAGACCATAAAGCAAAAAAAAAAAAGTCCCTCAGACTATGATGCTCTTTTCATAATTTTATTTATACAAAACATCCAAACCCAGGTGTATTCCAGTTTTGACTTTAGAAAATCTGGCCACTCTAACTTCAGAGTTCAGAGTAAAGTATTATATAAAACTCATTATTGTCCTTCATAACCTGCTGATTTATACAAAACTAATGACTTGTCCCAGTTTTATACAAGAAATGTCCCAAAATGTCCCTATTTTTGGCCAATTTGATTCAAACTAAGACTAAACTAGGACTAAATCAGGACTAAAACATCTCCGCCAACAGTAAAGAGGAGCATAAATAGTAAAAACAGTGTTTGCAAAAGACCATAAAGCAAAAAATGCAGTGACAGAAGACCCTCAGATTATGAGGGTCTTCACAGTTTGAATGTTTTGAAGTTAAAGGAGCTGGTCTCCTTAGACTCTTTTAAACAGATTTTAAAAAACAAGGATCTGGACTCCTCAGGGTGTAATTGTTTTAAATATCTTTGAATTTGTGTTGATTGTTCTGTTATACTGAATGTTTTGTATGTATGTTTTTTATGTTTTCAAACTGTAGTTTTGTGACCTCTTGGCCATGACGTCTTTTTCCTGGTTAAATAAAGGTTAAATACATTTTATTTATACCAAACATCCAAACCCAGGTGTTTCCCAGTTTTGAACTTTAGAAAATCAGATTACTCTAACTTCAGAGTTCAGAGAAAAGTATTATATAAAACTTGTTGATATTGTCCTTCATAACCTGCTGATTTATACAAAACTAATGACTTGTCCCAGTTGTATACAAGAAATGTCCCAAAATGTCCCTATTTTTGGCCAATTTGATCTAAATCAGGACTAAACTAAGACTAAAGTAGGACTACATCAGAACTAAAACATCTCCGTCAACAGTAAAGAGGAGCATAAATTGTCAAAACAGTGTTTGCAAATGACCATAAAGCAAAAAAACAGAAGTCACTGATTATGATTGACAACAGGAATGCACAATGTTACATGCTCTTTTCACAACTTTATTTATGCCAAACATCCAACCCAGGTGTATCCCAGCTCTGAATTGTGAAAATCTGGTCACTCTAAGAGTAAAGTATATAAACTTGTTGTTATTCTCTTTCATAACCTGCAGATTTATACAAAACTAGTAATTTGTCCCAGTTTTATACAAGAAATGTCCCAAATGTCCCTATTTTTGGCCAATTTGGTCTAAACTAAGACTAAACTAGGACTAAATCAGAACTAAAACACCTCTGCCAAGAAAAGAGGAGCATAAATTGTCAAAACAGTGTTTGCGAATGACCATGAAGCAAAAAAACAGAAGTCACTGATTATGATTGACACAGGAATGCACAATGTTACACACTCAACTTTATTTATGCCAAATATCCAAAACCAGGTGTATCCCAGTTTTGAATTTAGAAAATCAGATTACTCTAACTTCAGAGTTCAGAGTAAAGTATTATATAAAACTCGTTGGTATTGTCCTTCATAACCTGCTGATTTATACAAAACTAGTGATTTTTTTCCTAGTTTTGTACAAGAAATGACCCAAATTTGATCTAAACTAAAACTAAACTAGGACTACATCAGGTCTAAACCAGGACTAAATCAGGACTATCACAATTCTTGATTAATCTGATCCCCACCAACAGTAAAGAGGAGCATAAATTGTCAAAACAGTGTTTGTGAATGACCATAAAGCAAAAAAATGCAGCGACAGAAGACTTTTAGATTATGAGGGTCTTCACAATTTTATTTATACAAAAATCTCAACCCAAGTGTGTCCCAGTTTTGAATTGAGAAAATCTAGTCACTCTAACTTCAGAGTAAAGTATTATATAAAACTTGTTGTTATTGGCCTTCATAACCTGCTGATTTATACAAAACTAGTAATTTGTCCCAGTTTTATACAAGAAATGTCCCAAATGTCCCTATTTTTGGCCAATTTGGTCTACACTAAGACTAAACTAGGACTAAATCAGAACTAAAACACCTCTGCCAAGAAAAGAGGAGCATAAATTGTCAAAACAGTGTTTGCAAATGACCATGAAGCAAAAAAACAGAAGTCACTGATTATGATTGACACAGGAATGCACAATGTTACACGCTCAACTTTATTTATGCCAAATATCCAAAACCAGGTGTATCCCAGCTCTGAATTTTGAAAATCTGGTCACTCTAAGAGTAAAGTATTATATAAACTTGTTGTTATTGTCCTTCATAACCTGCTAATTTAAACAAAACTAGTGATTTATCCCATTTTTATACATGAAATGCCCGAAATGTCCCTATTTTTGGCCAATTTGATCTAAACTAAGACTAAACTAGGACTACATCTGGACTAAAACATCTCCGCCAACAGTAAAGAGGAGCATAAATTGTCAAAACTGACAAAAAAACTGACTGATCGAGGGCCATAGACTGGTGCTCAGTACAGTGAATAATTAAAATATGTGCATGTTTAACACGTTAGAATGAACCGTCAGTCTTTATTCATGCTAAGATCCTTAAAACTATATTAAATATTAAATATGAGCTTTATCAAGGTAGATTTTCAAAAAACGTGCAGTAAAATGTTCATTTTTAATTCATGCAAGGTCATTTGGGCCAATTCACCTGGAAGCTTGAGGGCCAAGAAAAATTTGTCTGAGGGCCACATTTGGCCCATGCGCCATAGTTTGGACATGGCTGGTCTATACGATAAATGAACAGAACAGACTTATCATCATTAGCAGCTCTTCTGTCACAAAAAGAACACACATAATCCACTGAGTCGTGTCCTTTAGTCCGACAGAAACTGATTGGCATCAGCGGCACAAGGAGCAGCTGTTTTTATCAGCGCTAACAGTTTATGCAAATGAGTCATGTGGTTTTAAGTTTTGTTTGTATAAAACATAAACAAATGTGATCAGAGCTGAATGATATGATCAAACCTGCTGATGTGGCTCTACAGTGTTTATGGTTTATATGTTGTAAAGTTGATTTTATTTATTCAAAAGATTTTAATGAAGAATCTGTTGGGTTTGATCTGTGCAGTGGATTGTGGGAGATCTCACAGCTTCTCACCGCTGGTTAAACCTCCCAGGCTTCCGACGCTAAAGGAGCTCATGGCTTCTATTTTTCCTGGTTTATTAATTTAAATTAAGTCAATTTTCTCACTTGTGCATTTGTGAGATTATATCAAGAAACCGGGATACTCCATTTGATCATGTAAACAGTGATATGAGTGTCCCGGTTTCTCAGCGCTCATGTAAACACAGTAACCTGAATACTGACAGAACCAGGATACTGATGTGCATGTACACGCACTCATTGTCACAACATCAAACATACAAGAAATGAATAAAAAGGAGCAGAAAGAAGAGTTATCTTATGTTCTCTGCTGCTTTTTCCCCTTTCAAGACAAAAAAACCCAAAACACACAAATAGTTTCTTTAAAACATTTCAAATCAGTACATTTCAGTTCAGGCACAATTATTAATCAACTGCAAACCATCATAAAACTCTTTTAGCAGTGTTTGCTTGTGCGTGCATTGCGTCACCATGGAAACTCCTAAACATGTCATTGCAAAGTCTCGGTACAATAAAGTTCGAACGGATCTTAGTGACTCTGTAAAAACCACACTCATGCTTCTGTTTCTCTCAGTGGTTTGAGATGCAGCAGATACGTGCGTCGCTCTGCCTTCTTTCAGTTTGCCTTTCCGCGTTCTCTCTCTCTCTCTCTCTCTCTCTCTCCAACAACTTTCTGATGATGAAACATAGAAACCTGAAACGTCCGTGAATAAATTATCTTATGCTTTCCATGAAGAATTTGTGCCTTGAGCCTGCCCCCGGTCCATACAGTGACATTTGTGGAATTGAGAATTTTACGATCTGCTTAGAGAACACAGTCTTATTTTGAAACTGCAGCTACTGTGGACTTTTCAACTTAAGTCTAATAAGAATTTGGCAGATGCTG